TTCGCTCATAAGTCTTGTTCTAATTTACATGATGGGAATTTTTAAAACTTTTAAAACTCAAAATATCCCCATTTAGCTCTAAAATCTAAGTTGACAAATGAATACCCCACTTCATAAAACTAACATTCAACTAATCGAGTAAACAGAATAATACTTCATAAGACTGTAAGTTGAAATAGAGTAAGAAAGAACTGAATTTTAGAATATAACGGGTCCGGTGTATTTTGTGGCATTCTATGTAACTGCTCACAAGCTAATAATACAAGACATACAATGTTGACATAATTTAAATGTGGACTTCATGAGTATTGCATAATTTGGCTTTCATTTATATTGTGTCACTTCCCCAAGGTCTTCTTTTAAAATCCTATACAAAGTTAATCCAAACAGCTCAGGAGTGCACGGCGTTGGCAACCCAACAATTAAAGCCCGAGCTCTGTGTACAGAATAGTTGCATCCATTCCGTTATTTCGCAATGGTCATAATCCTTCCTTGAATCTCCTTATTGGTTCAAGATTCATCTTACTTTTACTGACTGATTATCATTTTTTTATTTTTACTTTTCGGTTTAATTTCCCATATCTTAACATGTAAGCTCCAATCTCTCGTTAAAACTCTAATAACAACTTACTCTGATTATTGATGACAATTAGAATTATTATTTTTAACCTGTTTGTTTCTCAACTTATTTGTCATCACCTTATTGTACTGCATATCTCCCTGATACACACTGTGATTACGCAATCCCTTTCTAACGCCAGAATAGACCCATTATTTCATTTTGCTAGCCAATAACAGACTTATCTGTTTGTTTATTATTACTATACGGCTGTTGAAAATGATTCATCCAGAAAAAGGTCTCTTCGCTGAATTACTTTGTAGTTTCTATTTTCTTAATGTCTTACTTTATTAAAACGTGTAGAGAAATAAGTGCAGTTCATTGTATCTTTCATACCTGTTTCTTTTAACTTTATTCAAATTGGGCATGGGAATTAGTTGCAAGAAAGGTATAGGCGCTACATTTGGTGACAGAAGTATTGAAATTATTCACCTGCACTGAAGATACAGACTGGAATTTTACTGGTAACTATCTAGGATACCTCCACATCATGATTCACATACATTTAACATTATTTATTGAGTATAGATGAAAATGTGTTCATGAGTTAGGTAAACTTAAAAAAATATCGAACTTCGGTCATAAGGATAGAAGTAACTACCGTAAAAACATTTTAGAGCAGAACTTTGTAAAATTTTGATGAAACAAATGGTTTTAAAGAACAAGCAGAAAAACGTTTGTAACCACTCATGCAAAGTATTTATTTCAAAAATTTTGTCATTCAGCTGTATATGGAGGAGATTCACTAGCTAATAACACTAAGAAATATAACTGCCTACTAATAATGACAGCGCATGAAATTCCCATAAAATTGTCTGTAACATCTACATTTGACTAGGACGGTGTGAAAAAGTGATGGTCTCTAACTTAAATATTGTCTGAGGCATGATACTTTCAGATTAAACGGGTCTCATTTTACACCACAATAAGAAAACAAAGAAAAGATAAGACAACTTAGTTAGGAAGATTTTTTTATAAATGATGTCATTCTCAAAACTGTACTGTTGAATTAAAGCACTAAAATTGGTAGGTTCCATGAGTTTTAAATATTCATTAATCAAGTCAGATGTTTACTTAAGAGATGTAAAGACAGTGACAAAGAAAACAATCATCACTGTGATAGTCATAACCGTAAAATGTGAGAAATTAAATTGACTTTGAAACTGAAGAGTGAAGTAAGGTATTTCCAGTAGAAATAAGTTGACGCTTTACTGATCACACTGGAACAATAAAGCTTGTAAGTGAAGATTCAATCGAAAGTAGTAAGATGAAGTGTTGAAGCATGAGTTTAAGTACTTTATTCCCAGATCATCACTATAAAGCTGTCAGAGTGAGTTCATTTGTTATCTGAGGCACTAATGTAATCCATCATATAAAACCAATCATTTTTCGTATACACAAATGACTAGTTTATTCGAATGTATTTTTCAGTCAAAGATGAAATGTTCATCTTAAAAAGTATCAAATACTGGGATTCAGTAGAGTTAAACAGACCAGTTAAGCAAAAATACACAGCTTGAAGACAGACAAGATATTGAAGAGCCCTTGAAAGGGTCATTTTTCTACTTTATTGTATAGTTCCCTTGACAACAAGAATTTTTGGTAAACTGCAATTCCTTTCCAGCATTAAGTAAAGACACCCTCCTAAATTTTTACAAAGGTGAAGTGTTACGTCACAGTCTCTATATATAATAAGAAGTATTTTGCTAACGACTTAAATGACATCTATTCTGACTTCATCAACTGCTTTATTATACATAAGCTGGATTATTATTCATGTAAAATTTATACATGTCTCAAATTGATGATGAGACAAATGTCTGCTTATTAACTGCATACGTGACATTGAAGTGTGTTGTGATACGGTGGGAGAAACGTTTTTTGATGTAGACTTCCTATTCTTGCCGTTTACTTTATATTTTTTTGTCAGATTACCACACAAGCTTTTGACTGACTTTTATCTTTAGAAGTAGTATTTATTTATTAACAATAGTTTTTGCATAGATGCGACATTTTTGAAAATTTGCAACCTATTAATGTGAAAATACACGATTCTGTCTCAGTAATCACACACAGACTGAAAACATATAGCTATTCTAGTGATGACAACTATCTGAGAGCGTTATGAATTACCTGACAATTAAGTTGACCAGTATAGTGGCACTAATAATCTTCGCAGTATAAATAACACAAAGCTTTTATTTTATTTTGCTTTTACTTAGATGCGATGATTAACTTTCCAGCAGTAAGATATCTTCGCTTTGAATTACTAAGCTGAACGAATTCCAGTGATAACCATTCTATTAACAGATATTTCCTTGATAACTTCAACGTGACGGTTTTCGTTTCTTGTTGCAGAACATGTGGTCCAACGTTTAGCTCCACAGCGTTTGCGTAGTTAAAAACAGTTTTGGGTTGTGAAACTAGTGTTTTTTTTAAACAGTTTATCCTTGTAATGTGTAGATTGTTTTTTTGTCAAGATACTTACAAATCTGAGTTAAACCTTTTAACTTATTCATACTTGTGAAAACCTCTGGTATTGTTTTGTGCTTTATAAAGAAAAAACATGAAAAAATAGTGTGACTTCCTTATAACCTTTACTCAGTTTGATTCCCGTAAATATTTCGTTGCTGGATTTTAGAATGATTTGATTCTAGTTACTTTGAGAAATATAGTTGTCACAAACCGTGTGAAAGTGGACTCCATTTGCATTGTTATAAATTCATCAATCAATTCTGATATTTATCGTCAGAAAGTTCTGTGTCTTATTTTCGAAAGACAATTGGCAATACAATGTTGAATTAACGGTTTTGTGTCTCCTGGGCTGCTTTATTTATACTAGACCAATAAATTTTTTAATGAAAATTTGTCTCAAAAATGTCTTCAGATTATTCAGTTTTTGATTGATGAATATTGTCTTAAAATACCACATGTAGGACATGTAGAAAATACTAAAATGTCAAAACAGTTGACATGATGGATGTATGAAAACTGAATCGTATAATTTTATGTTGAGTATGCAATAGGACTAATTTTAGTATCAGTTATGGCACCAGAATGATGAAACAATCAATCGAGGTTTAACAACGCTTAACTGGAAAGGAACAGTTTAGATGAGCGAGTTTATTTCAGCATAAAAAGGTGATTTATTTTGAAGTGGTATGTTTTAATTACAGAAAGGAAAAATTACACTATTTCGGTCCAAGTTCTGTTTTTCCACTTCAAGACGAAATTCTTTATCGATCTGCTGAAACAAAACAAATTGAAGTAAATTTTTGCGTAGACGCAATACACTTGTCTTCAGGTATACATACCAACTAGATTATGTAGGTGAATTATGCATTCCTCTGGCTTATAGTATCCTTTTCTCTCTTTATAAATAACAGACTAGCATAGTAGAAAAATAGTTGTACAGTCTTGTTACACAAAGTCTAACCATTGTGTAGCTTTATCCTAACAGCAAGATGTAAACTTGCCCATTAGGAGTTGTGATGATGGGTTTTGTCTGTCTGCCTTTTTGCACTTAAGTGGAAAACTTTCGCTGCACTGCTGCTTTTCAATACAACACTAAAAATCTATCTTAAGCTTTACACCACCTCGTTAGACCAAGTATTGACAACTTTACAGAGAAAAGTTCCAAATACCCTTTGATTAAAAATAATTCCAGTCAAAACCCAATCACGTAAAGTACACGTTACGCGCATTTCTTGTAATTGCATTCAGATACCAGTATCTTGCAATGTAGATGACTCCCACTAGGTTATAAAACAGACATCAGCAGCTGAAATGTGCAGTTAAAGACAAAGTTGTCTCAACATTCGGGTCGAATGTTGGAGATAATATCTAAACTATCTACTTTATGTCGTTCATTCTTTGTCTGTGAAAATATCATAAACTGTTACATTACTGAAAATTTTCCGAAAGACTAAATGAAGACAAAGTTTCTTAGTATTTGAAGTGATCACCTTACAGAAAAGTAAGCGATATGAATTGAGTTTCTTCGTAAATTTGACCCTGGAGAGAACAAATCAAATATTTGTTAACAATGACATATCAACAACCAACGGCAAATACAACACAAAATCATTAGTGAAATACTGCTATTCTGTGAACATGAACTCTTTTATGACGACTACGGATGCGGTGGTATTTGAACAGGAAAGTATTAGAAAAAAAATTGATGGCCAAGGCAAGACGCTTTATTAAGTTATGTGTTTCTAAACATAATCTAGCATGATGTTGAAGTGTAAAGATTATAAAAATTTCGTGAAAAAGTGATCAGTCAATTTTGAATGTTTAAGAAAATAGACAAATTGTTTTGGCTTTATTGGAGATAATTTCAGGTAAGTTATATTTATTTGTCAAAATCAGTGCGTCAAGATTATGGTATCAATCGACTTTTTTGAAAACTAGCTCTCCTAGCCATTTCTGCCAAATTACGAGACTGCTCCTTTCCCGTTGCACGAACCCATTTGGCGAATAACCCATCACCTGTGACTCCTGGTGAGTCTTCATTGGTCTCATGTACATGTTTGACTACTCCAAGGTCGCATTGAGCATGTTCAGGATTTAATAGCATATATGGTGAGCCGATTTCCTTTATTTGACCATTTTCCAGAACTACAATCAAGTCATTGTCTATTACAGTTTGCAAACGATGAGTTATAGTTAATACCGTACAAGAAGAAAAGTGCTTCCGTAAAGTTTCCTGAATGAATAAATCTGTCCTGAAAAGGAAATTAAAATGTTTAGGGTTTAACTGTTGTAAGTGTGACCAGTAGTCAAGAAGATGAATAAATAGTTTAAATCATTACCTTGAATCCACGTTGGCTGTCGCTTCATCAACTAACACTATACGATTTTCTTCCAAAATAGCACGTGCAAGAGACAGTAGTTGTCTTTCTCCTGAACTAAAATTTGATCCTCCTTCATCGATTATGCTATCAAGACCTTTACCCAAGTTTAAAATCGTTTTCTTCAGTTGGACCTTTAACAAGATATCAAAAACGTCTCATTATTGTTTGATGTTGTGCACAAATATATGTTGCGAAGATAAATCAAATTTAGTGAAAAAAATGTTCAGCTTACACCACAAAGAAAGAACTGGATATAAAATCTCTATTTATTTCTATTAAAGAAAAATATTTATCAGAACATTTAATAAAGTTGTCATCTGTGACCACTATCACTAGAATATAACCAAACAAACTTAAAGCATGCCAGATGGTTGGAGGTTACCTGCGCAAAGAAACGGATCTAAGTTTTGTGCTTGATCATGTTCGTCAGCAGAGCCCATCTTGAAGAAACTGATTTCTGCTGAGAGATCCAAACCTGTGCCACTAAGTGCTGCAGTCACAGATGGGACAGCGATCAGTTCATCTTAGGAACGTAAATTATATATATACATATATAATAGTCAGATACATATCGATTACTGGACAGTAACTAATTTCATATTGTTCAAACCGTCCGTTACTAACGTAGTTAACATTAATCTTTAGACTAAGATGAAAATAAAATTTGATAATAACGGTAGAATATCGTTCCATCCAAGTACACTTTTTAGATACATCGCACAGTTAAACAGTATCACTTACTGGAATACGTTTTCGACACAATCTATTGTCCATAATCGTATCCACAACTCTGAGACATATCAGGCACTTTATCCTTATATTTAACATTTCAGGATACAAAATGTATGGTGATAGGTATTTATTTAAAGATTAAAAGCCTTGAAAAGGGTTTATAAGTATGCATTTAGCTTATTCCATAAGTAATTGCAACTTTGAGTGAATTCAAGAAACTGAATTCTACGAGATGCAGACATATCAGTGTATTCCACAGTTTAAAATATCCACATTAAACTTTTAAAGTGGTCGTTGAGACTAAGTCAATCACCGTACTACACGCACTTATGCAAGCATTTTCATGTGTTTTAATTAGCCAAAAAGACCGTTCTCGAACCGTAGCGTGATTTAGAAACATAAATTACTTAAATGTAGTATATGAATTTCTAATGAATACCAAAAAACAGGAAGTTTAGATTCACACTATAACTAGGATCGCTTAGTCGAGAAGTTTAACATTATATTTGATTTATTGTATAACTATGTGATTCACAGATTTATGAACAGAAGGGTGATTTTGACTAAACAACTGTTAAGTATCCGTAATCGAATCTCCTGAGGTAAGAATCTAACATTCATGACATAATAGAATGTAGGCAACCGATTCCAATGAAGCCCTCTGCAGTGAATGTCAGACTCATCTGAAAGTGTTCTGAGACTTTAATTCAGCTAACAGCAGGAAACCAGCAGCGTTTGTCAAACAGCAGTTGCAATAGAATCTGATGGCCGAAATGGCTAAAATTAAGACCCAAAATCCTTAGGTTAGTTCTCTTCTTTACTGGTTTACACATGATATTCTGCAGCTGTCAAATAATCTAAAACTGCGTAAAGATCGACCACTTATGTCTACATCGATGTGGCTTAGTCACTTCTCTTGCAGATCAGAAGCTCAGCTTAAGGAATCTGCTGAAACTTGTTTTCGAAATTTCTACAAACGGGATAATAATAACACTGCCAAACTTCATTTATAACTTCGTTCTTCTACAGTCGTACTTGAAGCAACTTAGTGTATGTAACTTTCAAAACGAAGTCTTTCCGTCACTCATGTATACAATTTTAACAGCTTTTGGCCTGAAACTACGCTCTAGCTTTGAAAAACGTTTCACAGAACTCCTGTCTCCAAGCATGCGCTTGAGGTCCGATTCACTTTATACTCGATTACTTAGCGTAATTTGACCTGTTGGATGTGTTCAGTCAATATATGGGGATCACTAATTACAAAATTGTAATCAGTACATCTATAATTAACCTCTTTATGACTTTAATGAACCCATGTTTGATTTTAGAGAAACAATTTCACAACTTTTTAGTCTTCCGCTAGTTGTCACGTGCAAACCAAGTTAGCTGTGTAAAAAAATTAAATCCTGTTTCTTTTTCGAATGAATTGGTACGTTCATCTTGATTAAACTGACAAAGGACAAGTGTGCTTTCTGTAAAAAAGTTTGACTTTAAGCATAAAATGTATGTGAATAAGTTTCCTGAAATTTTTCTTCAAACCCTTTGTATTAGAGTCTGAAATTTCTGAAGTTTCACTGAATATTATGTCAATAAAATATAGTTAACATGTTATACACCTATTAATCGACTATAACATCAGCTATAACAACCCAGAAGTGAAGAAATTCTTCTGAAGCCAAATAGGATAAAAATTGCATACAGAGTAATTGAAAATACTTCTCAGGAAGTAAAAACTTTTCGAAATCTTGAGTGAAATTCATTTTTTATTTCTAGATTTTTTTTACAACTTACCAGTGACAATGCATCCCAAATTCTTGCATCACTGTATCTCTCATGAGGATCAAGGTTCATACGTACAGAACCAGTAAACATAACAGGATCCTATAGGAAAATAGATATGAAATATGATCATGACCTCAGATTGAATGCTTTAAAATTTTGAGTTACTACAGCAATGTGTATCAATAATAAATACACGATATGATAAAATAGCTCAAAAGCTTGTGAAAATTATGTTACCAACTTCTATATACATTATACAACAACTGGAATTTACAGTACATGGTGAATAAGCATGTAAACCATGCATGCCAGTTTATGAACAGAAACCATATCCTTCTTAAGAGAACAAATTATCACCCATTTACTAGTATACTCTCTTAACTAAGGAAGTGGTTATTTTGCATTCTAAAATGAGATAAAAATCATTACGCTTTGCTAGTTGAAACATAATCGTAATTTCTAAAATTCATTCATCCTTTTACCTAGAGTATCAGATTACTGATTGAATTAAAGCAATTTACTGAAATCACCATATTTTTCTATTATAAAAGATAACTGTACAATAAAAAGGTATCAAAATCTAGAACATTTTCCTGCACCCATTGATAGATTATACGCTTACAGGCATGCTCTAACAAAATTAACGTAGAAAGCCCCACAAAACTGCATTGGCTCAAGCTGCCACACTTCACACGTATACAAAGAACACGTCAATGAAAAAGGACTGATATAGAAGTAGACTAAGTTATGTGAGAATAAACAATCTGAAGATTAATGTTAGTGTGAACATTCAAGTTGAGGAGATGTCAACAAATGAATACGTCCACACCATTGTGACCAGTTTCCAGCTATATCACTAAGAGTCTTTCCTCAACCACTGATTCCTTTCGTCTAGTGGACTCCAACCACCCAGTCTACATCTCCACACACTGCTCACACAAACAGTCAGAGACTTCATGGACTGGTGCCATGTCTTATTCTGGTCAGTCTGAACCCCTTCCATCTAACCCACCTTTCATTAGTATGTTACGTTGAGGTAGGGAGAAGCTCGCCATGCGTGGTACATATCCATGTCATCTCGATCGATCTCGATCAGCTCACAACCCTATCAATTTACGTACCTAACTCACTGAGTACTCTTCACCTCACCTCAACGTCACTGACACAGCGGTTCAACCAAACTAGCAATGCAATGAAGACAGATGATCAAACAGCTGTGACCGCTTCATGTCCTTTGCTTTCAGAAGCCGTCTCACAGCCACACAACAGGCTAGATCACAATCCAAAGCTGTACACTCATCCTTTGATATGTTATATGCTCGGAAATGTCATCAGTCGGTGCCACAGATGACGCAGTTCTCCCAATGCCAACGGAGCCTTTTCATGCAAGCTGAGATTTTGTCAGCAGCGGACCTGTTAGGCGGGCTGATGCAACTTCCCGAGTAGGTGAGGTGGTTGACACATTCCACCTTTTCACTCTATATCATAATACTGGGAGTACTTGTAGGAAATTGATCTTGGTATATCATCTTACATTTGACAGGTGAGAAGCGTATTTCAAATATACTCAGATTTCAGCTTACGGTATCCGGAAGACTCTTCATTTTATCAGAGCCTTAACCTGGTGGGTCAATATTCTCGGCATACTCCAAGTCACCCAGTGGACTTCTAGGGAGTAGATCAGTGATATTATCGAGCTATATAAACTGAGTCTAAAAAGTAATTTTATTTGAAATAAAGTGTTACCTGACAACCCAACACCCAAAAGTAGACCTTTCACTTCACTTTTGTCATATTACACAAGTATTTAGGTAGTCAGAAAAACAAGTGAAGGTTTATTTACTCTCTATCTATTCAGAAGAATAGGAAACTAGTGAATATTGACTAAACTGTCAATATAAAGTGCGACTAATGGTTTGTTATATATTCATCTCTTCTTTATGTTAAGCGTATTGAGTCATTTGAGTGTTTGGTTTTATATTAAGAACATCTTTCAGATGACTGATCAACACAACTAGACGCATCATTTAAAAACAGCGGTGTACTTCCGCAAAATGTAAACTTTACGCAACTAGATCACTGAATGGGAATCAGTGTGGCTTTCAAATCCTAAGTTCTCATCAGTAACTGAACTCCATAGATCAACTTTGTTATATTTTAAGCAACTGATTTAGTGGTTCGACACTGTACTGTTGTCTTTTGGTTAAAAGTCTCTACCGACTGAGCTGCCTTGGCATGAATAATACATCTGAGCCAAGGTATACCTCAGCTTGTAGTGTTAGCCAAAATAGGATTGAGCAGGACGAAGACTACTGATGATCAAACGAAGACGTAGGACCAATCTATAAAATCTTTTACCGTTAGTCTGGGCAGTTTCATGAGATATATGTTGCTTGGATGGGATCTTCAAGACTATAGAAATAAACTGTAATAATCTGTCAGGTCCTAATTGCTCACATGTATATCCCTCCCATCACCTTTACAGTCTTGAACACTTTCAATCCCTTGTTTTTCTCATCTCTTTAAACATGTCTGCTTCGCATGTTACTGCTAAGTGCGGTAACTTAAAAAATCCACCTGTGCCCCAGGACGTACTTTAACGTGTCCACCTTTCTGCCTATTCAATGGCTTTCTATGTAAAGAGATTGCCAATCAGTCAGACATCCATAGTGACATTTCTTGAAAAGCCATGATAAGCAGCCTAGTATTTATAATGCGATGTTGAGTTGACAAATTTCGCTTGATTTATAAAAAATTTCAGACTCCATAAACCTAGTAAAATATCTCCGTAAAGAAAAAAGTCTCATCAATAACAGCGTGAATGTACTCAGCTTATTCAATCTTTACAATTATGAACCAGTTTTACTGAAGCTGCCGGAATAATTTATCGCTGGTTAGTTGATGAACACTTCAACTTTTTATGGTTCCCTCAGAACAGAAAATTATAAATTGAGGGTGGCTAGAACTAAAAAATACTGTCTGATATTCTATCTTCAAAACAAACAAACCGAATACAAATACGGCTTTCATCATAGCTAACGATATGAAATGAAAATAAAGTAATGAGGTGTCACAGTCAAACAGTATTATTTACTGGATAACGTTTCGGGCACAATTTTTTGTCCATATTCATGTCAGGTAACTCACACAACTTTGAGATATGGTTTATGCAGTTCTAATCCTCTATCTACTTTTATGATAAGGTTATCAGGACTTTCCAGTTAGGAAATATACTTTAGTTTACCAACTTACCGATTGCAAGGTCAAATGTATTGGTTAAAGCAGCATAAAATCTCAGCTAAACCAAGATTATCAGATCCTAATAAGAGAAGGAATTCAAAGAAAATTCCGGCTATAGCCATGCATGTGGTTGTACACACTCAGACAAGAAGATGGTATAAATTTACAGTATTGAAAAGTAACTCAGTTTAGTTGAGGGAAAGGTTGATAACCGAATCTTTGTTTAGCGAATCAACATTGAATACACGCAACAGAAACGGTTCTACAGATGTCGCAGACTTAGGGAAGAAGAAGAGATGATTAGAACCATTTAAACCATATCTCAAAGTTGTGAGGTTATATGACACGAATATGGACAATAAATTACGTCGAGTAAATGATACTGTTTCACTGTGTGACAACCCCAATAAATTGACTAAAATGGAATTACGATTCACCACAGTGCCCAAATTTTACTCCTATATTAAGATAATGAAGCACTAAGAAATCCACGTCAGTCACATGTCCTCATGTTGTACTGATACCAGATTTCAGCCTCTAATGGATTTTTCATGTTATCTAATCACTTTTAAAGCCATCTGAACAGATGCAAACATTTCTTAAGGTTTGCTGACTACCATTATTGCACACAGCTTTTTTCCATACTTTGGAAATCATTTCCCTGAAGAAAAGTTTGGACTGTAACACCCTATTTGTTTAGATTTCTGATGAGTACAGTTTCACGGTTTCATTATAGTTGTTTACCTGGGCCCTGGTTGTAGCTTACTGAACGTAGGACTTATCTGAGAAATAACTAATCAACATCCTCAGTTCATTTTGAAGATGGGCAGATAAACGAACATGGAAGTAAATACACCAGAAGATGAAAATAAATCCACATACTTCACAGTAACGCAGAAATAGGAAGCCTCTGCAAGATGAGTGGTATGAATTTGACAAAGTGTATGGGAAGACGACGAAGAAGTAAATGAAGGTTGATAAAATACGAGAAATTTCTGATATATTACGGAGTGTAAATATCTGTGCCAGTAAAATAGTTTTTGCATCATGGCATAGAGAATCTCCCTCCACCGGTTCCTGTAATCTCATAGATGGCAGCCACATGACATATATTTCTACCAACGGCTTGTTTAAACAGTTAGAAACTATATGAATAAGCAAGGGAGAAACGTAAATCTAAGAAGTGAGAGGTATCATTAAATCCATAATCTATTTTCACTTTATTACCGGGATGACTTTTTTGAAGTTGCTCATCTGGCCAACAACATTGTACACAATCTGATTATCGTAACATATCTTGAACAGGATGATGTCATACTGATGACATATGCCGACCTTATTCTTGCCAATTTTTCACAAAGATTTCGGATGAAATATAAGTGAAATGCTCCCTCTGTTTTACGAACAAGTTTTTTAATCATCTTATCTTTTCACTTCTCTTTCCTGAAAATGTCTTCAATATCACTTCAAAACTGTTGTATAATCGCGAACATGTCATATGACAATCGATTCCAAATTGTCGTTTCTAATTACTTAGTTATCTAATTAATGAGCATTCCACTCCTCAACTTTAGTGAAATTATATGGAATAGCTTCTGCATTGGTGCAGAAACGATAAGGCGGCATAATGATGTCACTTTATTCATCAAACTTAGTTGCTTTTTTATGTTCATAAGTGGGATCAACTATATTAAATACGGACTGAAAGTGTTACTGGATCAAAACGTATTCCTTTGAATGTTAGCATATACGACGTAAGTAAGTAGAATTGCTTTCAACGAAAGCGGTATTTCCTATGTTCTGGTTTCGATGTCAAGCAAATGAATAGTGGTCAATACATGCATATTAAAAATGACTATCTTCTTGCGCAAGAAGGGTGGTGGCTACCATGTAGATAGAATATATTCTCTTAAGCCTTCTGTAATGATTTAGGTATTTCTAAGTATATTTCTTAGGAGATGAGTATGTGCTGCATTTATCACGCTGATCATCTAACTCCATGTCGTCCACGTGGTCATAAAAGAAAGTTGACCACCAAAAGTTTATTCTAATGTACATATAATAAGACTTGTAAAGTATAGCGAGTTGATAAGATTTTGAAAGACTTAAAACATATTTTGATGTCGTCTGACAAGCAACTGGCATCCCTAACTTATACAGCTGACTTTCTAGCCAGTTTACCTTCATAGAATATTGGGTATACTCGCAAACTTTAACAAAGTTCTGTATATATTTTACCAGAAAATCACCTGATTACTTGACTTTATGGTATTTAAGTAAGAAGGCTGACACAAAAGAGTCTAAAAATATATTATCTGAAATTCCAGACACTGTTGATTTACCTTAGCCAAATTTAGTATCTCTTCTAAAGAAATATAGGCAAAGTTGATGATTTGTTTTATCGACATATAAGTTTTATTTAACAAAAGAGTTAAGCCTCATTAATAAGATTTCCTTTCAGCCGTTTGAGTCATTCTTGAGAAAAATGAACATACCTGAGGAATAACTGAGATTTTTTCCCTCAATTCCTCTAGCTTCAGTTGCTGAATATCAACATTATCTATCAAAATTTTGCCACATTCTCCTTTCACTAATCGAAGAATGGCGGAAAATAAGGTACTTTTCCCAGAACCCGTGCGTCCAACTATTCCAACCTAAATTGAGAAGATAAATACAAAGTTTATATTTTGAGGGAATGTCTGCACGCCAAAATATCATCCGCAAGAATGGATGTTAAGTTTAAGGCTTATATCTATAATACTCAGTCAAATTAAATATTATAGGAATGAGTACGAAAAATATTCCTTAGTAGTGAAAAAAAGAGTGAAGGCATAAAATTCAGTCAACAAGATCTGGCTTTTGAAAACAGTGAAAGACGTAAAGGTGGGAATATAACACTATTACACAACTGAATTATCTACTTGCCTTTAAACCAGGTTCAATGATCAAATTAAGGTTCCTAATTGCCCATGAACATCCTTTATCGTAACTAATACTGACATTCTGAAAATCGATGCGTCCAGAAGTTGGCCATTTATCATTTAGCAGAGTCTTTGGAGAGACAATATTCACTTCTGGTGGTAGATCAGTATACTCAACGATCCGTTCTACGGAAACCATCTGTGAAAATTAATATTTAAGTCAATTTATTTGTAGAACGAAATAAAAATTGGTTTAGTTGCAACTCAGATGCAAAAATTGACATCAATCAAGAAATATTTATTGAAGCTCAGATTAGTTCATGAAGTACTAAAATTAATATGATACTCGTATTATTCCAAATTGTTATCTGTCACTGTTTTGACCGAATTTCTAGTTAATCTTTAAGAAAACTTTACTTATAGAAAGTAAAGGGCTTCCACAGATTGTAAATAAATGTAAGTTTGGTTTGAATAATTTTATTATATTAATTCTGCTACATGAATATGTTATCAGCTAGCAAAGAAGTATCCTTTGACATGCTGATGATAGATTTTAGCAGCCAATTCCCACGGAGCTCCGTTTTTAGAAACATAAAGATGTTCACATCTCCGTAGATATTTCAGTTGATATAACTCGGTGCTTAAGTTTATAATTTTACCTGTAGACTGTTCATTTAAATTGCTTGTAAGCATTCATGATGTATATAAATTAGTAACCCGATGCTGAATAATACAAATATCAAATGCTTGATGCTAATCAGGAATTCACTAAACTGGATAGTACTTCACTGTTGTACACTACTTCTGGTTAAAAACTGTGTCCACTGATAATAACGTGAAATTTCATGTTATGGTCTGTCCATTGCTTGTGATTTGTTTATCCTGCACATATTTCTTCTTAAGAGGCAGAGAAAGAAAGCGCGAAGCGCTAAAGATGAGGAACAAATAAGGTGTGAATATTGTAATTCTAACAGATTTTTGGCATCAGAAGCACTAGTTTAATGCCCATTATTTCTCTTCCTGGAAGTTCACAGACTGAAACTGCATTTATAATCAAAAGATACGTTTTGGGTGCACAATTTGAGTTCTAGTCAATTCACGTCTTAATTGAGGCTTTACTTACCTATTCTATCTCAAGAGAGATGGACAAAAAGAAACAAAGAAGAAAATTACACAATGTATATTAGATTGATTTCGAACCATATCATCTGTGAAGCTCAGTCAAAAATGTTTAACATTATGAAAACACTAGCCACAATAACCAAAAATTTGTGGAATAGTATTATGTCCTGATACGCCAATATTAAAGCCGCTTTGTATGATTTTGTTTAGAATAACTGAGATTTTCATAATTAAACCATTCAATTTAGGGCATACACCGTCACTGAAGTTATTTTTCTGTTTGACTCTTCTTAACACAAACCGTGTATGAAAACTGAAGGTTGCTAAGTTAGGTTAAACTAATAAACTGCCTGAGCAAATACCAATATACTTTCCCTTTGTGAACGAATGAACTGTTCGGTTGGATTTTCAGTTTCAACCTAATCCTAAATTTCCTAATTTATTGATTTCTAAATGAATCAGTAATTATTGTAAGATACCTATGATTGATTACCTTTCATTATACATATGATGAATTAACAGGACACTTAGACAATACCTTCAGCTCTTCACAAATTTCAAAATATCCGATCACCACTACAGATGGTGCAAACACCCACTTCGTTTGTGGAAATACTTCTTAAGATATCAAATATTAATAAATTCGAATCCTGTATAATACACTGGACTTTATATTCTAGATATTCGAATCTAAAATGGATTGAATATGGCAAGTTTACAAACAGCATTTCACTGTCACTTTGGGAGAAACAGTTAAACGATGTGCTTATTGTCATACTCTTCTTATCATTCTGTTTACTCTTTATGGCATTTGCAATAACTAGGAGACCGATAAAGAAGCAGGACTTGACAGATATGCTGATCTGTCTAAATTCTCATAGTTTTTACTGTGAAATTAAGAAATTGTAGGAGTAAAATGAAAAAATGTTAAGGATTCTCAGGATTATAAATCTATAAGATAGAAAGAAAAGAGAACACAGATACGCCATGTACCAATTTTCATGAGCATAAGGAATGGATGGATATGTTTCAGTGCCCTCCACTTCACATTATATAACCTGAAGACTGTTTGATAACTATTCCATTCAGTAGACCTAAGTGAACTAGAAAGCTACCAAAAAGTCATTATTCTCATGGTTTTGCGCCTCGCTATAGCTACTCATCGCTTTATTTCAACACATTCAATGCTGTAGCTAATATTTATGCACTCAGGTGCATAGCACACCAACATTATTAACACACATCTAATTCACTTCGAAAGGAGGTTTATAGCCTAATTCGGTGACACATCCCTTACTTTACGTCAAAATGTTACGACGCTTATAGTGTAGTTCAACACATATGAGCAAGAGCACTATTGGATAAATAACCATAACTAAAGGTTTCTATGCTTAACGACCCTACTTTATGGATATACTGCTGAGTAAAGTACACCTGAAAATTATTGAGTGTTCGTATGTCTGGTTGGTGCCACAATTAATGTTAATTGTATAGGCAGACAAGGACTCAGGCTTTTAGGACCTTCAGCTCTCACTTAATCTATGATAGGAAACAAAGGTAAATCAATAAACTATCTTAACACAGTTAAGTAATGTGGAGTTAGCAACGAAAATAATCAAGATAATTTGTTACTTATTTCCAATTCTTCAGGTATTTCAGATCTGATTGTGAAGGGTTTATAGCCGAGACAAAATTACAATATGTTCAAGTTAGTTTTGTGAGATAGACTTGAGGATGCAACAAACAACGGGTTCAGTAAAGTAGTCAGATGAAAAAGATGATTGTTACAGCTATAGGAATCATATCTGCAATAAATAATGTTTTGATCTGTCCTGCTCTTCACTTTTCGCCACATTTTTATCCTCAATGCCTCAGTTCCGCACACTCATATATCCTCTCCAAAGGTTAAGGAAACTTAGCCATTGCTTGATTCCTTTTTCCCTTGCACGGAAATCATTACAACATTTTTCAAACAGTCACAGCTTGTAAACTGAAGTAATAAAGTGCGATCAGTTAAGTACGTTTACATACCAGTAGAGGTGAAACTTCAAGAGTGAATTAGTTCAACTTTTACAAGTAAGTTGATCGATTATCGGAAATCTTACTATTGTTTTCATTTTGTCAACAAATAGATCTGACTACAGTTTTATCAGATCACACTAAATATACTTGAGCATGCCAAAAGACGGTTCACTCTTCAAATGATAGAAATAGTAACAAGAATAACATTTGGTATGCCATAGTGATTACAGTCACAGAATTCTTGTTTGTTATTAAAACAGCCGTAAGCGTACAAGCAAAAATATTGTTCACAGTTCTCAGGATATCATCTATCACATCAGGTAATGTCATACAACTAGACTAACAAAAATAAACGTCACTTAAAGAATAACCTACACAGACAAAACAAAGATTTGTGCTTATAATTAATTAAGAGAGCTCAATCCCCATACATTATTGTTTTCACAACGTGTGGATAATTAATAGCTCATATGCTATTGATAAACAAAAAGACAGATAACTCTTAAATTTTGTATTTATCTTCATAATATACTAATTGTGTTAATTTGAAGAAAAATGGAATCGTATTTCGCTACTCAAAACAGTTATTTGGCTTCATCTGATCACTATATGACAGTTAAAAATACTTCTTTCTGGTTCACCACCCATTCAACTTCTCGAACCTACAATGACTTTATCAGGATGTTTCCCAAATTGTTTAAAAGAAATTTATGCAGTATCTACAAATAAAATGTGCCATCTAATGGAGTGACATTCCCCAAATGTAGAGGGAATAATCTTAAGAATAAAGTTTAAATCGAGTCGAAACACTGATTTGAAATTTATCTTTCTAATCTCTGGGTATCCTGAAAACATTCTCTGTAGTATTTCATAAATTTTCATTCTACCTGCTCTAATATCCAATCAATATCTTACTTGATTTTGAACTTCTGAGCTCTGACGAACAAACCACTGAAACAATCCGAGAAAACCAAGCCCATAGGTAATCATCAAACCAATCTTAGAAGCAGAAAGATCTAAAATAAAGTTTAAATAGAAAGAAATATGTCATCTGTAAAGTAAGATCTATTTGAATTTGTTACTAAACGGCTTATTTTCTTGAAAAAATCTGAACAACAAGAACCAAGTGAATGATGGATAATGGCCAACAGTGGAATACAAAACGCGTATTTCGTCATGTGAAAGTGTCTGCCTTTCAGAGAGTGACGTTGTTCCCACGAAGATTCAAATTTAAGACCAGTCGCTTCAAAATGTCAGAGAGCTATCCACTAGGCCAGTGAATCACAACAGCCACTCTTTATGCAACAAGAATGGTAAGGAACCAAATTGTAGCCTTGGTTTTTACGTTACAGCCGGACACCGCTTTGTTTAGCTTGCTTCTGATTTCTTTTTTCAAAATACCTACATTATGCAATAACAATTTCACCAAACATGGAAATCTAACTAAAACCTTGTCCAACAGAGTTGTTTACAGGCCACTGCCAGCTAAGTAAGCGAATGCCACATCAAAGCAAATGGAGTCTTTATTTTTTAATATACGGAATATGTGAAATCTTTTATCTGAAAAAGTGAGATTGGCAAAGTGATTTTAATCATTGAATGAGTTGATTATGTTAACGGGATATTTTGTACACATATCGTATCTCATCTTGAAATTAGCTATCTGTTCATATGCTTTTCGGGCCACCATAGAGAAAAAGAAATCTCTGAAGCACACCTTTTATTATTCTTATAATTAGATAGACATACTCCAAGTTTGACTGAAGATAAGCGAAACAACTGTACTTTGCTTACAGAATTTGAAAAGGGTTGATTGAAACAAACTCACTGAATCCAAGTATTATACTGAGATATGTAATACTCTTTGTCGATTCGATGATGTTATCGTTAACAGATTTAGATTATTATACCTCATTTCTTTGACCTTCAGACATCCGGATAACTACAACTGGATTACAGATTGCATTGGAAGCCTTATATTTCCGGCATTAAATCGCAATACATGAATATTTACTCATGCCACAACATATGTTTGACGAATTTACACTGTGTTTACAAAGAAAGTATCGGTTACGTTTATTGCATAAATCAATTGTAACTTTTTCTACTACTTTTTCTGCAACTCTAATATCTATTAATGACAAAAGTTATTTTTCAAACTTATCACAGATTACGCATCGAAATCATTCGTGCTCTCTTTTAGACAGTAATAATTATGGATATTAAGTTCATATTTGGTTTGCTTGAAGGAATTCTGTTTGAATAACTTTGAAACTTTAAAATCCACCTACAAATGAAGTTGAAAAGTAATAATTGGGCAACTATAGCACAGTATTATTTGAGATAAGAAACAAAGTTTAGGCCACTTAGTTCATATGACTATGAATATTCAAGCATTTGAAATTTTATCTGGTGAAACTACACTTTATAACTGTTTGCTTTTTAAAATTAACTAAATAAGATATTATAGTCTACTACAGTGCTAAAATTCTAAACCTATTATCACAGTTTACTTTGTTACTAAAACTGACTTCAGCCTCAATGAAATCATAACCAAAATAAACGGTTACCATAGTGTTGGAAGAATACTAAAAGTAGTGCCTGGTTATATTACTATTATTAGTCCCTTGGATTCCTAGTAGAATATAGGGCTTCAGTAGCACGTCTCCAGTCAACTCTCTTCTCTGCAATCTTTTGAACCTGGCTCAACGACAGCCCACAAGCTCTCATTTCATCCTCGCATGATATCCTCCATGTCACCCTCGGACGACCAACTCGTCGCTTCCCATAGGGATTCCACTCGAGCAACTGGCCTGACTCGTGATGTCCCCAGTCGGCATTCTCAGTGCATGCTCAATCCATCTCCACTTCTTTCTACTGCAAATTTCTTCAGCGATAGCTTATTGGTTGGTTCGTTCCCAAAGCTCCATGTTGCTTATTCTTATTATTCTGGCAATCCATCTGATCTTCAGTAACGAGCCAGCGTATGTGGCAGTTGTTGATGAATATCTTGGTTTGTTGGAAATCCCTTTCGTAACGCGCCAAGTCTCTCAACCATCACATGGAAGCACTGACTTGAAGTTGGTGTTGAAAATCCGGATCTTGTTCCACATGCTGAGTGGAGTGCAGAAGATCTCCACCCTGGTTTCAGGCTAATCAACGCCTGTCTTGCTGTCTTTCCGATTCTGACTTTGACATCCTCGTCTGTGCCGCCTTTAGTTGACACAGTGTTGCCTAGATAGGTGAAGGAGGTTACTTCCTTTAAGTTTCTCCCGTTGATGGTGGTTGGAATTTGTTGCTGTCGGTTGGGTATCTTCACCACCTCTGTCTTCTCTACGTTCACTTGAATTCCCATCTTCGCTGCCCCGCCTCGCCTCTTCTGTCAACTTGTTAGTTTTCGTCTTCAGATCTTTGAGTTTATGCGACATAAGACACAAGTCATCGTTGGCGAAATCCAAATCTTCTAGGTTGTTTTCCGCAGTCCAGCGTATCCACCTCTTCTCGCTCCTCACTGTTTGCTGCATGATCCAGTCCACCACAATCAGAAATATCATTGGGGATAGTAGGCAACCTTGTTTCACTCCTGGCTACCCTTCAAAAGCATCACTGAGCCTCCCACTGTGAAATACTTGGCATGTGGCGTCTTCATATAGTTGTTGAAAGAGGCTGATAAAGGTTTGCGGTTTTCCGTAGTAATGAAGCTGTTTCCAAATTACCTCTCTGTCGACTCTGTCAAAGGTCTTCCCAAAGTCTATGAAGGTGAGGTGTAGAGTTGACTGCCATTCTATACTCTGTTCTATGATGATGCGTAATGTAGCGTTGCAATTTGGTCGGCACATGATTTGTACTTCCTGAATCCAGCCATCCATCCTGTTTGGGTCGTAATTTTGAATCCAGCGCATCCTTTAGTCTCTTAAGGATGATGCGGCATAATTTTTCGCTTGCTTTGGGTGGACAGGGACAGCATCATGGTTCCGCGCCAGTTCTTGCAAACACTGAGGTCTCCCTTCTTCGGCAGTTTGACAAGGTAACCCTTCTTCCTTCTCTTCCTTCCACACCTTCTGCAATAGTGGTGTAAGCATGTCCGCTGTTGTCTCTGCGTCTGCTGTCAGTGCTTCTGGCGGGATCCCATCTGGTCCTACTGCTTTCCCACATTTCAGTAGCTTTATGGCGTTCAGAACTTCCATTTTCGTTGGAGGATTTATGTTCGCTTGTAGTTCAGCGGTTGTAGGTGGTGTTTCTGGACGAAGTGCAGGTGGTGGTGGTGGTCGATTCAAGAGCTTCTTGAAGTGGTCGGCCCATTGTTTACTTTGTTTCTCTTCTTTCGTAATTAAATTTCCGTCATCATCTTTTATTGGCTTTGTCTGCGTTGATCTCTTCCCAGATATCAACCTGGTTATTTGATACAATGTTGTCAGGACTCTGTCTCTCCTACCTGCAGCCTGTTCTGCTTCACTTGCCAGTGCTTCGTAGAAGTGTCTTCTGTCTTTCCGTGCACTCTTCTTCACTTCTTTGTCCAGTGTAGTATTTTATACATTGTATTCAGTTCCTCTTCTCTTTGAGCATCCTTGCACTGATTTATCTTCTGCTTCACCATCCTCCTCTCCCTCCTCTATCAGCTTCCATGTATCCACTGAGGTCCATTGCTTATCTTCTTTCTTCCTTCTTAATACGGCTGTGCAGGTTTCTTTCCACATCTCTTTCAAAGACTTCCAGTGTTCCTCTACACAGGTTTCTTCAGGGATTTTCCTCGATATCTCCCATTTTGTCTTGATGGCTGCCGTGAACATGTCCTTTGTAGTTTCATCCTTCAGTTTCCGAGTGTTGTACTTGAACTGTGGTCTATCACCAACTTCCTTGAAGGCTTTTAACTTGATTTAAAAGGTTCCTTGCACCAGACAGTGAGTGGTCTGAGCCTACATCTGCTCCTCTTCTTGACCTTGTGTCAAGTAGACTGCGTCTCCATTTTCTTGAGATCGAGATAAAGTCGATTTGATTTTTAGTGTGTCCTGGTGTCTGGTGAAATCCATGTCGCTTTGTGGATATCCTTGTGCTTGAACACACTGCCTGGCCTCCAATCACCAAATCGTTGAATGCCCAGAATTACACAAGCGATTCTTCATTCTCATTCACCAATTCACATAGTGTCTCTCGACCCATGGTTAGTTGTCTTCCTGTGTTGTCCACTCCCAGTTTGGCATTCATGTCACCCATTAGAATTTTGATATCGCCAACTGACGTCTTGTCCAGTGTTGATTGAAGTTGTCTGTAGGATCCCTCCTTCTTCTCCTCTTGCTCTGCATTATTTATAGGTGTGTAGCGTAGCATTGTATGATTGTGACCTTCCTTCCTCTTCAGTTGAATCTTGCTGTCATGATCCTGGAGGAGATTGGTTCCCACTGCATGAGAGCCTTCGATGCTCTTGGGGACATCATGATAGCCACTCCATAACTCAGTGTGCTCGTGGTTGTCGTCTGGGTGACAATATTGGAGTAGATTATTGATTCTCCAGTTGACAGTTTGGTGAGTCCACTCCCATTCCATCTGCTTTCGCAAATTCCAACCACTTCAATGTGATACCTTCTCATCTCATTTGCAATGTGGGCTGCCTTGCTGGGTTCAAACATCGTACGGACATTCCATGTCCCCACGTTTACTTTCGCTTTCATCGATAGAAGACACACCTGTCCGGCCAATTGGCTTCCCGAAGGCTTTCACCAACTGGCGTCATTTCGCCTCTCCGATTCCAGCGGGGAATAAGTTTGTTTTCATTTTTCATATATCGTTTGTGCTTTGAAGTTTCTTTAGCGGTTAGATTTGTTTTACGGGGTAGGGTTGCTAGCCCTATGCCCAACCTTCTGTGTTTACCCGAGCTTAGGACCGGCTAGTAACTAGTGAACTAGTTAACCAGGAAGTTGTAAAACAAAACAAAATTTCAGAAGGACATCTCTACATTATGAATTGTTGAATTAGGTTCATGAGTGTTTATAAAACTATATTTTGCTCCATGATGAGAACCGCAGATCCTAATTAATATCTGAAGTTAGATATAGTTTATATTTGTACAAGTCACAAAGTATTTGAAACAAAATAATTCCAACATTTCACACAGATGCCTAGTTTGAGCTTCTTTAGAGAAATAATCTAAAATTGAAAGATGAAAGATGTATAAATAAACCGAAGACATGTGCTAAGCCTCGTTTTCCAATTCTCTGCGTACAGTCACTGTTTTTTTGTCTTAAAAGCAACAACTAGTCATCCAGTGTGGAATTGTATGTCCCTTGGTGTACCGTGTGTTTTTGCGTTGTTTTTTATATTTTCTTTGTTGATAAATACGGTACAGAAAGGTCCCAGGCGACATTGTTGTCGTTCTGTAATCTTGTAAGTACAACAAGGTGTATGAGGAAGATGTGTTTGTAATTTTGATCTGACATCGCTGCAAAAAGTTGAAAGTTTTTTAGTTCAAACACTATGACTAACGCAAATGTAAACCATATCTAATAGCAACCTTTTACTCAGCGTCCAAAATGTACGATGCTGTTTGGTCTGATCTTGATCATATTTCATATATACTATCTGAAAGTTTGTAGTTTCTAGACAAAATAGAATATGCAGGACCTAGCACCTATTACATCAAACATAGAGGACGACCCACATGCTTCTGTCAACTGCTTGATGTTCTTTCAGAGCGCTAATTAATAAATGCTCATGTTATCTATGCCAAACAACCAAATTTTTCCGCTTGTTAATCATACATAACCCTTAAAAGTCCACTACTTTGGATTTATATACATCTAATTTGTCGTTTTTCTTCTTGAACTACCACTCAATAAAAAATCGTAACTAAATTTATGTGAATTTCAATGTGATTGCTCATTTCTGTGTATCTCAGTATAATTTTTTCCAACAGTTTTCTCTCCCTAAATAAACTCACCTATTTATTATCATTGTACAGTTTTTCATGTCGTGGGAGCAGGCAAAACTGTCGTCATTATTTTTGCCATTTCTTTTAGTTTGAGTTCAAACACTTGTATTCAACCGCATTTCAAAAATATGCAGAAGAAAAGACACTAACAAAGTCAACACCACCAGATTTTCGGCAGCTTAATCAAACTGTCAAAAGACAACTTGCATACACTTGGAACTAACTAAATGTTATTTCGTTGTGTGCATGAAACGTTAGAGAATTTCTGATTTTGACCAAGTTTTATGCACACACAGGTGAATATATCAAGTACTTGTCGACAGTGCCGAGATTTTCACTGTTATTCTCAACAACTATGTTTCAAAGAATAAGTTGCAAATGTTTAACTGCACTGTGATGTGCTGTCTTAAATTTCAAATTACGTAATAATCAAAACCGACAGGTCAATAAAACCTGGACAGTCGGACGTCTAGAAATAATTCTTTAACTAAAATATGAGCGCAAACCTACCGCCAGCTACAACGAAGATATCACAGACTGATTGTATCTAGACAGTTGGTTTTTTAGCAGTTACCAGTAAGTTATTTTTTTGACAATAATTTGCAAAAATGTTTTACACTGATTTCGGATAAATTAACAGTTTGTACGTATTTTCACACTGAGCTCAGCTAGATGTTCTGGTTCGGGACAAAGTATTATGACATCGCCTCCAACTATTTTATTTCGGTATTCAATGTTGCTGGTTGTACACGTATTAGGAATAATACAACCTACAGTCACTGAACAAATATTTACTAACTTTAGAAGTGGGTCGTGTCCCAAACTTTACGACTATCGCAAATAGAACCGAAGTAAATCATGCATTAAAATTAGAAATTTCAGTTTATTATGGTATTTTTTTCAAGAAAAACGTACCAAATTACTCATAACTAAGAAAACCAGTTGCTCAAAAACAGCTTAGTTGCCATTTTATAGCATATTCATCGATGAGCTACCTCCAATGTCTATTAGTAATTTGTTTTCAAACTGAACGCCAAAAGTTCTAATGGCTTGTAAAGTTGGCTGAATCATTTGTGATGATGGGTTACCATGTCAGTGGATGATGGTCACGATATATCATAACTTGACAGAAGCAGGAATTATTGGACCATCGGATTCCATGCAATGTGCGAGTGGTGACATGTTCGGCACGAGAACTGATGACCCTTGGCTCCATACCTCATAGGATCATAGGTATGCTGCACTGAGGCTTCTAAAAGCATGATGAAGCAACTCCCAGCGCTCACCGGTTTTCAGTGATTCTCCAACGTACACTAGTCGGCGATTTAAAACTACTCTGAATACATTCAATCCTCACCAATCACCTATCTAATTACTCAGAAGAAGCCAGAAATATCTTTGAATGTAAAGATCTAATAACAAGCAAACTTACTCGTAAAAATACAAACTAGTAAGGATGTGACCATTACTCCTGTTGTGAATAAGACACACAGTAAATCGAAACGCAGTGCAAGCCAACGGTTAGCTGCTAAGTCGAGGTAAAAGACATCAGTGTGATTATCCATTACTTCTTCAAACTTAGCTAAATGATTACTTTGTCGCCAACTAGCACGAATACATGGCAGACCTTGTATTGTAACGTTCAGCCATGAAATAATAGGGCTTCTAGCTAAAATATGGAAGCAAAACACTCATAAGTGTGACTTAGTTATGAACGAATGAAACACATCTGATAAATTTATGCTTTAACGATTTATTAGGTTTAGGAAAATAATTAAAAATTATAAAGATGCGTTTGAGTTATTTTATTAGACATTACCGACTGTCAACATAAGCTAAAAACCTCATACTATCCGACTGGTACAATATTCATATTCATAATTCTATACACGTATATAAACGATAACCACCACAACTATTGAGTACAGAGAATACCTCTTTAAATTTGACAGTGTTAACATCACAAGGTGAGTTGGTAAATTTGTCTAGAAATCCACTGTACCCAAAGAATAATACTTCTTGATATCATAAATGTCGAGTGTAACAAGTATATAGTTACGTGATTTCCATCTAGGCACCTAATATCAGTCAGAAGCTTTGATAAACAGTATGGATTAGGTTTATGGTGCCTTGATAACACAGAATACCCAACTACTTAATGTTACTAAGTCTGACTTATGAATATAATTTTTAGAAACGAGTTTTACAACTATACTATATTGATAAAATGAATCTTTGTAAAATATTAAGATAGAACGAAATATAAACTAAGTTTTGTTTACAACCCTGCAACTCCCGTGACAAACTGACTGAGTTTTATTTTCAAAAACGCATTAAATAGTTCATTTAAAAGTTTGTAGCAACAATCGTGATTATCACCGTTGAATAAATAGCTAATTATCTCTTCTTAGTTAGACACACCTCTAGCTGCCTACTACATATGAGTGTAATCTACACAGATAAGAAAGAAGTTGACTATTAAGATTTGGATACATATAATTTTGTACTTTAAGGTTGTCACAAGATGAAGCTAAAAAGTCCTGAAACCTAAAGTAAATGATTAGTGCTTAAAACTAATATTCAGCTCTTACGACTGCTACTACTCTCGCTGTGTGTTTTGTATTTACATTTTCAACCTAGACAGTGACACATCTTTTCATCACTGAACAAAATCAATAACGACTTCACATTTCATATTACATTACAAACACATAATACTCATTAGATTTATAAATTCCTTTGAATTATGCAGTATTTTCGTTCAAAATATCTTAAGAAATACATATGTCAGCCGAGATAAAAACATTCAAAGCATGTAAATACTATATGTGCTATCGACCAAATACGGTTATATTTCTCCATATTGTTGGCGTAAGAAAAAGACACCAGACTAAAGGTACTAAATAATTTAGCCTACTCTAAAGTGAGAAAATATGAGCAATTTTTACTGTTTACAAACCTTGAATTAACCCTCTGTAAATAAATAGATAAAAGGAGATAGATTAAACATGTCGACTACTGAACTTATTTATTCTCTTCTTAGCGGGATTTTATACATATTTGTGTGTAAATGGTATCGCATGAGAAAAAACTGTTCATCAATTATTCTTGAATTGAAAAGTTAAAAAACTCTAGATTTTTGTATGTTGACCGTGTTTATATTCATTAACTATGTAAAGTTGAGTCTGTTTTACGTAACTGTGAGGTAAAAAATCACTGTAAACAGCAATATGAATTTTAGTAGTACAGTAACATCTAAAGTGGTTGAGGAGGATTTATATTGTAACAACAAATCCATCCTAAATACAGAATGATTTTCTAAAATTTATGAGTACTGAAAAACATGTATGGATGACAATTTTATTAGAAATGGATATATTCAATAGCAATTGGAATCAAAATAAAACGCACTAACACATCTGATTCAACTGTTGTACAAAATCTATTTTGTTTTTGATTTTCTAGAAAAAACTTTGATAAAGAAGGAACCAATTATGATTCCTCATCCAACGCTTTAGCAGCTTATCTCTGCACAATCACCCAAACGTTTGCTTGCTTTCTGTTATATTGACTATTTCTATGACAGTTTAACTGAATATACTTTCTTAACATTCAGTTACACGCAGGTTGAATAAGCTTTACAAAAATTTTTTAAGCCGAATTTCATTGAACTTATTGCTGTTCATGACTAATAATAAATAAATGATTGAAAATACAAATAAGTAATATTTAGAATTACCAGCAGATTCAAGCCGTTTTAAATCTTTTGAAATTCGTATATATTTCCTCTGAGTTAAATAAAACAGAGTAACAGCTAAAACTGTTGGTATTATACACCAATAAGTCATGAAGATAGTTGCAGCTCCCATAATAAGAACTAGAAAGAAACACTGAAGTTGAATAGAAAAAAAGCAGCATATTTTAGATAAGATTTATCGACAATATACTAAAAACCAATTAAGTGAAAAAAAACTAGTCAACACCAGTACTACTACTAGTAGTAGTGATATGAATAAGATCATTTATGAAAATGCATTTTAAAGCATAGCAGGCGTGCGCTATCCAAAGATATGCTGTACTAGGCACTAATGTTTGGTATCTATCTCTTGACGAAATGATGTTTTTAATTAGTATTGCTGCTAATTATCTGATGAAATGATTCCTATAAGCAAACAAATGAAAATATTCTTTGAATAAATATCTACTGGATCAGTTAGATATAGATGGAACTAGTCAAAGCGAATATCAGAAGTCAGGGCTGATCTAGAGGGAATATCAGCATGTCTGACATTCTGTGAAATTATTTATGATCTCATCCCAATTAAACTGTTTAGCAATGAGCTTAACTCTAATTCACACACCTGGATGAGATAGCATTTACAAAGTAGTGAAGACTCTCCGTCCACAGCCACCTGTGGATTAAATAATAAAGAATGTAACTCAGCGCTTCCTGAATATACTGTCAAAGAAGGATGAGGTGATGTCAAGCATACACTAAAACATTGGTGAGAATAAAGATAATATCGACTCTTCTTGAATTTACTTATTTAATTATCCTGATTCGACTCTAGTAAGCCTCATAACCATTCACTTAAATTAACTGAACCAAAATATCACTGAATAGTGCGTTCATACCAGTCTGTTAACGTTTTGTCATATATTAACTTCCTTTATCCAAGTCAAATGACAGAAATAACTGGAGATAAGAAACTGCACCCTACTTTCTTACATCCGAGGTTACTTTTGGAAGCTGTATCCAGATTTATGCTTACCTGATCTGACACAGTGATCATTCGAACTTTTGGTGGAATATCAATATTTTATTACACTATACTTGTTTATTATTGTATACGCAGAAATAAGTGCTATTATGTCCCTAAACAAACTACATAGTGCAACGTTCTCCTTTGTTATTTCTCATAAATATATTTCCTTCTGCAAATCTGCTTGAAAAGAAAAAGAGAGAGGCAGTGTAACGCAGTCAAATAACTTTCATTACTCTACATTAATTCGAACTAATGCATGAAGTCAAATGACTTTCATATCTACCAATGTTTTGCTCATTGGTGCAATTTCATTTAGATGAATGGTAGTAATCAAATTGAAATGACCAAATACCTATTCTCGTTATTCCTTTTAAATGGTTAAACTTTACTATAGGAACATAAGTCAACTTACAAACTTCTTAGAACTTGGTTTTGGGAATTTCGCTAGATCCTACTGTTGATGTTAGAAACCCTGAATTTTACAAACGTCTTCCAAGTATTGCATTCTCTAACTTGGTCCCTCTGACTTTCTTATAATTACGACGAAGTTTTGAGCTAAAGTTAAACTTGCATACTAACATGAGAACTTGTGAAGTACTCCCAAATTATACTTTCAGGCTACACTATCGATAAAGACTAATAAATTAGTTATCGATACTAGTAGTTGTGGTAAATATCTGTAGCTCAGAGTGTTGTGAGTTGCTCTCTGAACTAAATATCCAGTTTGTGAACGCTCTAATGTCATACTGGACATCACTGTGCATCAAAGCTTCACAAAAAAGGGCAGTAATTGGTTTTGTATGGATAGATTCAACGTGCTACTTTACCTGGACGCAACATGATTGGTTGTTTGGTGATTTTCTTTGTTTACTTGCAGTACGCTGAATTAACTTCGTTTTGATTATTTTTTTGACTTTTCCTTGAACAAATTTGTGGGGACTGCTTCGATCTGATTGTTTGACACTTCATCCCGAATTAAGCGACGTAGATAGACTCGTGTGTAATGAAAAGAATGGTACGCACTGATTAACTGGTTTGCTCCAACTAAAGGGTTGCTAACTAGCTAAATGTTATTGCAGAAGAGGATTCGCTTGGCACTGGTTAGGTACAGGAGTTTGGTTAGTCATACAGGAGTTGTTCTGACCCAACTGAATGACGATTTTCTCTTTTAGTTACTTCGAAAGTCTCAGTGCATTCGAACCGGTTCATTCTCCTAAATGATTTCTTTCCAATAAACCAATGCATTGCGTCTAATTCCATGTGAATGTTTACTGCTAATATGTCTGAGTGTCCGGACTCCAAGAACTCTTGAGCTGCTTTCGAGTTTGCAAATTCAGATATTTTGAAACTGTCCAAGTCTGACATGTGGTTATGACTACTGCAGTTTACTGAGATGTGAGACTCAAAATTATGATGATGAATGGCAAACTACTACTCATGTAGTTGCGGTAATAAAGGTGTACTTTACCGTCGCAATTAATGCAGCTGAGTTTACAGACAGTCTTTTCGTTTTCTGACTAAGTCTTTTGGTCCGCATAGAATATGTAGCTACTTCATTGGTTTCTGTAGTATGGTGATTCGAAGTAGAAAAAAAAATCTGATTGTCGTGTCAGAGATATTCTTGATGTCTGGGAGGTGCTTCTTCTTCCATTAATTTTCGCAGTAGATTTTTACATCGTTCGTTCGCAAAGAAATTACCTAGTGAAGTCCCATGTGGAGCTTTAAAGTTGAAGATTTACTTTTTCTCTTAGACCTCTTTTGTTCTGCAGTAAAGGAATGTGTCCACTTGTCTTATAGGGCCTTTATTTAGCTCTTATTGTAAGATATCGGATTTTTGTCGTTGTGACCGAAGATCTGGTTCGTGTGATATACTTTTCCGTACACTTGAGTTTCACTGAGTCCAACAAAATTATTTTGCAATTAAAACATCTAAAAACGCTGGTTGTTCAATATTTTCTCTTCCCGAACTCGATTCCTCTGAAAACATTACAGCTTATTTTTCGAGCAGATTCAATATCATTTTAATTAAGGATGACAAATGTCTTGCCCGCTTATCGTACTCACAATTTTGGCTTCGTGGTTACCAGGATTCCTAACTCCAGTCGCTGCATTACTGCTTCTGCAGCAATCAACAAGATTGAAGATTCATCTGTAATCCCGTTACTTGTTCATACATCTCTCCATTGAAATAAAATTATGTGGATCAACGAAGGTTCATTACATATATTATTTTTGTATTGGATGCTTGTTTGAGCTTTTTGGTCATCATCATTTTAAGCATTCTTAGGATATTTTCCCCTGCAAGTTTATGGTCCATCCAAGAGGAGAGGGCTTCGACATCAAAAGAGATTATTGTCTCATCTTCAAATATTTTGATACCTTTGCTTTTGTTCGGAAACTGATTCACTGAGTTGATTGATTTGGTCGCATTGTTGATAAGATAGCATAGCCTTCCCGATAACTACTTTCATAAGTTGCATGTTGGAATCCCTGGAAGTGAAACAATTGTTAGAAAAGGTACTTCCGGTGTATGGATCTTCAATCCTTCATAAGACTGTGGAAGTATTGGTTCATTCAATCTCATTCTCCATTCATCTACCCTTTCGGTGTCTTACTCCGATGACACTTTCCAATTTGTTCTCTATTTAATCGCTTGGCTTTTCGATTGGCCTCACTTCTATACTCCTGTTTGTTGTTTGTGGCAAGTATCCACGCATAACCGATAACTCCAAATCCTTATGAAGATATGCTGTGCTGATGACGATATCTAGCGTGATAATGAGGCGTTTGAGAACTAAAATACTGGCTCAGAGAACAAATCACTCTGAACAGGTACCTGTGTTTTAAGCCCATCAAATTATTACAATTTTCATTCCACTATACTAATAGGTACAAGAACTCATGAAACAAAACTATCTTACCTGAATAGCATCATACATTGTCACAGGCAGCACATCATCTACTTGACTAATGTCCTTTGAAAATCTGTTGATTATACTTCCTTTTAAGATGAATACGAAAGACAAATATTAGTGAGAAATCAGAAATCAGATAATTCATTAAAAATTAAATATTTTACGAAATTATTTTAAGTGACAGATTTTCGTTATAGAAAACCATTCTTCCCAAAAATACACTACATATTCCTATGACCGAGGTTCAAAGATAACTTCAAAGAGAATGGGTTTTTATATCTGGCCTAACGTAACAGAAGCTTCAAGTCAGCCTTACTCTGTTGATCAAGTCAGACAATTAACAGTTCACCAAATACATAAACATAGGACAGGTATATAAAAATGTTAACATATTATGGTACTGAGTGCTACAAATACCACACACGCCTTTCTCGCCGCAATGATCTATTTCTGTCTGAATATATGCTTCACGCTGCTTCTTGGAAGTCGAGTCTTTGATTTGTTACGCTTTTATCATCCTTCTATATATCATCAGTCTTAAATTATGTGTGAAGGGACCTATTAATCTTCCATCGTGAGTGATTCAGCAGCCCGATCTAAAGAAGTGGCGTGTCACTGGTAGTTTTCCTTTATTGTCACATATCTGACCGAACAATTTTCTGTTGGTCGTCTCACTGTCCAACCTCCAAAGTTATAGTTGTCCATCCTTACTCCCAGCGGTTGGCAAATTTGGTCAAGGAACTCTCTGAAATTCCGTATTTTTGCTGTCCGAAGTACCCACATTTTCCAAAAATCGAAGTCATGTTCACGGTTTTCCACATTCATTGATATGACAGACAGAATATCGTGATGTTCAGTTGCCAACAGGGGTCCATGAAGACAAAAACAAAAGGTGACCACTGCCCCCAATGTGGTATTCATCACAAATATCACCGCTGATTTCGTATGCGATGCTTGTCCAATGTTCGCCTTCAAGAGGGGTTGTTGGTTAATGGGGCTAACCAATTTCTTAATGGCTTCAGTAGTCTTATCATGACCTATGAAGTACTCTTCATGTATAGTAGGATGATGCGTCTTCTCATTTCCGTAGACTATCTTGTAGTTGGTAATCAACTGGATAGGCATCTTCCGATGAAGCCGCATAAAAAACCATTCTTCTATAGGATTTACTTTGAGTAGTTTTCTTCGTTTCATTGTGAAGCAGTTGTATTGCATTTTCATTCTTCTCTTTTGAATGAATAGCTTGGCACCTAATTTTACACGTTGTTGGGTTGCGGCTACTTTGGCTGTCGATTTTATCCATGAGTGTGAGCCTCCTGCATAATTCGATCTCCGATTTCCCAGTGTGAATTCAATTGACTGAGCCACATGAAAATGACATTCTCTCATTTAATATTCCACTGTGAATTCGGTGTTGTCAGAAACGTTGTTATTGATGTTGTGAATGCTTTGCAGTGACTCGTTTTGAACTACATCAAAAGTGTCATGCAGACAGTGGCTTTCAAATGGCTTTCAGTCTCTCCATCGCTGCGTTTGCAAACAATCCAGAAATATGTGATATTCCATAGAAGTGATAGGAATCTGCGGGACCAGATGGAATGGAAGTGGACTCTCCAAATTATCAACTGGAGAGTCAATAATCTACACCGAAACTGTCACCCAGACGACAACTATAAGCACATTGAGTTTTGCAGTGATTATCATACTGTCCACAAGAACAATGGGGGCTCCCTCTCATGTAGTGGGAACCAATCTCCTCCACAAATAGGATCATGACAGCAAGGTTTGACTAAAAAGAAAGGAAAGTCACAATCATTCAATGCTACGCTATACATCTACAAGTATTGCAGACCAAAGGAAGGAGGAGAAATTCTACAGACAACTGCAATCAGTAATGGACAAGGTCCCACTCAAGATGACGACATCAAAATTCATTCTGATGGATGACATGAAGTCCAAACTGGGGGAGGACAACACAGGAAGAGAACTCAACGTGGGTGGAGTGGCACTCGGTGAATTGATGAATAGAAATGGAGACCTCCACTCAATCGTCTGCGCCTTCTATGAATTGGCGATTGGAGGCAGCGTGTACAAACACAAGGCTATTCACAAAGTGAGCGACATGGATTTGATTTCACTAGACAGAAGGCAGGACACACTCAAAATCAGATCGACTCCATGTCAATGTGAAGAGATGTAGGCTACTGGACACCAGATAAGATAAAGAAGAGGAGCAGATGTCGATTCACACCACTTAATATCCAGTGCAACGAATCTACCTTCAAAACAAAGTTGAAAGCCTTCAAAGTAGTTGGTGACAGACCAGAGTTGAAGTCCGCACCCACAACAGAAACTAAACAGAAAGATGAAAATACAATGGACATCTTCACCTCAGTCAGTCAGTCAGTCAGTCAGTCATCAGGAAAAAAAGGGAGATATTGAGCAATATTCTCGAAGAAATCTGAGTGGAAGAACACTGGAACTCTTCGAAAGAGATGTGGAAGGAAACCTGCATAACCGTGTTAGGAAGCAAGAAGAAGCAGGACAAGACAAGGAATGGATCTCGATGGACACATGGAAGCTGGTAGAGGAGGGAGAGGAAGATGGTGAAGCAGAAGATGAATCAGTGTAGTGCAGTGCAGTGCAGTGGAATGCAGTGAAGTGCAGTGGAGTGGAGTGGAGTGCACAGAAGAATAACGGAAAGAGGAACTGAATACAATCTATAAAACACTGGACTGGACAAAGAAGTGAGCAAGAGTGGGCGCAAAGACAAGAGACACTTCCATGACACACTTGCAAGTGAAGCAGGTAAGATGGACAGAAAGCTGACAACACTGAATCAAATAACCAGGTTACCATGTGAGAAGGGAGAGATCAACACAGATGAAACCGATGAAAGATAGTGAAGGAAACTTAGTTAGCGAGAGTGGAGAAACAAAGGAAACGATGGGCTGACCACTTCAAAAATCTCTTGAATCGACCACCTCCACTTCCACTTCCATCTTCACCTCCACCTCCACCTGTAACCAGTCCAGAGGTTACACCAGCAGCACAGCCACAGAACTATCAGTGAACACAAACCCTCCTATGAAAGCGGAAGTGAAGTCCTGAACACCACAAAGTTACTGAAATTCGGTAAAGCATCATGACCAGATGGAATTCCACCAGAAGCACTGAAGACAGATGCAGAGACAACAGCAGACACGCTCACACCATTGATTCAGAAGGTTTACAAGGAAGAAAGGAAGATAAGGTACCTGCCGATGGATTGGAAGAAGGGTTACCTTGTCAAACGCCTAAACAAGGGAGACCTAGGTGTTTGCGGGCACCGGGGGGGGGGAAATGCTGCTGTCCCTGTCCACCCAAAGCAAAATATTGAGCCACATCATCCTGGAGAGACTAAAACATGCTCTGGATTCAAAATGATGACCAGAACAGGCTGACTGGCTAGCTTGTGAAGAACAAATCATGTGTGAATCAAATTGCAACGCATTGCTACTCATCGTCATCACAGAACACAGCATAGAAAGGCACTGATTTCAACTCAACTCAACTCAAAGTCAGCTTCATCGACTTTGAAAAGGCCTTCGATAGCATCGACGGAGAAGCAATTCGCTAGCTGCTTGCTTCAACACTACAGTTCTATCAATCTCATTCAACAACTATATGACTACTCCACATGCGAAGTGATTCACACCACAATGGAAATCTCAGTGATGTCTTGGAGTGGAAGTGAAGGTAGGAGTGAGACAGGGTTGCCATCCACTATCACCAATGATCCTCCTGATTATGGTCAACTGGACTCGACTGGACTGGACTGGGTCATGCGCGAATCTGTGAGGAGTTGTGAGAAGATGAGCACACGCTGTTTGACCGATGAACAGACCCTAGAAGATTTGGATTTCACCCACAATGATGATTTATGTCTGATGTCTTGTCGCATAAACTCGAAGGTGTACATGTGAAAACCAACAAGTTGGTAGAAGAGGCAGGTCAGTGGAGATGGCACTGACTTCAGGTGAGGGTAGAGAAGACAGAGATGATGAAGATACCCACCCAACAACAACAATCCACGATCACCATGAATGGGGTAAATGTAAAGGAGGAAGTTGTCTGTTTCACCTTTCTTCCTAGTGAAGGCAGCATTGTTTCAACTACGGGTGGCACAGATGAAGACGTCGAGGCAGGTAGGATTGTAAATACACCAAGACAGGACTTCGTCAATCTGAAACCCTTGTAGAGATCTACTCCACTCAGCATGACGCGTGAACGAGACCCGGAGTTTCCACACCAATCCAGTCAAGTGAGTCAGTGCTTCTCTGTGGTTCAGAAACTTTCCAAGGGTTACATCGTCAACACCCCTTTAGAGGGCAAGAAAACAAAAGGGGGCGGCACAAAACAAAACCCCCAAAAAATAAGAGGGGTGGGATAAAGAAAATTTGGAACCTTGCGCGCGGGAAATGAATGGGGTGAGTGTGACATTGAGGAGATGATGTGGGGAAGAAATAAAAGCTTCTGAAAAGTCGTGAAATGTAGAAAACAGTGTGAAATGGCCATGCGCTATTAAAGCCACATGTTCCACTAGGAACTCAAGGGACAAATAATAATATAACAACTAAGGTTCCTTTCACCTGTTTGTATTTCTTGACTTAAAAGTACGCTGTCTGACCACAACCACTGAGTTTCATCGCTCTCCAATGCTGACGTTTTGTGCGTTCTGAAATCCATGTATCGTCTCTGAGGAGATATGCACTATCGTTAGCTAATTGTGGTTCAATTGATGTATATAATGTTGTAACGTCAAAGGAAACCAAAAATTCGTCATTCCTTTTGTAAATGCCTTCAATCTCTTTCATAAACTATATGGGCAACGTCATAAAATTTTCTCTTTACTCCCTAAAACATTTCAGTTCCCCAGAAAACTCTTTGAATTAATTCAAGGTTAATAGTCCTTGTATTGGAGAAATGCTTGGCTTCTGAAGCTTTTGTCCACCTTAAGGTAAAGAAGGACGGATCCATCAGAATCCATCCACGTTTTACATTATTTGCCTATTTAAGCTCTTTTCAAAAGATTATTAATAGTCCTGATAGTCTGGTTACCAAATCACTCAACACATTTAGTCTCAATCAGCTGATATATATTTTCTTTTTTTGGAAATACTTTGTGTGGTCTTTGTTGTCCATGAACATTGTAATGCACACTGTTTCTTAAAAACCCAGAAGCGCTTTCTTCTTTTGATTCTTCTTCATTTTATCTTGATGCCCTGAGTGATAATTACAGTGTAGTAGAAAATTTTTGTTTCTATCCATCTTTTGTATTTCACCTTAGCTGTTTATGGAAAAGGTTTTCAACTTTGCTCATTGGTCACTTTGATAAGTTAGCTACCTAGTTGTTTATTTTTGCCGTAGCGGGCCTTTGAAAAAATTACCGATAGTTTTCTCATGGGTATTTACTCACATAACCTGCTTGATTTTTCAATTACTGCCGTCGACGTTTTCAAGTATTGTGTCATAGGTACACCTTTTATTTTTAGGTTAATACTTCTGAATCTGATGACGAGCATCATTTCTGACCAGCTATTTTTATTTATTACTTTTTAAGGTAGTCAATCGGTGGTTATTATTTGATACTCTTCAGTAAAGCATGTTGATGAAGGAACTAGTGGAGAAAAGCCAACTGTTCAATTATTTAAGCTTGTTTATTAGCGAAGTTCTACTTCCAAAATACAAGAAGTGTATTGAATGCTTGTTGGATTTCGGTACTAGTTATTTATCATTGAACATAACGGCGAAGTTAATAATATTTTCAAACAAATGTAAATATAACTTAGTTTTGCGTGACAATCATACCACTAGCAAGAGCCTTATTACCTCGTTACCAATTTATTTATATTTGAGCACAATACAGTGGGTTAAATAGGTATTACGTGAATGCGGTAGCTGTTTTCGTAACCTATGTAACATCATAAAAGATATTGCATTCTACATCGTTGGTATTCGGCATGCACAGTCAAACGAAAGGAGTACGTAACTCACTGAATAAAAATATACAAAGTTGATTTTCATTTCCTTGAATTCGATGACTAGGCTTTTGCAATAAAGTATAATAAAATAATCCTAGTCGGCCTTTTTATTAGTTTTTGTCGCTGTTATTACTTAATTTGTTACTGACCGGCATGTTTTCGCTTGTCAATTTCAGTCCAACTAGCTGAAGCTAGAAAGGATAGAATAAAGTTTTCCATCATCATTCGTTTAATAAACCTGTCTGCACATTATTTTAACCACCGTATTACCTACTCATACATTTGATGAAAGCTGGTACACCTTGTTTGAAAGATTTGCAGGGCTATCGTTTATGACAACGGTCCCGAACGAGAAATGATCTTTGAAAAAAAAATCATGCCTTTTTCAAACATTCCACACTATAAATATAACCTTGACTTCAGAAGACTTCCGCGAAGAGCAAAGCTAATGAAGATTTTAACTTATATTACCACGAATCATACAAGTATTTAAAAAGTAAAAACCACATGCATTGACAGCGTTTGTTAGACCATTACTGGTTTATTGATATGAGCCCATATTTGACTATTTGTTTGCAATATTAACATAACAAAGTAGATCATGGTCAGGACTCATCGACAAATTTTGGCTTCGTTTGACTTAGCGTAGCAGCCACATTCTCCTTCGTTGTGATTCCTTAGAAATCTCCCTTAAATTACATATTCTAGTGTTATTGGTTGTATGACACCGTCGTTGATTGGACCGAATTAATCAGTCTCTATTGCCATATGGGCTCCTGTGCGAATGCCTCGATGTTGCTAGTGTTCTTAACTATATAGTAATGATGGATAGTGGCTAGTAGTGGAATCCAGGATGCGCATTTCGTCTATTTGGGAATCGTCAAGAGTGGCTATCTTGACTTGGTGGTGCAGTGGATAGCGCTTTCGTGCTTGAGGCGATCGCTTCCGAGACCGAGTGCCGGTGTGAACAACATCACTCACTGGGAGGCAGGTACATCCAGCTGACGAGTCTCAAATAGAACGAAATGCGCATCCTGGATTCTACTGCCAGCCATTATCCATCATTATCACATATTCTACTGTTTAGAATAATGCAATTTTTAACTTTATCTTATGGTATCAGTGATGATCAACTAAACCACCACAAAAATGCTTTCCCAAGCTTAATCTATTAATCGGAAAGTATTGCATTGAAAAGGATATAGTTTAAAATGATAATAAAGCCATTATATAATTTCTTTAGCGCTTACCAGATGGGTTACTTCAAAAAACTTGATTTCAGTATGCAAACAAGCATTTAACATCTTATCATGAAGACGTCTAGCTGCACCAACCATAAGCTAAGATAAAGAAAGTAATGACAAATTAGTATTTTGGTTGAAGGCATATTTGGACAAGAGGTTATTTTGGATCACTGTAACTTTCCCATCTTAGATGGCTTTCATTTTGACATATTTCACTACGAAAGAGAAATCACAAGTGAGATACCGAAGAGTTAACAACCACAGAAAACTCAAATTTTGCCTCATTTCAAAAATTAACTGGAAGTAATCTTAGTTTTCACCGAAAATGCACTTGCTACTACGCTAGTGAGATTTGGTTCAATATCTAAGAGAAAAATGTATGACATTTTTTTAGGCAGAATATATTCCATTCATATTCGTGATAAGTGATTCATTTGCTAGAAATATGAATAAAGAAGTTGGCCATCAGTTGGTTCATGATTTAAAAGAAAAACAGTTTGCATCAAGAACAGTATAATATTCCTATACTCAAAATCGTAGGTCATCGACAACGATAACCAAAAGATTACTAGAATATTTGTGTTTTCTTTTAAAAAGATTAGCGAGTGCACCATAGCCAGTCCATTGAAGAACTGGAAACTGAACACATGTATAATCAGCAGGAGATACACGTAAAGGACACCAACAAACATTGTGAACTTCAGATTTGCAGTCCATTTTAATTAAGGTATTCGAAAGGTCATTTCAACTGACACAGGAAATAATAACTGATATAAAATATACTTCAGAAACACTACTAAAAACTTTCCCACAGGAAATTCAGATAATAAAAATAATCAAATACTGATATTATCCAATAAATACATTACCCTATTCATGTTTTCTTAAAGTCATACTCATTTAAAACATCTATGTCAATCAGTAGTTAAGCTTACAGTAAAAAATAAAAAAGCTCTGGTATATACCAAAACACCAAACCAATCATTAAACACCAAAGGACGATGAAATTAAATTTCATGCTTCTAGTATCGAATGATCCCAATAAGTAAAATGTCATATTTCTTTGATAATCTTGTTTGTCGTTAATATCAAAATTGTCCATAAGATGGCACCTGAAATAGGAATGATAATTAAGCTGTGTGGAGAAAATCAGAATTGAATTTAAACAGTTAATGCAAGTATATAGAACAGTTCACCTGTCCAAGAAGTAGCTGATGTGTATCTTCCTGGGAAAAGCGTAGAGAATACGGCTGAAACACTGCAAACATTATAAAACCATATCAAATATTTGACCGAAAAATGAGATCTTAACACTCTCTGCAAATTCTCTCAAATCCGACACTCACTACATGAACAGCAATGTAGCATACGAGTTTATCAGTCAAAATACCTAGAAAACAGTATCATATTCAATTTGTACCTAGAAACTGCCTAAAATGTTTGTAAAATTAATGTTCATATCGACAATCCAAACGAAAGTTTACGGACCTTCCTTTTTTCTAGGAGCAAAATCGTAAAATTTTTTTAAGCTTCTTACTGCTTGACTTTTACTTTATAGAAACGAAGATAAAATATTATTTTCATAGCCAGAGAAATACAATATTCTTAGGATGGAAAAGATAAACTGTTATGTATTATCTTTATGCATCAATTTTTGTTGCTTTCTCCAAACTACAGTACAAAACTTTCGCCTTGATATCTTCATAATATTATTTTATGGAACCATATTATTAACTTCAGCCTGCTTTCAAACATTAGAGATTAGAATAGTGAATTTGTCTGTCGTACTATCAAGGAATGTTTTCTACAAATCCAAGAAATCTACTTAGATAGTTTTCCAGATGCAAATTGCATTAGATATAATGTAGGCAGGATGACTAAAAAATTTAAATGTCACAAACTGAAGCTTTGCTCTCAAATTCATTTGCTGTTGGCAGCTGATAGGCTTGACTAGTTAAACTTCAGAATAAACGCACGTCTGTTATCATGCTATTATTAACCAATTTACATGGTTCGCCAAACAGTAACTACTCTGTTTTTCGATAACTCTATGCTCTTACCTATGTGCTGATAGTCTGTGTTAGATATCTATATTTTTCTTCCAGAAGAATTTCAACAACTGCAGATTTGGCCATAGCCTACGTTTCAACAAACCTACAGACGTATCTTTTTTTCACTCCAAAGCTCCGTCCAGCTATGCACAACAGTCGTATTCCTGTGGCGTATATCTTTTAGTTTATTTGATCGTTAACCAGAAAAGTATGTCCCAACTAGAAACCTGATGGAAAAGTTAGCGAAAATACCGCAAAATTCAAATCTATGTGATGTATGACGGCTGTATTTCTTGCCACTTTCAAGGAACAGAATATTATAAATATTCGAGCGGATTTCAGACATGGTAAGTATATTGATACTACCATAACCCCCCCTTCAAAATGCCTGTATCAACCACCCTGAAGATGGGTGTTGATCTCTCGACCCACACGTTCACCAGTAGCACCTGTCATCAGATAAGGAATAGGTCATTTATTTACTTGAGTTCTCTAAAGGCAAGAAACGTTTTGAACGAGTTTTATTCTTAATTCATCATGAAAAATGAAATACTTTTGCTTTTTTCGCGAAGACAATTATTTCATTCTTTCTTAAATCAAACAAGGCAAAGGCATAATAGAACTGGAATTAACAAGAATGAGAGTGAAAATAATGACACGCTTCAATGTTTTACAGCTTTATGTGATTTATTGGGACATTCTCAGCAATCGGAAATAGAAACGGACAGCAGCAAAAATACGTAAAACTTAGAAGAAAGATACCGTATGCGAATGCAGTATACAGATAAGTTGATAACAATAATCAAGGCAAAAAATTATGTTTAGTTGAGTTCAATACAATAAAATAGAATCTTAGAATTAATTAAAATTTTGGACTTCTAATAATGGATATGAATAGTGACGACGTTACTGAATATGAAAAGATGATGGTTTGGTACCCTTTGTTCTAAGATGTTCTGTTATGGACGCCTCATGATAGGGCTTGGCGAAATTCTGAATAGATAAGTTAAGAAGTCTGTGACTTAATTGCCAAATGACGAAGGTTGGAATAATTGAGGTAATACCAGTTCCCTTGTGCTTACAGCCATTCCTTGCCGATGATTAGTAAAATATACAGGACCAGGGACTATGCCTTTTTACCGATGGGTTCTGAACGTTTAACGTCAAAAAACAGTTGACTAAAGTGACACACCATTTAGATTAGTGGCTACATTGCAAAGTAGAATGATGAACTGTCATAAGTACCTAGCACTATGTACCAGATAGCTACGCTAACAATCCATTGGTGACCTATCCATGTATTGAATGATAAAATCTGCTTTAAAGTAATCAAAAAACCAACAGGCGAATAGCTGAATACTTATTCATCAGAACCATCAAAATTTCTCCCTCTTTTTTTGGCTAGACTCTTGTTAAGGCATTAACTTTTATATAACAACAAATAAAATATCACATTTGTGCTTTTTTGTGTAGTGATAATTCATAACTAGAATAAATTCTCGAAATTACTACTTTCCCAGCTTAACAGCATGAAAATCTAACTGCAAAAACGTGGTTCACTGTACTGTTTATAAAGCGATAAACCGTTGATGCTTGTAATAAATGTTAGTTAATGCCTTTCAGGAGCACACCCTGACGCTGATTAATACGCATGACTTAAATACTAAACTCTAAAATAGAATGTTCTATCACGTTTCGTTGAAGTATTTTCATACTTTACATATTGGTACATCGAAATTCCTTGATATAAAAATGTTTAGGTTTGCTGACTCCCTTTAATGAAATATCTACTGATGTGTCGTACTTTGAGGTTAGTGACTTTTGACGTAAGGCGTTGTAAGAATGCACTGTGGTAGTGCGAAATTCCACGTTCATTGGCAGGTAGGTAATTCACTGCGAGAAAAGGTATTAGTGTTTTGACATTTACTTTTTGGTAAACAGTGGCTTTTGTTTGTCGAACATTCCACTTCGAAATAATTTATTCACAATATCAACTTAAATATTAAAATTACTTGTTCCTTGTGTCCCTGGTAGAACATAGAGATTCAGTAGCACATAGCAATTTCACTCTCCTCTCTACAGTCTTTTCAATCTGACTCCACATCGGCCAACAAACTCTCATTTCTTCCACACACCATCTACCCCATGTCAACCTCACCTACCACGCCCAAATCATCATTTCACACTTGGGTCCCACTCGACGGCCTGACCTGGCCTCGCCTAGCCTCGCCCCAGGCATGATGTCCCAAACCCTCCTCTCAGCGTATGTCCAGTCCAGTCTAGTCCAATCCATCTCCTGTTTCTTCTGCATATTTGTTGGACGATCGGTTGTTGCTTGGTTCGTTACCGGATAGACAGACAGCCAGCCAGCCAGCCAGCGAGAGTTCCTTACTGCTTATCCATACTATTCTAACATCTATCTGATCTCAGTGTCAGTATCGAGTGAGCGTAGCCGTAGCCGCAGCCGTAGGCATAGGTGTAGGGGAAGGCAGTTGTTGATGAATGTCTGCAGTATGTTGGAAATGCTTCACGTAACGTGCCGCTAAGTCTCACAACCATCACATAGATGCGCTGACTCACTTGACTGGATTAGTGTGGAAAATTCCAATCTTGTTCACGCTTCATGCTGAGAGGAGACGAGAGGAGAGGGGACGAGAGGAGAGGAGAGGAGTGTAGTGCAGTGAGTCTCCACACACATTTAAGCTTAATTAAGGTCTGCCTTGGTGTCTTTACGAGCCCTAATGACTTGAGGTACTCATCTCCGCCAACATCGCTACCACCACAACCACAACCACCTGTATTCGAGACTATGCTGCATTCACTAGGAAGATAGGTGAAACAGACAACTTCCTCCTTTACATTTCCCCCACTCATGGTGATCGTGGATTGTTGTTGTTGTTGTCGCTGTTTCTTGTTAGTTGGGTATCTTCATCACTATGTCTTCTCTACCCCACCTGAAGTCAGTGCCATTTCCACTGACCTGCCTCTTCTACCAACTTGTTGGTTTTCACATGTAGACCTTCGAGTTTATGCGACAAGACATCAGACATAAATCATCATTGTGGGTGAAATCCAAATCTTCTAGGGTCTGTTCATCGGTCAAACAGCGTGTGCTCATCTTCTCACAACTCCTCACAGATTCGCGCATGACCCAGTCCAGTGCAGTCCAGTTCTGTCCAGTCGAGTCCAGTTGACCACAATCAGGAGGATCATTAGTGATAGTGGACGGCAACCCTGTCTCATTCCTACCTTCACTTCCACTCCAAGACATCACTGAGATTTCCATTGTGGTGTGAATCACTTCGCATGTGGCGTAGTCATATAGTTGTTGAATGAGATTGATAGAACTGTAGTGTTGAAGCAAGCAGCTGGCGAACTGCTTCTCGGTCGATGCTATTGAAGGGCTTATCAAAATTAATGAAGTTGAGTTTGCGTTGACTGTCATTTTATGTTCGCATTACCCTAATATATAGCGGATAACATCCCATCAGCATGTTGCATACAACAAGCGTAATCTAAATCTTTCTTAGTTTCGTGAATCTATTCATGGGAAACTTAAAACATAAATTTTGCATAACAGCTCTAGCCTAAAGAATATAATGAAGAAAGTCTTTTTAGAGCAGTGATTTCGCAACCTTGTCAAGTACTTTTTGGCTATATAGAGAAGCAGCTAGAAAACAAATTATTTCGATTCAAAGCTAATGCAATACTTCTCAGTACAAAACGAAATAAACGGAAGTTTTTAGCATCAGCAATCGTAAACAAACCTACCAGTGAGCTAACCATAAATCCCATCCAGCGAAGACTAAAACAGCTAGCAGAAACAGCAAAACAACGAAAAACGTTCCACAAAATCCTCCTGCTAAACGTGCTACAATACAATAATGCTTCCAACTAACTGGTGCTTGTTGATTTTTTTCCCCATCTTCCGATTTTCTTGTTTTCAGTTCTCCATCACCAATCAACTTCATTTTCTCTTCAGCTAACTGATAATATTTATCGTCTGGTTGATTAAAACTAATAACTTTCGCTTGTGTTGCACCCTGAAATTCATTAAAAAACTGCTATAAAATCTACTCAATGAAAATTTAAATCTGAAACAAGCAAGGAATGTGAAAAACAAGGATTCGATGGATTCATAAATGTCAGTTGTATTCGTCTGCTGAACACTCTACACAGTCGATTACATATAACGTTAAACAGTGCAAAAGAATATATATATATAATTTGTTCCTTGGGTTCCTAGTAGAATATAGGGCTTCAGTAGCACGTCTCCATTCCCCTCTGTCCTCTGCAATCTTTTGAACCCGTATCCACGACAGCCCACAAGTTCTCATTTCTTCCTCGCATGATCTCCTCCATGTCACCCTCAGCTGGGACGCCCAACTCATCGTTCCCCATCTGGGTCCAACTAGAGGGCCTAACCTGGCGCATGATGTCCTTAGTCGGCCTTCTCAGCGCATGCCCAATCCATCTCCACTTCCTTCTGCATATTTTTTGAGTGATAGTTTCTTGGTTAGTTCATGGCCATACTATTCTGGCCATCTGAGCCTCAGTAACGAGAGTAGGCAGTTGTTGATGAATGTCTGTGGTTTGCTGGAAATGCTGTTCGTAACGCGCCAAGTTTCTGAACCATCACCGAGAAGCACTGGCTTGACTGAATTAGTGTTGAAAATCAGAATGTTGTTCACGCTTTATGCTGAACGCAGAAGATCTCCACACTGGTTTAAGGTTAATGAACGCCTGTCTTGCTTTTCCAATCCTGGCTTTGACGTCCTCGTCTGTGCTGCATATATATATATATATATATATATATATATATATATATAGACGTCGATTTAGTTGTAACAACATAGAAACAAACGGTTTTTACAGGTCAGGTTATAATGCAAAGGGTAGAAGTAGAATATGCACCTGACGAGTACTACTAAAATTTATGGATTCATTAAATTTCTCTTCTTTCACGTTTGTTGCTTGTTTTAAATTTGTATGAAAAAACAATTTTTTTCAAAATTAAAATCATTTGTATAACTATACACAAATGTCATATACTGGCTACCTTATTTAATGATTAGGCATGTGACTTGGTAATGAGTTAATAATATTAGCAAGGTTAAGAATACGTAAGTGATTAAAGAGGAATAATAACATGTTTCCACGACATCCTAAGTATAGAATGAGATCCAAACCACCTTGAGAGGTGATGAGATGAATAAAGAAATTTGGATTACACTAGACCTAAGAGACAAATAATTGTGAAACTTACACTTAATAGAAAGTGGTCATTACATAAATACAAAAATAGCTTTACACCCATCTTATGTAAACTGTAAAAGTCGTATACCTAGGATTTTTAAAACTCTAGTTCAACAAAAACTTATATCCCTATTTTGTATATATAGAAAAAAATTGTAATCAATATAAACTGTTTTTGAAACATTTTTTCATTTCGATATCAAAGTTCATGCAGTCTTATGCAGTTATTTTTCCAGCATCTTTTTTAGAATAATGTCTTGCATTGCCATATTAAATTTATATAACCCTATCTTAATAACTATCTCAATATGGAGTGCACTGATAACTAAACATTTATTCAAAGAATGATCATGATATATTGTACTAAATTATCACACTTTACAGAAAGAACTTCGTCTTTTCCCCATGATGTGCGAATAGTTTGTGTTTCTGTTTCATTTTTAAAACGATTTTTACAGGAATTCAGCAATCTATAGGAATTTTAATCAATTTATCTATATAACTGGAACCCATAATTTCTCAGAGTTACTTTTCCCAAAAATGTGCTCTCTACAGAAGAAGTAGATGCAGTTTTGAAGAGCTGCATCACAAATTTTAAAAACGTGTTTCTGAAGAAGGCTTTGTCTTTAAGTGTTATTTGACTGAACATTGCTGATATTACTAATTAGAAATATAAATGGATGTTTATCTAAAAAAAATCAAAAGTTCCCAATTTAACGCAAAAAGCAACCAAAAACCTATTTCAGGTTGTTCAACTAGAATTCATAGCATACTTTTTGATTAGTAAATTCATGTTCTGATATGTTTGGACAGTTTTAAATATCACATGGGTCATACAATTAACAGGCATTTCTGAATTAAACCTTATTGTCACCTAAATTGTTGATTTCTTAAGATAATAAAAAACCAGTATTATTGAACTAAATTAGATGTTTTTCAATAAATTGATCCATTTCGTAATGGTGAACTTTTTAATCCGTTCATGTAAAAGGCTGCTATCAGTAAATTACCCTTCATGTTATAGTAGTTTTAAGAAATCTAAGTTGAAATAGTGTTTAATAGCAATCATTTGTAAATACCAACTCAGTTCAACCTGATAGAATATATTATGATATTCACACAAAAGTATTCAGGCAATTTATAAACACTTGCGTTTTACTACTCATGTTACGCACGCAAGAGCAATACCTATGGGTGGTTTACATATACGATAATAAAAGATGTTTTATTTAACCAAGCAGACAAGAACATGTTCTCTGGGACAAAAACGAAGATGCACTATTGGGAATATTATTCAATAGAAGTATTGATAGATAGGCACTCAGCTGGTGTGAAGCAGTTATTTACATAAATTACTCCAGTACATTACTATCACATAACTTGAAAAATATTTAGAGACGATTACTTGTAGTTTTATGGTTACTTAATATGAAAGGATTATTAACATGTGCTTATGTGCTGTAAATATGCCCTGAGAAACCGCCGTTGTTTTGTAACACTTATTTATTTAGCGAAGAGTCTCTTTTCGGTGATTTCGTTCTCAAAGTTAAATAAATGAGACTTTATACATTTTTCAAGTGTAAGAATTTGATGGTTAAAAAACAGTTTGTTAAGCATGACAACACAGTGTCAGTATTTGAGCCGTCACTAAAATCAAAAAATTAGAAAATTGTGATGAGTAGTGAATATTAACCAAAATAAGTTTGGACAAGACATTTGGTGACATGACGACATAATTGAAAAATAAATTGTAATCAGAAAGACAATAGCAAAAAGAAAGAATAGCAAATTGCTTAAGAAGGGAACAGTGTCGAAACAGGAAAACGAAAAGAAAGTGAGAAGAGATTTAAAGGACTAAAAACTGAGTCCATGAAAGGAGAAGGGGTTGAGCAATCTCCTTTTGAGTACACAGTCCAGGTTTCTCCATATGGATGACAAAATCTTCGGTGATGCAGAGAATACGTAAACATACAGCCTTTGGGAGATTTCTTTTCACTTACAGATGACTGTGAACGAGGAGGTTTTTGAGATAGGGTGGTTCGTATTCACGATGTGTTCAATCATAGCACTCTTTTTCGTTCCATTGTTACCTCTTTGTAACCACATAAGATAATGCCGTTGAACCCCACTTATTTCTCAGTCATGAACTTTTCAGCCTGAATTTTCAATTAAATATGCTACTGGAAAAAATGAATACTTGTAACTCACTAATGCTTGTATTAACATTTCGCTATCCAGATCACAGTGATCTAAACACTAAATGACTGTTCCATTAGTTCAGGGCCAAGCTCATCAGCAGTGTACAGATACATAATCGAATCCCACAGCGAAATCATTCTGATCGTTGTATGAATTGGCATGTGATTCAGGAAAGACTGCTATGAAAACTGAGACTGCATAAGCCTTAATTTTCAAGTACTCTCGTCACCTAGATGATTACAATCTTCTGTTAATCCACAGACATACAGTGCTATGAATCCATTACAAGCACTGAAAATATCGTAAACAGTGCTACTTTCATTTAAAATTACACCCTTATAACTAACCATTTGAAGAGAAACTAGTTTCTTAGAAGTTATCTGACGATATTTCACATCAAGTGTAGTGACTTTCACTGAGTTACCTGTGTAAATTAACAGATACCTACTGAACAACTATGAGAAACATTTTCTGTTCCGTCTTTTTCCAGGTGTACAGGTTTCGCGCAAGTTTTATGAAACCATTTCTCAGTAAACCGATCACTTTAAACCTTAGTCTAGTGACTGTGAGCAGTATGGGGTTGGAAGTAATTGTTCTTTGTAGTTCATAACTTTACCAGCAATAAATGTTAAGCTGTCAAAATTCTTCCTTAATTTCCGTTCCTATGCGATTTCCAACCATTATCTTTATCGGATTATATACCCTCTCATCAAAAAATACTTTTTAAATGGATTGAAGCTGAACGCAAGAGAGTTAGCAAGAGATGACTTTAAATTTGTAGCGACAAACTAACACCATTACCTTCTCGACCTGCTAAAATAATTTTATGCAATGTAATGCAGTCCAGTAAGTCTTATACCCACTGATCTTGAACTAAAGTGTTAAGTACTAACTTTGTCTAAAATACTTCTACTTGCTTTACACTCATATCAAGTAATTCATTGTTTGTTTCCAATTTAAAAATTGTATTTTTGCCTAATATACCTTTCCGCACCACATAAAAAAGAAAGTCAGTTTGTTAAAGAAATATAATAATAACTATATCCTGGATGCTCACTTCGTCCTATTTGGGACTCGTCAGCTGGATGTACCTGCCCCCCAGTGAGTGAAGTTGTTCCCACCGGGACTCAGACTCGGGAGCGACCGCTTCGAACGCGAGAGCGTTTTCCATTACACCACCGAGTCACGATATCAACTTCTTGTGCGACGGGTATGGTTTTAGTGTTATTGCTTGTAGAAGTGCCTATCGTGACTCAGTGGTGTAATAGATAACACTCTCGTGTTCGAAGCTATCGCTCCCGAGTCAGGTACATCCAGTTGATGAGTTCCAAATAAGACGAAATGCGCATCCTGGATTCCACTGCTCATCATTAATATACATAATTAAAACACAGGCAATATCGAGGCATCCGCATAGGAGCCCATATGCCAACAGAGACTGATCAATTCGATCCAATCAACGACGGTGTCATACAAGCAATAACACTAATCACTATATCCCTCTTAATTTTTGATACTTACAGTTATTCTTGTAATGTTCTATTTTTCGTAGCTTCACTGGAAACGTTTGGTGCTGAATAAAATCGTGAAAGTAAAACTTCATCACTTTCAGCACTAGTAAATAAAATATTTCTCATCAAACGTAATACTGTATATCTTCATTTGAAGAACGAGTTTCACTTAGCTAAGAACCATTACTTACTGTTGATGTTTCTTTCTCTCTTTGAAGCGTTTCAGAATCAGACGAAGACAGTAACTGCTTTAATTCCAATGCATTATCAGAGTACTGTTCATCAGAATAGGCTATCTTTTCTTGAGTACCGTTTCCAGAATGCGTCAATTTGTTGCTCTGTTCATATTTTTCGAACTTCTGGTTACGATTTAAAATATATGATTCTTCATTCGTGCTATACACATGGTTACAAGTCTTGTCATTGTGACTAGATACTGTATCTTCTGCTTCTGTAGAAGACTCCATACTGGAGAAATCCACTCCTTTCGCACACAGATCTGAATAGGTGCCAAATTCACATATCCTACCCTATCAATAAATGAGTGAATAAATGAATGTGTTAAATTTGAAACGATTTCATACTACTTCCAATAAATATTTGTGTGATAAAGCAATCAACTGCAATTTAAAACTTTAAAATTTGAATATCCTACTTACCCATTTCACAAAGAAGGCGAGAAAATTAGAACTGTCGACATAAACATGTCTCTGAGTTGTCTAGTTATCTCAATATAACTATGGACAATAAAGTTTATCCGAAAAGTAATCCAGTAAATAATACCGTTCCATTGTGTTAGAATAAATCAACTAAAATATAATTACATTCTACCAAAGAATTCAAGTTTTACTCTTTGCTGACCGTTTTCATAAATTTTCATAGATAGTTCTACAAGTCCATGTGTGGTCAAACTTACCGAAATGTATTGCGCTCTTACTCTAATGTTAGTATACTACTGTTCTTTAAATGTATGTTAATATATCAAATTGTTGTACCACAAAACAAGAGTAGGTGTTTGGATTCTGTTTGTAGCTCCTTTTGTAGATATAAACTAATCTCATGCTCATATTATCATTCAAGCTATAAAATGGAAGATGAAACAATGGCTAGAAACATTTTACGTTCCACCAATCGTATGATTCAAATATCTGTGACTTAGTACAGATAATATATTAGGATGCAGAAGAAACCTAGTCGCTAGATAGGCGAATTCCACAGATTTTATTTGGTACGAACATGAAGATATTTCCTAGATTAAACGTTTTAAGTTCTATTATTTTAAATTTGTTTCACTGAAACTAGTCACCTAAAAGTCATATGGGAAAATTTTATTGCAGTTATTCAGACTGAAAGAAATCACTTTTTTCGAAATGTCAGCGACGGTGAAATCGCTAAAACCAGGGAATTTTAGCAGATATTTTACCAAAGCATGAATTTACTCAGTACTTTCCACCTTTAATTTCATACGCTGTTTGATTCAGGAACTCTCGATCCTTTGATCAGCATGTCACTTTTCCAACACAAAGTTAAAACCCAGTAATCTATGCATTTCAGTAGAATTAATCTGTACATCATTCAAAATTATCCAGCTAAATAGGTATTCATCTCCTTTTTGTGAACCTTACATATCATAAGAGTTAAGATTGGGTAAGACATTCAGTAAATTCACTCCCAAGACTCTTAACTATGATTGGTTAACTATATTTTTATTCCAGAAGTAAAACCCGTCATTTTTAAAATTTTTCACTTGCCTTCCTAGTGGCACATAAGGGTTCAGTAGCACGTCGCCTTTCATTCTCCTCTCTACAGTCTTTTCAGTCTGGCTCCACATCGGCCCACAAACTCTCATTTCTTCCACACACCATCTACTCCATGTCAACCTCACCTACCACGCCCAAATCATCATTTCACATTTGAGTCCCACTCGACGGCCTGACCTGGACTTTGGACGTAAGGCGTTGTAAGAATGCACTGTGGTAGTGCGAAATTCCACGTTCATTGGCAGGTAGGTAATTCACTGCGAGAAAAGGTATTAGTGTTTTGACATTTACTTTTTGGTAAACAGTGGCTTTTGTTTGTCGAACATTTCACTTCGAAATAATTTATTCACAATATCAACTTAAATATTAAAATTACTTGTTCCTTGTGTCCCTGGTAGAACATAGAGATTCAGTAGCACATAGCAATTTCACTCTCCTCTCTACAGTCTTTTCAATCTGACTCCACATCGGCCAACAAACTCTCATTTCTTCCACACACCATCTACCCCATGTCAACCTCACCTACCACGCCCAAATCATCATTTCACACTTGGGTCCCACTCGACGGCCTGACCTGGCCTCGCCTAGCCTCGCCCCAGGCATGATGTCCCAAACCCTCCTCTCAGCGTATGTCCAGTCCAGTCTAGTCCAATCCATCTCCACTTTCTTCTGCATATTTGTTGGACAATCGGTTGTTGCTTGGTTCGTTGCCGGCTAGCCAGTCAGCCAGCCAGCCAGCCAGCGAGAGTTCCTTACTGCTTATCCATACTATTCTAACATCTATCTGATCTTCAGTGTCAGTATCGAGTGAGCGTAGTCGTAGTCGTAGCCGTAGGTATAGGCGTGTGGGAAGGCAGTTGTTGATGAATGTCTGCAGTATGTTGGAAATGCTTCACGTAACGTGCCGCTAAGTCTCACAACTATCATAAAGATGCACTGACTCACTTGACTGGATTGGTGTGGAAAATCCGGATCTTGTTCACGCTTCATGCTGAGAGGAGACGAGAGGAGAGGAGTGTAGTGCAGTGAGTCTCCACACACATTTAAGCTTAATTAAGGTCTGTCTTGGTGTCTTTACGAGCCGTAATGACTTCAGGTACTCATTGCTGCCAACATTGCTACCACCACAACCACAACCACCTGTATTCGAGACTATGCTGCCTTCACTAGGAAGATAGGTGAAACAGACAACTTCCTCCTTTACATTTCCCCCACTCATGGTGATCGTGGATTGTTGTTGTTGGGTGGGTATCTTCATCACCTCTGTCTTCTCTACCCTCACCTGAAGTCAGTGCCATCTCCACTGACCTGCCTCTTCTACCAACTTGTTGGTTTTCACATGTAGACCTTCGAGTTTATGCGACAAGACATCAGACATAAATCATCATTGTGGGTGAAATCCAAATCTTCTAGGGTCTGTTCATCGGTCAAACAGCGTGTGCTCATCTTCTCACAACTCCTCACAGATTCGCGCATGACCCAGTCCAGTGCAGTCCAGTTCGTCCATCGAGTCCAGTTGACCATAATCAGGAGGATCATTAGTGATAGTGGGTCACAACCCTGTCTCACTCCTACCTTCACTTCCACTCCAAGACATCACTGAGATTTCCATTGTGGTGTGAATCACTTCGCATGTGGTGTAGTCATATAGTTGTTGAATGAGATTGATAGAACTGTAGTGTTGAAGCAAGCAGCTAGCGAATTGCTTCTCCGTCGATGCTATCGAAGGCTTTTTCAAAGTCGATGAAGCTGACTTTGAGTTGAGTTGAGTTGAATGCCTTTCTATGCTGTGTTCTGTGATGACGATGAGTAGCAAAGCGTTGCAATTTGATTCACACATGATTTGTTCTTCACAAGCTAGCCAGTCAGCCTGTTCTGGTCATCATTTTGAATCCAGAGCATGTTTTAGTCTCTCCAGGATGATGTGGCTCAATATTTTGCTTTGGGTGGACAGGGACAGCAGCATGATTCCCCCCCCCATGGTGCCCGCAAACACCTAGGTCTCCCTTGTTTAGGCGTTTGACAAGGTAACCCTTCTTCCAATCCATCTGCAGGTACCTTATCTTCCTTTCTTCCTTGTAAACCTTCTGAATCAATGGTGTGAGCGTGTCTGCTGTTGTCTCTGCATCTGTCTTCAGTGCTTCTGGTGGAATTCCATCTGGTCATGATGCTTTACCGAATTTCAGTAACTTTGTGGTGTTCAGGACTTCACTTCCGCTTTCATAGGAGGGTTTGTGTTCACTGATAGTTCTGTGGCTGTGCTGCTGGTGTAACCTCTGGACTGTTTACAGGTGGTGGTGGTTGTGGTTGTGGAGGTGGAGGTGGTCGATTCAAGAGATTTTTGAAGTGGTCAGCCCATCGTTTCCTTTGTTTCTCCACTCTCGCTAACTAAGTTTCCTTCACTATCTTTCATCGGTTTCATCTGTGTTGATCTCTCCCTTCTCACATGGTAACCTGGTTATTTGATTCAGTGTTGTCAGCTTTCTGTCCATCTTACCTGCAACCTTCCCTGCTTCACTTGCAAGTGTGTCATGGAAGTGTCTCTTGTCTTTGCGCCCACTCTTGCTCACTTCTTTGTCCAGTCCAGTGTTTTATAGATTGTGTTCAGTTCCTCTTTCCGTTATTCTTCTGTGCACTCCACTCCACTCCACTGCACTTCACTGCATTCCACTGCACTGTACTGCACTACACTGATTCATCTTCTGCTTCACCATCTTCCTCTCCCTCCTCTACCAGCTTCCATGTGTCCATCGAGATGCATTCCTTGTCTTGTCCTGCTTCTTCTTGCTTCCTAACACGGTTATGCAGGTTCCTTCCACATCTCTTTCGAAGAGTTCCAGTGTTCTTCCACTCAGGTTTCTTCGAGAATATTGCTAATGTCTCCCATTTTTCCTGATGACTGACTGACTGACTGACTGAGGTGAAGATGTCCATTGTATTTTCATCTTTCTGTTCAGTTTCTGTTGTGGGTGCGGACTTCAACTCTGGTCTGTCACCAACTACTTTGAAGGCTTTCAACTTTGTTTTGAAGGTAGATTCGTTGCACTGGATATTAAGTGGTGTGAATCGACATCTGCTCCTCTTCTTTATCTTATCTGGTGTCCAGTAGCCTACATCTCTTCACATTGACATGGAGTCGATCTGATTTTGAGTGTGTCCTGCCTTCTGTCTAGTGAAATCAAATCCATGTCGCTCACTTTGTGAATAGCCTTGTGTTTGTACACACTGCCTCCAATCGCCAATTCATAGAAGGCGCAGACGATTGAGTGGAGGTCTCCATTTCTATTCATCAATTCACCGAGTGCCTCTCCACCCACGTTGAGTTCTCTTCCTGTGTTGTCCTCTCCCAGTTTGGACTTCATGTCATCCATTAGAATGAATTTTGATGTCGTCATCTTGAGTGGGACCTTGTCCATTACTGATTGCAGTTGTCTGTAGAATTTCTCCTCCTTCCTTTGGTCTGCAATACTTGTAGATGTATAGCGTAGCATTGAATGATTGTGACTTTCCTTTTTTTTAGTCAATCTTGCTGTCATGATCCTGTTTGTGGAGGAGATTGGTTCCCACTACATGAGAGAGAACCTTCGATGACCTTGGAGATATCATGATAGCCACCTCCCTGAGTGTGCTCATGGTTGTCGTCTGGGTGACAATATCGGAGTAAATTACTGGCTCTGTGCTTTGAGGTTTCTTTAGCGATTCTATTGGTTTTACGCGATAGGGTCGCTACCTCCTTGCCCTGCCTTCCCTCTTTATCCTGGCTTAAACCGGCTAGCAAACTAGCTAACTAGTCAATTTGGCGAGATTTTTCCGGTAATTAGCTTATGTAATAATAGTTTTCACAAGGAGCTGATCTGAGCTTGGGAGCTACTGAGAACTTTGGAGTTTCTGTTTTGCAGAAAGACGTCTGCTCCTCGGTGTTCATTCACTGCATGGATCAGAAAAAAGCGAATACCCTCAGGTCTTGTTGTTATTAAGTTACCCTTCAGCGACTGAGTTGTAATCTAGCCATTTAAATTTTACAACCGCTCAGAACGTATCACAACCATCTCTCAATGAAGTCATTGGTATCTTTCTTCACTTAGAGTAGTTGATATGACCTGTCGTGCATGATGAGTTGACTCCATTTAAAAAACATGGACCATTAAAAGATAAATTAGCTGTTTAAGAGCGAATTAGTTAAAATAAGCTTTGACGGCCCTGAAATACGCCGTGGTTTTCAAATCAAGTGCAAACTAATGAGTAACACATAATTAGGTATAAAAATTGACATCCTTGTTGTCGGTTTGTATTGAAGGGTACTAGCTCACCAAACTGGGCTTTACGATCGAAAAAATGTAACTTAACAGCACAGCAGTAGAAATTTTCACGTCACAGAATACATCTAACAAATTTGTAGTGTCGTATTTTCATAGATAACCATACAGTTTTATTTTCATTTAAGTGTGAACTTCAATTTTCAGGTACTTTGTTCTATATGTATTTGACAACTATGGCAATACTGAATGATATCAAAATACTCCCTGACTAATAACATCAGTGATAGCATAAACATTACCTCCTTTAAGAAGATGATATTTTCAGCTTTAGGTAAAAAATGCAGCTGGTGGGTGACTAGTACCCTTAATCTATTTGCCATAAATCCAACTATGCATTCTTGAAATAGGTGACCAGCAACATGCACATCAACAGCTGATAAAGGGTCATCCAGTAATACAAATGAGGTACGAGAATATGCAACTCGAGCCAGACCAATGCGAGCTTTCTGACCACCACTCAAATTGACCCCACGTTCATTTACATGAGTGTTATCACCGTTGGGAAACTGAGTTATATCCTGATAATATAAAAGAAATGAGGGTTACGAGTATCTGAGAATTTTGATTTCAAAGTGTTATGCTTAACAAAAATGCAAATATTAAATTTAAACTTCCGTTTATCTTTTAACGTCGTACAAAGGATTAACTGTTATAAGTTACAATGATGTTGTTTCATTTTGATTACATACTTCTTTATTTTATCTGCCTACCGATTCCATCTAGCTGATTTGACCTCAATCTTGCAAATTTCACTTCTTTACATGCTGTACAATCTGTAAGCTGGTATCTGTTGTTTCTTTTTCCTGCAACCCGAATATTGCTAAATAATTCTATAAAATCTTTCATTCTGTGGCATACAAATAAGTAGTGATTCTTATCGATAACTTATGACTTATGCTCTTTTAATATTTAGGATTCTCCTATTAAGTTTGAATGAGTTAGCCGTTAATTACACTCTGTTATGAGGTCAGATGCATCTCACACCCTCACAGTAATAGCAGAACTTCGTAAATTGGAATTTTGAAAACCAGCTGGTTTTCTTTTGATTCCAATCCAAAATTTTGATAATATCATAAAAGTGACACAGAAACCCATCTTTTAGAATAAACATTTGATGAAGTCCACCACTATCCATAAACTATCATGCATTTGTAAATTCTAAAACAAATAGTGCAAAAGGGTTTACATTTATAAATACGAATGCTTATGTAAACTACTGTGTGGAAAGAAATGCGAACATAAGCCTGTAGATACTGCTTACAACATCCAAAGCAGTCACTTGGAGAACGGCAGCATAGCGTTCTGGTTCAAAGGGTAGTCCACATAAAATATTTTCCTTGATTGAACCGGGTAATATCCATGCTGTTCCAGGTAGATAAGCTACTTCTGCTGATCGCTTTACGAGTCCACTAGTAGCCGGAAGTTCGCCTAGGACAGCCTGTAATAATGACGACTAAAGAGAAAGAGTCATAAAACAAAAAGTCTTGTTAAATAACTTGATTGTAACTTCTTAGCAGTTAATCAAAAGTTGCAGTAAGCCAAGATGCTATGGCAATATATTTGTCAAAGTAATGCATAGCATTCAAAATAAATTTGGTAGATACTAGATCTTTATTGAGCTGTCTTGGAACATGGGAAGTAAACTGTTTATTTATGTAACAATTTAGGCCCGTTCCTAGAAAAACGTAGTTCTTGATCACTGTAATATTCTCTTCAAAGTGTTTATGGCAAAAAATATGCAAATTTGCACCTGAAACGTAAAAATTACTGAGTATTCCGATTACTATTAGGAGATAAGAGCAAATTGGGGTAACTGCTTGGTACCGGTTATTATTTTCTGAAGAAATACAAAACTATTAATATTCTGCGCGTGCTTCTCACATTCTGCGATATAATTACATATTCACTCTAAAGGTGCAACCTCTGTAAAAGCAAGGTAAAACGTTCTTAAGAGAAAACAAGTGTAAATCAGAACTTAGAGGTATCAGATAATATAAACACTCAGCAATTGACAAATTGAAATGGTAAACTGAAATGAATCCGAACAGAAACCGATCTAACTGGTCTCTGTTGGCATATAGGGTACCTGTCTGACTGTCTCACCATTTCAATTGATCATAAACAGAAAGTATTAGTATTGGTTCAAAGCTGAACGTGGGACGCGTGACATGCCATATTCGTGACTTATCAGGAGAATGTAGTTGCAGCAAAATGTGGTCAAAAACAATTTTGAAAATTCATACAAAGTTCATTAATTTAGTATAAATATGTGGCCCAATACTACTCCGTAACGGTTCAAGTTGCAGCAGCTCACATCAGCACATAAAGGTAAAAGTTATCTAATGAAAGATAGGACATTTTATTCAGTAACAGAAAGTCACGATAGAAAATGAAGAGTAGGTGAAACAATAACGTGATGTAATATGTCGAATAGGATGTAGATAATACGTAGGTACACCTGCGCCACCTCAAGTTTTTAACCACATATTTCAATCGTCACGTGGAACACAATGAGAATTCTACATCTCATACAGCTCAAACCAACAATCAGAGATTTTGTGAACTAATGCTATGTTTTAGTCTAGTCACTTCTTACCCTTCTTCATCCTAAACCTGCTTCAGAAAACATTGTGAAACAAGGCGGATAGTAACCAACCATACCACTTCAATCAACGAAGGTTAGGAAACTGATTGGATGACCTTCCGCCTTCAGTTAGCAATGTACGCCTGACTTCTATATTACTGACCTGGTGGTGCATCAACATATGGTCTGTGTTGTGGAAGAAAATATGGTAAACACCTGGAGCATTCCAATATCCTCTATCTTACCATGTTCACAGTCATTTATTAGAACAAAGTGAATTCCAGCACTGTACACCCGACCCTAAATGCACAGTCGAGTATCGGGGCGGCGCCACAGATAGCGTAAGTAGGTGAAAGTCAGTCGAGCCTTTTGTACCCGTTCAGAGATTTATTCAGCCACTGGCCCACTAGGTTTGACCCGACTTCTCATATTAGTGAAGTGGTCAAAGTGCTCATTCATTTCACTCCTCATTGTTAGATAAGGTTTCACTGAAGACCAGTTCTGGAGTAGCACTTCACATTCGAGTGGCAAGAAAGCATCCAAATCGTTCTGAAATCGCCACTCAAGGTATCCAGAAGACCATGCACCTTGCAGTGTCTTCATCTAACGGGACTATGTCATCTGCCTACTCTAGGTCTGCTAAGCAGTCTTCTGTGACAAGTTTAATCACGGCTTTGTCAGACTACTAGAAGGAAACCTCAATTAGCACGTATGTTACTAAATCAAGTATGGAGAAAATGGACATCCATGTTGGACACCTATAACTGTACACGACTCACTGACACCACCATTTGGGCTCTGACACGTTCATGAGTGCTCGAAAACACATCATTTATTACTCACCTGAGTAAAAACACTGTCATAAGAACAATCGATCAAATAACCCCGACTTACAATTTATTAAGAAGTGATCAATACAAAAATCCCTCTTTCATCCTTGATCTTTGGTATCATATGGTCACAAGAATTTTAATGAACCCTCTAGCATTTCATTGTAGCAATTAAAACAAACCAGTATTCATCACGGACTGATATCAGTTGGACAACCACTGAAAACCATGGAGGACTGGACAGCTGTTTCGTCCTACTATTGAACTCCTTAACAGTATGCATGCACTACCGAGCTAGAGATCAGACTCAGAACCTTCAGGTTTCACAGCCACTGGGTAGGAATTCAACGTTTCACAGTTTCCTACTTTTACCAATTCGTGATATTATTCGACAATAGTACAAAAATATAAAAAAATTCCCATTAACCTTAAAATATATAACGATTTATCTTTCATTCAACCCATTTTTATGTGCACAAATGTGGTGTATGTATGAAATAGGTACTTAAGAGACAGATGTTGTTCAGATACATCACGGTATTATCTGTGTTGTTACGTGTCATAAGAGCCCATCTATCAACAGAAGTCGAGCAATCCGACCCTGCATAGTAAGGAGAAATTAAAAACACAAAACAACAACAAACGATATCCGTTGCATAAGTGGTGACTTTCGTTCCCCAGTGGCCTAGTGGATAACCTTTTGGTGTTCGGGTTGATGAGTGCTGGGTTTAAGCCCGATGGGAGGGGGAAAACAACACTCACTGGCCTTTAGGTACATCCAGCCGACGAGTCCCGAATAGGACGAAAAGCGCGTTTGGGATTCCAGTGTAAGTCGTCAAGTTTAATACAACTTCGTGAATACCCGGTAGTATCAAAACACCCACATAGGAGCCCATCTACCAACAAAGGTTGAGCAATTCGATCCTCTATAGCAACGGGGAATTACAAGTGTCAAACAAGTATCAAAAAGCTGTTTGCAGCAATTACGTCAGATCTGCATTCCTTGTGCATCTCATTGAATCTATTAGTATCCATTTCTATTGGTTTCATTTTAGATGTACAAGTACTCAACTAGTACTATTCACATAATCTTTCCTTTGAAATGAATGCAGATGAAACTTGTTATTAAAATGGAAGATAAATGAAACAACTTAGAAACTAGCTTAAAATGGGACAGAAAAAATAACAGTGAAACAAACTAAAGGGAATGAGACGAGAAGAGACGAATACATCAAGATTACTAAAAATATTTAGAACTCTGGAGATGACAAATAGTGTGGGTGTTTGTGTTAATGAGGTTTATTTTTAGCCATATCATTCAGAGTTGCGAAACAATGATTCCAAATAGTTATCTCCGTACACTCTTTAGGCCAACAATTAGTGTTAGACTCAAAGACAGCAAAAAAGAATCAAATTTCCTAGTCGCATTTTATACAGTGATAAAAGCAGTTTGTCAATCTTCACCTTTTAGTCGAATGTGTAGGTATTACCAATAAATCTACACACTGAATCTCTTAGTTTGTAACTGAATAAAAAAAATTCAGTGAAAACTAAGACTGAAGACTATTGCTTTGACAACTGATGACATGTTATGCTAGACATACAGTTACTGAGGGCCAGAACCAGTTTTTCAAACAAACTAGTTTTGAAGGCAAATGCGTTGCATAACTAGTTTTAGAGGTGATATATTCGACTTCTGATAGAGCTGATGATACTAACATTATGTTTTCTAGTTATCATTGTCAATAAGATTCTGCTGAAGAAATATGCAGTCTAGACACATGGATTCTTCAACACCACCGTATACTGTGCTGGTCATTGTATAACTGCAGTAACTGAGTTGGAAATACGGAACTTAAGTATTAGGCTTACTGGGTTTCCCAGATGAAATATACCTGCAAGTTAATTCAGTCGAAAACTGCCACTGAATATTAAAATTTTACACTGAGTGCTACCTACATAAACTAGACACAACAGTTTTGATTGTGGAAGTGAGTAGCTTTTGTTCGAAACATAGAAATAGCATCCAACTCCTGAGCGTTATATATAAGTATGATCGTTATAAACTATCTCTATTTACACAACAGGACTGATTTATTAAATGTAAAAATTTACATCAACTTTCACTGTGCAACAAATTTTGCGTCATAAGATTTGTAGTTGATCAATAATTTCACAAAAAAAATGCTTGTTGGCATTCTTAGGGCCACTTGAAATCTTAATGATTTATGTTGGTGTCAAAAACGTTACACTGCGATTCCATATTAAAGTGCTGAAAATGTATGTTTTTACATTTCAAGACCTTCAACGTTTGAGAATACCAACAAAGCAGATTTAGTTCAAGCATAATTTGAACGAAATTTTTTTTCAATAACTTTCCCTTCAAACTCTACAGTTATAAATTCAGTAGAATAAGTGGAATACAGTAAATAATGTAAGGCATAACGCAAAATTACTTCAATATTAAGAACTCAATGTTATGGGAAAATGAAGAATAAATCGAATGGAAGTAAGTTTTTATCAGGTGGAAAAGTAACCAGTCTACGATTCCACATGACAAAGGCTTAAATTCATTTCATTTGACCTCCATTCTCCTATAACTCTAACTGTTTCATCAGTGAAATAATTTTGTGTTATGTATTGACTGGTCATGGGAGTGCAACCAATTTCATGTTGTCTAGTTCTGAGTGCAGACCGAATCCTATCAATCGTATTTGCAATATGGCAACCAAGCTAGGAAGCTCAGCATTGCGGTGCACATTATTAGATGTTATTTGGTTGGAGGCGATCGTCTGGAAGCCCTGGACCTAGGTTTCGTGAAGTTGGTTGCACTCTCATGACCACCAATACATGTAGGCCAGTCCTAGAGAAGGTCAGCCACGGCCCGAATAGCTCAGTGGTAAAGTCGCTGACTACAACACTGGGTGACGCGGGTTTGAATCTCAGGCGGGGCATCAGCTCCATAGAGGTTACAGATACGCCTTTCTTACGAGTGCCAAAAAGCACGAAGCCTAGGTCCAGGGCTTCCTGCCGATTGCCTGCAACCAACTAACAATTTTGTGTTATACCTATTACACTGAATTTGAAAACTACTTAAAACTATTGTTTGCTCACATTGTTCTTTTTCTGAGCAATTTATGGGGATCTTTAGAATAGATTAAGCATGTATTTAAGTATCCAGTGATGGAACTAGGCAATGATATGGAACGAACTGCTATAAGGTGGATAGTAAGCATTGCGTTCACTCCTTATCACTCATACCTTTATACTTAACCAAAAACTCCAACTAGAATAATTCACTTACTATTAACATTCTTAATATCAACAATATAAAATTCTGAAATGGAATGATGTGCAGCCTAAATATTGACCAAATGAATTCATAAATAAAATACAATGATAGTGAAAAACCATGTCAAGATAAAGTCCATGTTTCAATGAATATTTATTTTCATGCCATATTCAAAAATGATAATGTATGATGAAAAATGTGATCAATTTAGTAACTACAGAGTTCTACCTCTATCTGTTTGCCTGCCTGTATCACGAAGTAAATTAATAGCTCTCCCATATGGTTTGAAAATATGTAGAATATGCAACAAGCTATTGCACGTCACCTGATACTAGTCTTTTTCCCTGCTACATAACATTAAGAGGTATATGTACCCAGATAAAAATACAATAAATATCAATACTGATACAGTAATGCCTTCTATAATATAAAAATCTCTTTTCACTTCAATAAAATCTTTATAGTAAGTCACTTCAAATGCATACATACGTTTCAGAGATAATTAGCAGCTGATTTACTTTAAGTGCTTCAAGAAAAAGGCAGTATCATTAGTAAAACTCCCAAAAATATAATTTCGGCACTATGGTAGAATACAGTTCAACATTAAACTAGTCCTTTTGATATACACATAGTGGTATAAAATTACCTACTAGACGATCGTATTAATCATGTCAAGGTAGTAAAATAATTTACCAAGTTAAAACAACTGGAAGTAAAAATAATAAAGATATACGATCCTAATATTAGAGTGAGAATTAATCTTGCATTTATTTGTCCCGTTTAGACTGGTTACGAATTACGTAACCAAAAATATTAGCCAAATACTTCATTTACCTTCCCGCGTACCATAGAAGGATTTATTCAACCAAAGAAAGTAAATAATCAAATATAATCCCTAAAATCCTGACATCATAAGATGTTACTTCTTTCTTTGTCAATCCTCTTCTCTTTCAATAGATCGCCCTTAAATGTACAAAAGCTGTTCACTTTCACTGGTTCAGTAAAACGTGTTCTACTAATATTAAAAATTTTTAGTTTCAGACCAGGCCAGGTCAGGCCGTCGAGTGGGACTCAAATATGAAAGGATGATTTGGGTGTGGTAGGTGAGGTTGACATGGAGTAGATGGTATGAGGAAGAAATGAAATCTTGTGGGCAGATGTGGAACCAGGTTGAAAAGACTTCAGAGAGGAGAGTGAAATGCCGACGTGCTACTGAACCCTTATGTCCCACTAGGAAGCCACGGGAAAAATAATAACAATAATGATAATAATTGACGGAAAAATTTTATGAAAGAACCATCATTTGGAATACAACAGTATTTGTCTGATCAGCAGTGACAGCTTCTTACGAGAATGCTCTGGTGCAATTTTTCTATAGGAAATGCATCTCAACATCAAAGTGACGCACAGTTGTTCGCATACCAGTCAGTTTTTACAAAATTTCCTGTGAAAGTACTAATCACCTCAATTTTTCGTTACTGTTGGTACTATTGTTATCAATTTCATGCATCCTACATGCTTTTAAATTTTAAATTGAAGGTTTTTCCCATTGTATTTAAAGATAACGAACAAAACACATATAGCTTGAACTGCTCGTTCACTACACATGTTCTTTAAACAGAAAAATGTTATCAGAATGTCAGAAAAACTCCATTGAAGTAAAATGGCTCTGAATAAGGTATACAATTCACTACAGACCTATCTTTTGAATGATTTTACTATCGAAGCTCTTTGCGAACTCTCCGTTCAGCTGGCAGTATGTCTCCAACCAGTAAATATCAAAACACATCACTTAATAATAAATGAGATATTAAAGCTAGATTGGAACCCAGTTGTCAATCAAACCTCACAGTTTATACGGGATGTTGCAAGCTTAGCAACCTACGTGCTGTCGGTTTTAATTCAACAACGACATTTGCAAAAGATCTTCAAGTCACAGGTATCTTTAACTGGATCACTATAATGCTAAATGAGATTTAAATCTTCATATTAATTATCTTTTTCATTTGTTTTGCGACGTATAACGCTGAACGAATGAGTTCTGTTAAATTCGTTTGTCTAATCTCTGCATTAGACACATGTTTGTAATGGAGACTGAGTACTTGTTTTTTTTCTTTTGTTGTATTTCAAGAGTAATATTTCACAGTACTCGAACAAATTTACCACATTTTGGCTAGAATTACTAGCAAGCACCAAAAGTATGAAAAAAGATTATGTACATGCAAAAAGTTACAAATAACTGCAAAGTATTGATGTAGTAGCCTCCATCACTGGTTAGACCGATTAATTCGGTCAAGTCAACAACGGAAGTTAGTAAGCTATGGCATAAAAACTGCACTATGCTCATCCCAAAAGGAGTGGCAATCATGACTCAATGCCCTAGTGGCTATCTCTTCGACTTTTGAAGCGACTCGTTTTGGGTTCGAGTCCTACTGCGAATAACATCATCACTCACTGGGAAGTAGGTACGTCCAGTTGACAAGTTTCTAACGGGATAAAAAGCCCATTCCGGATTTCACTGCTGTCCTTTTTCTATCAATAATAACTTAAAGTAATTTAGTTGAATTATGATCAATATTTAACCGAATGGTATCACAAATACTGGGTTCCGAGTGAAAAATCTAAATTATGCTTAGTTTATATATCTGTGCATTTCAGTGTGCTATTTTTCATTTTGATTATTTTCCTAAATAAGCTCAACTTTCATTTCGGCACGAAATATGGAAACTACTTTCGTTCAAATACTCTATGATTCATACAAATGCAACCTATATCTTACGTCAACTTACAAATAATGCTAAGATTTCAAAGGAAAAATGTACTCATTCTTCGCATCACACTAAAAACTACTAGTATGAAATTTAATATAAACCTTGTATGAAATATTTCACCAAAATCTACTAGCCTTCTTATATGTGATTTCAATGAATGCCTGACCGTATTTTAATTTATTTTACAGGATTGATAATGAAAGATAAATGCATCTTTCAAACGTCACTCTCATTTCACACTTGAGTCTGAAATGTGAAATCCAAATACTATCTACTAAAATATCTGGATTTACAAGATTTCTCAAATAGTTTTTAGTACGAAAATTTGCTATATCAACAATGTTTCAAATATAAGAAGTTATTTTTAAAGGTTTATTCCAACAGAGCTTCTTGAGCTAATTTGAAGTCTATCTATACAAGGTTACCCATATGAATGAGTTTGAAACTCAAAATTTGTGAGATGTAAGATCTAAGAGAGGTGAATTCATTTGAATTTGCTGTTAGACTGCAAACATTTTCGAAAACAAACTTTGATAAATTCCCTTGAATTCATAATACTCACTTTGCCACTGCCAACCATACCAATAACAGCAACCAGTTGAGGACCAGAGACCTCGAAATCAATTTGTTGTAGAGTAGGCGTAGTGGAACTCTAAAAATTAAAGCAGAGGAAATACACAGAAGTTTTAGGAGCTTGGCATTCTTGTCAGTTAGTATTCAATAGGTGTATAGACATAGACCCACTCTATCCGTCGATAAGAAAAGCGATAAACAATAACGAGGTCGGAGGTCAGGCAAAGAAACAACTAATAGTTAGTGACTCAATCAAAGCAAATAACCAATCACAAACCAGTCCACCAGGGTAAGCCACTGAATCACCTCATACTGCAGATATTGTTGATGATGCTGTCTAGAAAGACAATGAAACCTGTAGGATTTAACTACCTAGCTCAGAAAAAGCAACACAACCAAGTATTAGCTTATCTAGACTGACTGGAAAATAATAAAATAATCATTCCTCACGCGAACACCTTTTTGGCAGAATGGACTGTAAACTAACTGAAGGTTTTTCCCTACCATGAATTACAGAATATTTCTGTAAGTTTACTGTGTATGAGACTGAATGTCATAAATTCCACCCTGGAAAATGAATATATAAAGATAAATACAAAGTCACATAATAAAACACCTGGATTAGTTGGAAATCGGAGTTATTTTGGTCATAAAAACAAGTATCTTGACTTTCGTGCATAAACACAGGATATGCGTAGGATGTACGAACGAAGTTTAATTCAAAGGTGTATACAACATTTTCATAGAGCTAAATCACTTCACCTCAACCATTCAATGGATTTGAGGACCATGGTTTAGCGTTGCATGCACAGCGGGTAAGATATTGGAAAGCTTCTCAAATGAAATGTGTACATATGAATCCCTCTAAAAATCCTCTGTATACTTCTGTTAAAGTTGTCATACTTAGGAATAATATACGTATTATATTATGGAAGTCATCAGAGGCTGCGTGTGTCGGAAACAGAAATAAAATTGTGAACTTGGAAAAAGTTTGAAACAAAGAAACAGAATTAGCGCATGGAGCTATATACCCCTAATTTTGCATAGCTTTGACTGCTGTTTTACCTAAAAATAACCAACCTGGTTGTTTTCACACCGTTACTAGCTTTTCTTCCCTCTGCTCTCAAAACTGAACTCCCATTGGTTGTTAACTATTTTTACCTATATGTGGATTTAGTGTTGTCAGGGTCATTTAGTAATGTATATATTCAGCATCGTTGTCAACTGTGTCGACTGCTGCTGAGACAGTAAAAGCTTTCGGTCGATGGTCTGTCTCCTCTCCTTGTCTACGTACATCGGTGATATTGTCGTGGTGGTTTTTAACGTTCTGATTTGTGTTAGAGTAGATTTGCTGCGCGTTAGCATCGTATCATTCGTAGTCTGCTAGGTTCATATAGCTAGTCGAGTGTTAGGTCGTACTACCAGTCGTAACAGATACTCATGTGAAACTTAAACATTTGAGATCGATAGGCACTCTTCATCGAGTTTATAACTTTCGTTTGCCTTAAAATATCACGCTAACTAGTGTAGAAAATAAATTGGAAAATGCTCATGTGTGATCAGAGTGAGAACTAATGCAAATTTGTGACTTTAGAAATTACTGTTTTGAACTATTAAGGTAACACCACTTGTGAAGACCATATTTTCCATGACAACAATTAATACACTTTAGACAGAGACCAGAATAGATGGGTTAACTGTTTATTTTCCGTTAAAGTCTGTCCACTCTTTGTTTTATCTTTCTAATGATATTTTTCTTTCTATTCACATATCTTCCTACTTCCAGGAATTCCAGATGTCTTTTGTTCACGGAGTGTAATACTCTTATTCGAAATACAAATTTGGTATGAGATGGAGCCAAGAAATGCGCCATGCAGTGTAATATAACAACATTACGAAGGTACAACAGTTGTAAAGGAGGAAGGAACAAAGAAATAATAGCGAAGAAAACCCAAAGATAACTTTAAAGTGACCACCATCCCTGTCGTACCATTCAATAATACAAGAGATAAGAACGATTACCAATGCTTTCGTTTCTGAGCCATGTTCATTGTCGCCTAAATCCACTGAATTACGCAACCTCTTAAACCTTATCCAGGGATTCCTGAGGCCGAAGTAGAAACTAAAGCAACACAAATATCCTTCGCCGCATTGTGCCGCATAATGCACTAGCCACCTTTTTTCTTCTCCCAATCAGTCGAAAGGTTAAAAGGCATTAACCAGAATGAGTCTGTAGAACGACACCTGTGACACGTTCAACCCACTGAACCCAATGTTCCAAGATGATACCATCTTTATCACTCCGATAAGTGTGCCGCAGTACATTACTGTTGCCTACATGGTGTTTTGACAGCATAACACCAATCCTATGAAGACAACAGTAACCAAACATACAGGAACGTTAGACACTCTCAAAACGGAGATGTCAGTTTTTATAAGCGCCAAGCAGAAAACTTTAGGATCAACACATTCTACTGTCTGCTCTTTACAGCAAGGCTAACGCTATAGTGGAGTTATACATAAGGCAAACTAGCGTTTCCTGCATTAGCCTTCGACATACGGTTATAAATCTCACCACTCACCTTCACCAACACTCATGCAACTTCAGAGATATAAAAACGTTAAACAATTTTGTAACGGTGGGTACAAGTTATAATCAGTCTTGCAAACGTACTTCACACCTTGACGGCGCAAAGCACATTGTATGATTACGTACAGTTATCACCAACTGATTAGGTATGATTTGAATGGCCTGCTGCTGCACAGTAAAATGATATCATTTGCTTACTCAAGATTGAAAATTCTTTCATATCAGACCTACATAACCCACATGCACTTCCTTCAGAGCTGTCACAAAAATGTCCTCGATGACAAAACTGGATAGAGAGGATGAAACGGGCTACTTTTCCAAGTCCAACCATTGTTAGGAACAGTGGCAATACGCTGCCACTCTACCTGAAATGTTAAAGTACAGGGTTTTCAAAACGTTAACAAACCTTTCAGTGGACACTATCTGACAGACATTTTCAGAACACAGTCCTATCCAACTAATCAAATGCAGCCTTATTATAAATAAACACAGTGATCGTTGGTCTGCAACACGTGTGGCGGTATTCGATCACTCGACGGTGAATGAGCACTTGTCCTATGTAAACATAACCTGAGAGGAACTGGGCCTACTCTTCTTGCAACAGATTTCATGCATTCTACACGACCTGTGAGGTGTGACAGCAGCCAACACTTCGGACGCTACTGGTAACAGACTAACACCCCGACACATTACATAGATGCCCGTTAACTACAGTATAATACTGGATTCATTTCAAAATGGACCTTTCTCAGTATGCTACAACTTCTAAAGCAAACTAGTCAGCTCCATGAGTACATTCATATATCCAGCCCTAAAAGACATAGGAAGAACGTTGTCTGATTCAGGTGGCTTAAGACGCTTTAGTACTTTTAGCCCCTTACGAACCTATATTTCTTTAGTTTGTACAGCCTTATTTGATTGCAAAGCACATGAAGACAAAGTCAAAGTTGTTGAAATAGAAGCCCAGCCGAATTGTCTTACGAATCGCTCCATGCAACGTTCCAAGCATATAATAAAGTTATTGATCAGCATGCTATCTACTGCATCGACCGTCTCACTGACCATATGTCTGTGGCTGCCAATAGCTCAAATGAGCAGGTGGGCTTAATGTGTTGCCAAACGTGGCTGCTTTTTGCATCTCATTCAAGTCTTCTAAATACTTAGCCTCGTTATCTGTGTATTAGTGCTGCGTAATACGTTGCATGATGAACTTATGCATATCACTGTCGCAAAAATTGGCTGACTAGAGTCAAGAAATTCCAAGGAGTTCACAGAGACTCATTGTTTGCAGTGTGAAGTTTTTTGAAGCTGTGACAGACTTTACTAATAATTTCGTTGCATTTTTTGAATGCATTCGATGTTTATCTACATTTTCTCAAGGTTCTGTAGCTAGCTTTGAATCTAGCTTGACTTATATTTAGTTTCCACACTGTGAGTAACCAATATACTGGTGTGGAACAGCTTAAGAAAACGATTTTTATAACCACCGAAACCCAAGGTTATTTCATAAAACACTAAAGTATGATGAAACTCTAGGAAGATGATCCAAAAGACATTGTAATCCTGAGCACATCCACACCAACAGTAGCTAAATGCGATATTGTCAATTTAAGTTCAAGCCGAGTAGTAGTGGAAGGACAATAGGTAGCGAAGTGATGATTACTGTGATCTTTTCACACAGCTGAACCCAAACACGCAACCCGAAGTTTCAGGTCCTCAGTAACATGATATTGATGATCACACTTAATAGAGGACATCACTCAAGTGGTAACAGAACTCATTGTTAACTGTCACCGTAGAACAGACAGAGATAACAAAGAGACCTGGTTTCCTTGCTAGTTAATTCTCACTCAGACCGAACTTCCAATGTCTAACAGCACATACAACTGTTGATAGGAATCCAGTCAAATAATGAAGATTCTGTTCTAGTACTTAGCGTGACACCGTCAGCAAGTTCAGATGTCCATGCCAGAATGTACGTGGACAAAAGCATAATGAACACATTTTTAAGTTAACGGTGGATTTATGTAATAAATTCACTGGGATCTTAAATTCAGGTCTCATAGATGCAGCAAACAGCTTTCCAGAATCTTAGCCAAGTGTGACTATTTCCCGATTTGCATTAAGGTAGAAATGTTGAAGTAGCCAGCTCAAAAGCTACATGAGGCTGCCGAATTATTGAGTCAGACGTCGTATTCGAGGACAGTTTTGTGAAAGTAACCATTTAACTACTCAGGAAGATAAGCACAGACTCAAATCTCAATTCATAGTCCACATAAAGAGAAATTAGAAAATAACAACGGAAAAACAACACCGTTCAAATGTTACAACGATGAAATAACAATAAAATGAATCTTCTTTAGGAAGATTTTCAAAAAGTAAATCTGAATTTCGGTACACAACAGGTAGTCATTCTAACATATAATTCTCTTAAATTCGATATTCAAAATGTGGTTAATCTAAATACAATTTTACTGAAAAGTAGTACTCTGCGTCATACAATATAGAATTCTATCTAATTTGCTGTGGAAATATGAGTTTTCTAGTTTTAAAATCATATAACTCATAAGATATTAATATTTACATGTATAACTAAAATTCACATTTTAAAGCAAATAATTTTGATTGTGAAGGAAATACAGTAAACTTGTTTAAAAATAAATATTGGATATTTAAACTATAGGCACAATCAAAAATGCCTACTACAGATGTTGTTTTTTAGTTAAGTAGTGAAGGTTTGACAATCGTCCAATCCATTCTTACCATCAACGTATGAGTTTGTGAGTTCTCGGTCTATGCTAAGTGAACACAAGTTGCTAAAACGAAGCTTATATAAAATATAATCAACAGTTCCTAATATTCACTGGTATTCTTTGAAATTCAGTCTGCGTATTATAGCTTAACTTACCTTTAGTCAGTTTTTTTATTATTTCATTTTATGCTTTATCTATTTCTTATAAATTCATGTTATTCGAAATCCCACTAAAAAAATACCATTATCAGCTGGTGTATAACCTTTCATACTTATTTTTACTTCATTCATTTTTTAGTATATATGCTTAAATAATATCACTGATTTTTACTAGCTTAATGAAATCTCTTTCAGTAAGAGATATTATTATGTCAGTAAATAATAAAATCCATAAACAGAATGAAGTAAATCATAAAACGAATAAATTTTAAAAAATGGATTTAGGTGTATTTTTCAAATCCAAGTACTTATCTTAATTCTACTCTTAGTGATGTCAAGCGAATTAAATTCAAGATGTAATAATAATTACTGTACAAATAAATACTTCAAACTGTAAAGTTAGTATTTAAGATCTTATGACGAAATTATTATTACTTAGCAGTGTATAATGTATAAACTTACATTCTTCCATTTTGCAAAAACATTGGAGAACTGTACAAATGGTGTAGGTGAATCGATTACTTCAGGTGACAAATCGGAACCAAGCTCAGGCAGGGTTAGAAAATCCTTCAACAGTACATCAAAATAATAATAATGTGAACCAAGATATCTAAATGAAATTATAGTCTTTTTTTCTTTATGCTATGAATCATATTTTCAACTGGAATATTAGGTAAAGACATGAAAGAAGCCTATATATGTGTTCAGTTCTCTCCTAGAAACCAATGTATAATTAAATGATAGTTTTGTCATTCTGTGAAATATTACGTAGCTTATATGCCCTTTATTTTTCAGAATGAACCTTTCAGTAGCATGATGTTTCAAGAAAATTTTCTTTGTTTTAGTCTATCCTGGAAAATTTTAGACTAAAACTTTCATCTAGTAACTTCCTAAATAGTTAGCCGAAAAACCTTATCTATGGATGAGATGTATGATGCAATTATTACTGTCAACAAATCAACCACAGTAACTTTAGAATGGGAATAATATGGTTTTATTAGATGACACTGCATAGTCCCAGAAAAAAATATCATTTACTGACTTTTAATATATTTTGTGCTCCAACGTACTTTTCATGAAGAAATATATATTTACTGAAAAGCCAAAACAAGACTATACAGGTCCCCAAAATTAAAACAGTTCAACTAAGGATAGTGGAGTAGCTTTTACACACTGAAAGCTACAATAATAATGATAAAATGAAATAAACACATTGATGGGAGATATCTGAAAAGACATAATAATCATTCATTAATTCAGTTGCATCCTGGAAGCATAGTCTGTATTTCTACAGGTTTTTTCAGCAGGCAATCGATTTTCTTAAAGCCTAAAACTTCACTCTCAAGCGAAGTTTAACTGCCTCTTATTTATATTACAACCGCCCGTGACGATGGGACACTATTTTAGAAAATATTGTTTTTCAGGATAATCGCACTTAACTGAAAATAAACAGTGGTACTGAGATTCACTCTGAGCAAAACATTAAGTAGGTCGATGGGAATAAAAATGAGAGCTTGAGGATACTGCATAATGATCAGAACTGGCACACCGCATTTCAGCGGATGAAAGTAAAAAGAGACTAAGTGAGATCTGAATAAAAATAGAACTTTCAAGAGCCAAACAAAACCGTAAGACAAAAAACTAAGATTAAAGTAAATAAAGTATCATGTTTTTATGTCCAAGATGAGGATGCAGAATGAATGCATCTGCACTACTTCAATAGATTTCGAGCTGTATCACCCAGATTTTTCAACCATCAGCTTCATTTATGTTTTAAATCCTAACCTGAAAATCCACATTTGCTTACACACTTAGGACCAATGGTCAAGAACTTGAAGGATTTATGTCTTAGTTTGACCATCATCAGGTTTTTCCAAATCTACTTGTACTTCAGTTAGTATTACGCGATGGGGTACAGTTGGCTTAACATATGTACTTCGTGTCACAATTGCCTCCAAAGATAATAATTTACAGCCTCATCAGCTAACTGGTTCCCTCTACTACCAGTGATTTATATGTTGTTGGTGCAGTTTTTCCATGAGAAGCTAGAGCTGCTACGAAAAAGGTGATGGCCAAAAACCTACAGTCTTCCAAAATCTTTCACCCATATAATAGGGTGAAACGCACTTCTATGTGGTAAATATAGCCCACTGATGGCATTTATACGTTTCACGAGTTGATGAAAGCCAACCAGCAGTTACATTTATGTTCGGGTTGCTACAGCCATCAACCTATAGAGGGTGGGAACTTATAGCCAAAGGAAGTAGATAATGTTTTCAAATTTCTTACTCCTTAATTTTAAATTATAAATGGAGAAAAAACCATGCTGAGGAATAATCAACTTTACAAAGTGAGAAATACATCCGAATCATTTACTTAGAGCTATCACACTACTTTTTATAAAACCATTCTCTTACTGTTAAAAGAATATTTTGTTTTAATACTCTAAGGGAATTAAAGAACCTAGTGAAATAGATTCGCTTCTATGGGATCTGTTTCAGAAAAAGCAATCACAATGTGTACTTTTGCTATGGATCTGAACAAAAGTAAAGGAAGTGCGCGCTCCTGATGAGTGCCACTAGGAGTGGAAACTTCAGTGGATAGCTAACCACAGACTCTGTCATGTAACAATTGTTTGAATAAAGCGTCTTTAGAAAAGTGATATACTTCCCATGTATTCTTTCTAGTGAATGGTACTACCACAAAATATCTGAATTCAAAGAATAAAACGCCCCCTTAAGGTTTAATTACACAACTATTGTCGGCCAACAGTAAACAAACCAGTGATTGAAGAACTGGTGAATTTTTCTGCAACCATGTCTGAAACTTACTTATTTCTCGAAGGTTTCCTATTTTTGAGGTTTGGTCGGGCATTAACTGAGTGAAACTTAAAACCCTAAAAACAATGCTGACAAAATTTATTTCTTTTTAGTGTTCAAAAGACCGTATCTCTTAACTTTTGAAGACCTATACACTCAATGACAAAAATCAGTCAAAGGGAATAGTTCCTTAGTCCGAAACTCTTAATTATACGTTGGTTAGTCTGAATTATAATAGTAAGTTGGAGGATAACATTAATAAGTTAAGAGTAAAATAATGTAACCGATTCAAAAGTGGAATGGTGAGGAAAAGCGACCCATGTAGGCTAAAATACTTGGTGCTTGCTGATCGATTAAATGCCATGGTATTAGATACAACCCAATGATGACTGTCTCAAATGAATGGAAGCTAGGTAAAAAATAATTGATCATCAGAAAATATTGTTTTTGCTAACGAAATACTTACTAATAAGTGAAGCAAACAAATAAAAATCACAGTTATGAGTCATTTTACAGTTTTTTCGTTGGAGGAAGTAATTACGGTGATTTACAACTACCATAACACTACTCACTCTTATATTTTGCTTTCCTAACTTTTAAAAACGTAACACTGAAGCTTATAACTAGTAGGATAATGCTATCAAAACACTTTCTGAAACATAATCTGACTATGAATCGTTTTTTTGGTTTCAACAATCTCCATTCTATTTAACGCTATATATTGATGAGTAGAAACTAATAGACAGTTTATTTACAAAAAGAACACTTATTTGGATGCAGTTAACACGAAATTGTTTCTCTAATCACTGAACTATTTTTTTCTGTTCCCTTTTGTAAGACATTGCTAATAAAAAGTTCTATATGGTAAGCTTTTTGGTGCTTATACTATCACTTGTAAACTACTTATGATATATCCAATAAATTAGTGATTTTATCAAGGTAATGTGAAATAAACTAGGATAATTATCGTAGTATTAATTCAGTACATAAACGATTAGATTATCCTTTGATTGACTTTAATGTGACTTAGCATCCTAAAATATGCTAAGCATTTGAAGTTATAATCAAAGGATACGTGGTTGAGTAGTTTATTCTTTTAGACTTCTAAGACAATCAATAAATGTGGAACAAAGCCTAGATAAAGACTTTTCGGTATGTGTATGAAATAGTGCATTTTTAGAAAAGGTGTATTATCTGTTTCATAAGTTAATTTGTATTAGTTCACAATCAATGAAAACATTGATACGGATCTTACCAATAAAGAGACGAAGTTTTAGTAATAACAACAAGATAAACGTATATTAAAACTTAAACAATTTCCTAAATTAAAATGGAGTTTCAAAACTTACAGTAATACGCTTGAAACTTATATTTGTGTCGAATATATTTTGTATGCATATTGGTAGAAGTAATGTAGCTGATATGAATACTGAGCTAAGAAAATTGACCACAGTATAGATAAAAGAACTCTTTAAGACTAGTAAGTATTCTGAATCGCCACTTTGTATAACCAGTGCCGAAATAAAAACTAGTGTAATCAGTTTTATTTGATACATGATTTGGGTACAGCGAAAAAGTTGCCAGAAACGAGCTTTCAAAATTGACTGAGTTTCTTTTCTGAAAAATATTTCATAAAAAGTAAGCGAAACCGGTTTAGTATTTCTGCCTCAAATAAAATAAATAACTGGTAGGTCCTTGAATGTTTCTATTTTGTCCTCATACACTGACTACCTTAGTCTGTTTCAGAATAAAAATAATCGTGAAGTTCGAAACTAGAATATAATTTTTTGAATTATTATACAAACGAATACTGAAGTGTATTTGTGAAAGCTTGACCTGCAAATATCGGTAATCCAACTGGTTTAAACATACCGTTTCAAAATATCTGAAATTCTGCCAAATTTCAGATCCTGCTTAAATAGTTTGTCCCATGAGCACCTAATAATCTCGCCTAGCTTACTAGTTCACTACTTACCAGCCGGTCCTAAGCCTGGATTAATAGGGAAGATTTAGCATAGGGCTAGTAACCCTACTCCAAGAAAACCGATCCAATACCTAAAGAAACTTCACAGCACAGAAAAAATATCAAAAATAAACATAAACTTATTCCTTACTGGAATAGGGGAAATGAAATGACCTCAGTTGATGAAAGTCTTCAGTAAGCCAATTGACCGATGTGTCTTCACTTCTCTCGATGAGAGCGAAAGTAAACATACGGACATGCAATGTCTGCACAATTTTGAAGCTGGCTGGTAAGGCTGCTCAGATCGCAAAAGCGATGAGAAGATATCGAAGTCACGTTCACGGTTTTCCACATTCATTGATATGACAGACAGAATATCGTGATGTTTAGTTGCCAACAGGGATCCATGAAGACAAAAACAAAGGAGGTGACCACTTTCCTCAGTGTGGTGTTCACAAATATCACAGCTGATTTCGTAAACGATGTTTGTCCAATGTTCGCCTTCAAGAGGGGTTGTTGGTTAATGGGGCTAACCAATTTCTTAATGGCTTCAGTAGTCTTATCATGACCTATGAAGTACTCTTCATGTATAGTAGGATGATGCGTCTTCTCATTTCCGTAGACTATCTTGTAGTTGGTAATCAACTGGATAGGCATCTTCCGATGAAGCCGCATAAGGAACCATTCTTCTATAGGATTTATTTTGAGTAGTTTTCTCCGTTTCATTGTGAAGCAGTTGTATTGCATTTTCATTCTTCTCTTTTGAATGAATAGCTTGGCACCTAATTTTACACGTTGTTGGGTCGCTGCTACTTTAGCTGTCGATTTTATCCATGAGTGTGAGCCTCCTGCATAATTCAATCTCCGATTTTCCAGTGTGAATTCAATTGACTGAGCCACACAAAAATGACATTCTCTCATTTAATATTCCACTGTGAATTCGGTGTTGTCAGAAACGTTGTTATTGACGTTGTGAATGCTTTGCAGTGACTCCTTTTGAACTACATCAAAAGTGTCATGCAGACAGTGGCTTTCAAATGGCTTTCAGTCTCTCCATCGCTGCGTTTGCAAACAATCCAGAAATATGTGATATTCCATAGAAGTGATAGGAATCTGCGGGACCAGATGGAATGGAAGTGGACTCTCCAAATTATCAACTGGAGAGTCAATAATCTACACCGAAACTGTCACCCAGACGACAACTATGAGCACACTGAGTTTTGTAGTGATTATCATACTGTCCACAAGAACATTGGGGGCTCTCTATCATGCAGTGGAAACCAATCTCCTCCACAAACAGGATCATGACAGCAAGATTCAACTGAGAAGGAAGAAAGTCACAACCACACAATGCTACGCTATGTACCTCCAAATGTTGCAGATCAAGAGAGGAAGGAGGAATTCTACAGACAACTGCAATCAGTAATGGACAAGGTCCCACTCAAGACGACGACATCAAAATTCATTCTGATGGATGACATGAAGTCCAAACTGGGAGAGGACAACACAGGAAGAGAACTCAACGTGGGTGGAGAGGCACTCGGTGAATTGATGAATAAAAATTGAGACCTCTATTCAATCGTCTGAGCCTTCTATGAATTGGCGATTGCAGGCAGTGTGTACAAACACAAGGCTATTCACAAAGTGAGCGACATGGATTTGATTTCACTAAACCGAAGGCAGGACACATTCAAAATCAGGTCAACATCATTTCAATGGGAAGATAGTGGAGACGCAGCCTGCTGGATACAAGATGAAGAACAGGAGCAGATGTCGGTTCATACCACTCACTATCTAGCGCAAGGAACTTACCTTCAAAACCATGTTGATAACTTTCACAGAAGCTGATGATGGACCGCAGTCCAAGTTCCACACCCAGAACAAAAACTGAACTGAAGGACGAAAATACAAATGACATCTTCATGTCAGTCAGTCAGTTATCAGGACAAAATGAGAGACATTTAGCAATATCCCCGAGGAAAGCTGCGTTGATGTACGGTGTTTGACCGATGAACAGACCCTAGAAGATTTGGATTTCACCCACAATGATGATTTATGTCTGATGTCTTGTCGCATAAACTCGAAGGTCTACATGTGAAAACCAACAAGTTGGTAGAAGAGGCAGGTCAGTGGAGATGGCACTGACTTCAGGTGAGTGTAGAGAAGACAGAGGTGATGAAGATACCCACCCAACAACAACAATCCATGATCACCATGAGTGGGGGAAATGTAAAGGAGGAAGTTGTCTGTTTCACCTATCTTCCTTGTGAAGGCAGCATCGTTTCAACTACAGGTGGCCCAGATGAGGACTTCAATGCAGCCAGGATCTCAAAAACACCAAGAAAGGCCTTCAATAACCTGAAATAAGTGTGCAGATGTACTGCACTCCACTCCTCTCCTCTCCTCTCCACTCAGCATGAATCGTAAACCAGATCCGGATTTTCCACACCAATCCAGTCAAGTGAGTCAGTGCATCTATGTGATGTTTGTGAGACTTGGTGGCGCGTTACGTAAAGCATTTCCAACATACTGCAGACATACATCAACAGCTGCCTTCCCACACGCCTATACCTACGGCTACGGCTACGCTCACTCGATACTGACACTGAAGATCAAATAGATGTCCAGAATAGTATGAATAAGCAACAAGGGACTGTGGTTTGCTGGTCTGTCAACGAACCAACCAACAACCGATCACCCAACAAATATGCAGAAGAAAGTGGAGATGGATTGGACTAGACTGGACTTGACATACACTGAGAAGGCTGTTTGGGAAAATCACTCACCAGGCCAGGCTACGCCATACCAGGTCAGGCCATCGAGTGGGACCCAAATGTGAAACGAAGAGTTGAGTGTCCGAGGGTGACATGGAGTAGATGGTGTGAGGAAGAAATGAGAGCTTGTGGGCGGATGTGGAACCAGGTTGAAAAGACTGCAGAGCGGAGACTGGAATGCCAATATGCTGCCGAAGCTTTATATTCCACTAGGAACTCAATGGCCAAAAATAATAAATGAGTACCTAATGCATAAAGTTATCATGCTGAAGGCCATATATACAAATGAGGTTTTGTTGTTTACATTACCAGTTGAGACTGAGCAAAGCAGCCTTTAGTTTTCCCCTGGTTTGTCTTGTTATTACTTGCCAGAACCCGGGCTGGTGACCAAACCTAAAGTGTTTATTTGTCACTGTCCCAGTGGTCGATATCTAGTCATATTGCGCTTCTTAGTTTGAATTTTATCGTCCTTTTGTGAATTATACAAAAGAAATTTTAGTTTAGCAGTCTGGTCCAAATGCTTCAACCTATATAGGGATAAACTCATTTTAAAACGATGTGGTAAAATTACTGAATGTTGTAGTATTACCGTCCAATGAAATGAAGCTGTTTTTAAACATTGTAAATTATGTGACAAACTCATCATATATATATATATATATGCGCCATAGAATCATAACTCTTAAGTGCGACACAAAACCGACTGCTGGATAAACGCTGTTAGTGAAATGGATAAGATAGTATATTAATTATGAAGTCAGAGATTTAATGTCTCAAAGGAATTAGGTTACTTTGTAAGTATCCCCCTGCTTAAAATATGTTGTTGTGTAATAATTGACTAGGTTGGATGTGCATTACAAAAATTCGCCCCAATTACACGTTCGGTGTTACTGCCACTTTTGTGGCTTCAGTTGCTACCAGCTACTATCTGAAGTATCTATTTACTCTCTCAATAAGATATTCTTACTGTCAAGACTTATTCTCTGCGATACAGAAACATGGAAATTAAGCAATAGCTACCGAAAGGTTTAAAATTTTCTTTTCAATGCTGCTGAGGTCAAATGTATTCTTAATAAAAATTTTCAATGAGTTACGGTACCTTACTACAAGTTTTGTACATTATATTCTGTCAATAACTTATTACCAGCTAACTGAAAGATACTTTCAATCTAAAATCTACTTGTACTACTGCAGAAAATCCAACGGTTGTTCCATACACAATCACCAAGCTAACCAAATGCTTCACAATTAAGGATGTCGGAATGCAAAACATTACTTGAAACTACAAAAAGCTCCATCAATCAGTACCGCTACTCAACAGATGATAAATGGTAAATCTGCTTTCAACCTTAGTCATAGAGACACTTTTGGAGATCATAACAATTTTAAAAAAGAAAGAATACACTGTTATTACTTTTGAGGCTTAACAAGATAAGACTAATACATGTTTCAAACCAATCGGAAGAAAACCGTATTCCTACAGTTTTGGCTTGCTGGCAAATCCAAGGCTTACACCAATCCCCCTCAGCCGTTGGAAATCAAACGAAGAGAACCATAATGTTCAGTTTATTAGCTTAATCACCAGCACTTGAGACTGGACAACATGAAGTTTTTTTCACCTCAGTGGCAAACCAGTGTATGATATGACTCTTTCAGGTACATAATGAAATGATTATTTCTAGAGAAATCTTACATTGACAATTATAAATCAAAAGGCTTGACAGTGTTCTGATGATCTATTGGATTACCATATATTTTCCATTCTTCTGAACTATAAGATATGTTAGATTTATAGCAGTTTAATAATATGACCTCCAATCTTACTCAAAAGCAGAGGCAACAACAGAAATAACCATTGCCTAAGCACTGTTTCTCACATTTCATATATATATATATATATATATATATATATATATATATATATATATATATATATATATATATATATATATATATATATATAAATCCGGATACAGTTTCATCGACCGACTGAGCTTTTCGCATATTACTTCTGAAAAGTTTTAAATTGATCGACCTCATCATTATAAGCTACATTTTTCTTTTGATGTGATGTAGTTGCTCAATACATTTTAAACGATCTGATCCCCAACACATTTAATTTCTCAATTCAGTTTAAATATGAAAATGAAAAAAATCAAAGGTAAAGTGTAATGAGTATGAAAAGGTTGTGACATAAGTCTTGATAACATAATCAGATAGGGATTACTAAACTTAATTAAGTGGAACAACAAATTGCTCTTGTAAACACAACGGGGTGCTTAACGAATGGCTAACTCTGGGAAATTTCAGCATACGCACCTGACTGTTCCTACACAATATCTTAAACGCTGTTCTCGCATCAACCATGTGATTCATTTCGATGATGTTTTGGTGTAGATGAAGAGGAATTTATACTAGGTGATGATCGAAGACAGATTTCTGTCACATCCACATTAAAAGTCAAATATGAACAAAGAATATTCTTTTCAATAATTTCTCATCAGGTTCCATAGTTATAAAATCAATTTCGTTAACATTAATTGCCAAAATTTACGACGAACTCATTTAAGAGTGCACTTATCAAAGTTTATGTTTTAAGTTGTTTTTCAAGCCATTCAGTTAAATGTTCACCCACCCTGGTTTGCATTGCTCGATTACTCCTCCTTATGTATTTCTGCCCACACATACATGTAAATCGGTGAACACAGTGGGATGTGATATAATCATTTATGCGAGGTTGAGGTTTGTGGTGAATCAGGTCTTTTGTTGTCTCAACAATGATAAGCTGAGCTGCATAGTATGTTTAACAGAGATTAAAATCTGTTATCAGTAAATTGACTTGACAAATAAGTGTGTGATCAAATTGTTCGAAATGCATTGCGCAAATACATCACATTTTTCAGATAATCTTCGTCCTCTAATAACACTATCTAAAATTCTGGTAGTAATCGTGAAACATTTTGGAAAGTCATTCACAAGTTAAATACCTTCGAACACTGCCAATGAGTTTGGAAAATATATCCTCCCATACTTGTACCTTTATTGTTTTCATTCCTTTGATCATATCAGATAGCAATCGGATACGATTAGCCGTATGTTTGGCAGCAGAAAATCTTAAAGAAAAAGGAATTATGCTCGTTAATACAGTGCTGAGAAGCATTTTAATGTGACAGTGAAAAGCAAACATCGATAAGAAATTAAAAACTGTCAGTGTAGCCCCTAGTTACTTCAACTGTCTAAAACTAAATTACAAAGTCCCATTTACTCTCACTATGAATCAGAAACCGTAGTTGTCTTACTTTTCAACTGTGTGCTGATAGACAGGAAAATTCATGCACTTTCACTTGATTAAATGTATCTATCAACATTTAACCAAGCAAATTAATAGACATATTATTGTACTTGGAATGGAAATTTTAATAGATTTCAGCAATCATGTGTATGACCAACAGACAGTTTAACTCTAGTGATCGGAAACCACTAATTCAGAAAATTGTCTCGTCCATTAATTTTTAACGAAAATAGTATGAGAAATATCAATAGTTAAGAAAGAAAACTGAGTGGTATATTTCCAACTACCTCCTGCTTACTGTCAATATTCATATAGATACATGATTCATTTCCTATCATTCAGTGAACTTGATTACCTTAACCTCACTGCAAGTTGCAACGATCCTAAAGTACCTGTGAAATATGCAAATATTGAGTCAGCGATGGTGGGTATGCATTCCATGTTTATACTGATGTACAAAGAAATACCGCAAGTCTTTTCCTCATGATAAAAATTGCTTGTTGAATAGAGAGTTTATCAATTCAAAAATATGTACAGATACTAGAAAAGCTATCAGTTCTCAAGGAACACTATGCCTACAGAACCCTTGTTCTAGGACCTTTAGGTGCTTTCGTGACACAAACCCTCCTATTTACTTGTTTTATGTTTAAGAGAACATTTGACTTCTGCTTTGTAACAACTGCAAGTAGAATAACTAATAAATAAATAAATATTTAATTCTCAGCTTATGAATTTAACATTAGAGAAGCTGGTTTACAGGCGTCATAAACTGAATGACCTCTCACCGTGTGGAAACATATTTCATGTTGAACAGCCATCGATACCGACTGAATCCTTTCGAACTATTTTGTCATGTGGTTGTTATGCGAAGAGAAATGACATTGCAAACCACTTCAAGGAATTTTGGACAATTACAAGCAAAATACAATAAGTCTTGCACCCAAGTCTGGTGCTTTCGGATATTTGGTAGAAAGGCATGCCTAGAACTTTGAGGAGACTCAAGGTAGATACGCATGAGGAATACAAATGAAGACACTTCCTCAAAAAAATTAATTTTGACGAACAAAGTGAGATTATATTCTTAGGCTTTCAAGTTATCAAATATGATCAGGATTATCTTTTCTATCTGTGATTCATACTGATGTCTCTTATGATATTGGAAGTATCTATATACGATGATCCATTTTTAACCTTTATATTTCTTAACGAAACGCTGAAATTGCTATCTACAACTAGCATTTTCCAAAACACTGTTCGAGTTATAAATCAGACATCTTACGGGAGAAATTTATCTGGTATGAGATATAAAACTAACTGTTATTGCATTGTTATCATTATACACTTCCACCTATTTTCACAATAAACTGCTCTATCAATCTAAGTGTCACATTCCAATAATTCTGTTGCTGGTTATTGCCCAATACCCTTAGAATCAATAAAGTAGCTGAATCTAAGGCTTGTCACAACAAAGATTCTTTTAACCCCTTCAAATCACAATACGTAGGAGGGTTCAAAAGACATATTCTTATAAATCAATTGAACTATGGAGCATACTTCTTCTTGACAAGATTTATTGCGTATATAGGGATTAAGTGTTGATCAAGTTGTAGTACCATGCTGAAAAAATGGTCTTCAGTGCACTCACTCTCAGAGAACATATCGGTTTAATCAGAAACTGAAGATATATGCGTCTTGACAATAAGAAGTATTTATTTACCTAATTCATTATCTGAACCTACGCTTCCATGTTATACAATGAAGTAGACATAGTTTCTGAGCTTATATGATATATATATATATATATATATATATATAATATATATACATCCAACAGCATGCAAACGTAAATAGTAAACATACCTAAACTTGGAGTAAAACGCGTTACAAGCAAATCCAAATGGAATATTGAGGATTGTGGCAATAAGTGCACAGAGGCTGGGTATCAATGCAATCCGACCCATGAGCCAAAACACCACGATTATTTGAGTCGGTGCAAACCAAATATAGTGTAACAATCCAAATGTCTGATATTTTGAACAGAAAGCCAAAAGTGAAATAAACGTTATCTATAAATAAAAATGCTGAAACTAAGGTGCATCTGATAATCTGATTGTAATTAGCATAACCTCAGCATCCCTGAAGTAAATCTATTAAGAAATGGACATATCATTGCCTATTCACATCCAGCTGCCTTGAAAAGTCAGTTAAATAAGCTTACAAAAATATGCTTATCATAGCTTGTAAAGAAGACATAGATATGACCAAGGATTAATTCAGCTATTTCTTGATACCAAAACTTTTGTCTGTTCTCGATCTTTATCTTCTTCCTCCTACTCTTATGTCACAAACCACCTTGCATTTGTTTTGAGCTGTCACTAGTCTATAGGCTGTGATAACCATTCTTTGTTTATCCCAGCCAGTTAGGGGGAAAATAGTGACTTGAGTGGAAACATTGAACACCAGTGAAACAATGGAATAGTTTATGCGTCATTTAAAAGATTTCTAATTTAGGTTGAAAGAATCACTGTCACAACCGTCGAACTAGTAGGAAGTGGTTTCCTTGGTCATCGAACACCACTCCGATCAACTGCAGTCTTCAGATGCAATAGATTAAAATAGACTGTTGATCATTTCAGTTAAAAACTGTCTGATTCATTTCAAAACGATAGGCAGTGCGAGCATATCTAATTTATTTTCTAACAATATATTATTCAAAAAAGGCCTATTTGGGTATCAAAATACAGCACTTTTAACTTGAGTTCAGAATTAGTGACTTCACAAAATTGATACTTGTTGGCCCAGTAATTTTTGCTCTTTATTCAGAAAATGAATATATGATATGGTTTGAACAATAGAGTGAATGAGATGTACCTAAATTATTCAAGAAGAAACTTAAGAAACTCGACAAGCCTACTTAGTAAAACTCTGACATTTCTGAATCAAACTAAAGACATTAGCAATTCTATCTTTGTTCATTCGACTGGTTTCATTTGCAAAATAAGCTAGAACTCTTAGGTAAGAATTCTAAAGAGGAGCCTTGTTTAGATGTGGTCAGAATGTTACGCTATGTGAACTTCAAAGTATATTTTTGGGTTTCTTTTAAGCCACTACTTTCCTCTTTTTTATTTTATCTCGTAGAAGTATGCACAAGAACCAAGAAGAACTGCGTTTAAAGAATTCCAAATCAAATAAGAATGTTTTCCATTGACAACCGACATAGAACCAGCATTAGTATATTGACCCTACCATGCAAAGACTAACTGACTATGTAAGTTCACTTGGTTAATACTAAATACGGTATAAATGCTATTGTCGAGCTCTGAAATCTGACTCCAAATTTTATATACGTGTCCAGATACACTATCGCCTAATTATAATACCCGACACTGCTGATCCACCTGCGTCAGACAGCGTAAATATCATGAGTTAACGCGAAGTATATATCAGGATGTTGTATTGGTATTGGCGCTAAGACGGGACTTACTTCGCCCTTTCCAAACCAAGCCGGTAAGTGCTCTCGTATCTAGAGAGGCGCCTGCCTAATTGTAAGCCATATGTAATTTGCTCCACAGGAATATTTTAATTGATATATGCAAGATGAAGAGCCCAGATTAGATAGTAGATCCTTAATTCTCCTAATGAGCAATGGCCTCCTACTGAAAGATACTCAAAGAAGGCCTGCATAGAACGGCCTACTGACCCCTATAATTGGGCGTTGTGATGGGATGTCACCTGGAGCGCCTCCCTTGGATCATAACGGCAGAAATAAGGGCTTCTCCACTGTCATAAGTTTTCGTTCAGAACCACTGTTCATTGGTATTAAGCATGATGAACACTGGATGTCTGCTTTCCCTTAGAATATCACGGAAACGTAGTAGTTCTTCTTCCCTGCACTACTTGGAATAAATTAATTTTACTTTAAATGCCAGGCACCTAAATATACTACATTTGTACTTCATCGGCACGAGCCTGAGAAAATGTGTACACTATATCCTAGAGGTAAGTTTCCTATGTACATGTAGCGTCACACACTTCCCCAAAATCAATAGCCTAGGGTTTGACGACTTTCGACATTGATGCTGACCTTGATAGTTTAACTGGACTCGCTAAGCTGAAGGCATCCGGTCAAGCCTCCTCGCCATTTGGTACGCCGTCGTGTTACATTGCATTGCTCGTATTCGACTCTCTAACCATTTAGTTGGAACGCATCGGTATTTTGGCACAACCATCCATATAAACTGTTCCATCCGACTACGCTATCGTGTTCTTCCTTGGTCTCGTACTCGTGGGTGTGTAACAAGTTCGAATAATTAGTGATTGGTCTTTGCATCTGTCAAGTTCATACCCGACGTGATCACATATCCCGACCAATAACAAATACTGAATTGGTGAGCCTGTTCCATTTTATATTTGTATATTGTTTTCATTTCGATAACATTTATATATCCATTTACCACACTTTCTCATGTCCGACCACACTCCCAAGCTTATTCGTATTAAGCCGACTACGAACACGATCCAACTCGTGCCATATTGGCCAGACAATGCAGAAACATGGTTTCTGTATGCCGAGGCCGGTTTTCGAGGACAGGGCGTCTCAGATCCTCATTCTCGATTTCTTGCTGTCATACCGTCACTACCGCAAGAATTAAACAGGTATGTCACAGCAAACATGTTTAATCCTAAAGTAAGTGATCCTTATGCACTTCTAAAGGCCGCACTCTTGAAGAAAAGCGATCTCACAGATCGCCAGCGCCTAGACGAATTACTTCGTAACATCGAGCTAGGCAGCCACTCAGCTACTGAAGTCCTCGCACGAATGCGAGAAGTAATCGGCCCACGAACATTCGACAATGGCCTTTCCGAGAACTATTCCTCTCAAGACTACCACAACCGATACAAACCGTGTTGGTGACACTGCAGTCAGTCCCACTCGATGATCTGGCAGCCTCAGCAGATAAAATACTGGAGATTCCCAGTAGACCCGTCTCCAACGTATATTCTATCTGCTACAAACCAGAGAGCCAGGATTCAGAGGTGACCAAGCTGTGCAACTCTGTGAAGCAGTTGCTACGATCTCGAAGTCGTAGCTCACGTAGCACTTCACAGAAACGCACCTTGGCGCATTGCAGCAAATAGCGTGGTAGCCTTAAAACTAAACCTAACGAGGTGGAAAACCCTGAGTGGTGCTAGTTTCATAATACTTACGAAGACGAAGCCAGAAAATGTCGGAAACCATGCAGTTTTAACAAGGACACAAACTCGGGAAACGGTCACGCTGGCACGTGCTCACGGCAACCGTAGCTGGCGGAAAAAGCCGTTTGCTCTACGTCACCGACATTAACACGAAAGTCCGCTACCTCATCGACACTGGCGCAGAAGTTAGCGTTCTTCCCGCACCAACAAAGGAGCGTCATCATGACCCATCCTTCAATCTTCAAGCAGCTAACGGTAAGGCAGTCGCAACATTTGGTAGACAGTATGCCTACCTTAACTTAGGTAAACCTATCCACTGAATCTTCCTCCTTGTTGACGTCTCTATGCCCATCATTGGCATAGACCTGCTAAACCATTACGATCTACTCGTAGATGCTCGCCGTCGACGACTGATAGATAACAACACAAAGTTATCTATTGACAGCACCACCTATGTAGGTCCGAGTTTAGCCATCGTTAGAACCAAACAATCAGGCGTCGCGTCTTACCAAGCAGTTTTGGAGAAATATCCAGAGTTGCAGCAACCGAAGCACACTTCCGTGCATAACCAGCAATGTTATGCATCACGTCACAACCACAGGTCCACCTGTGGCATCCAAAGCGCGCCGTTCAGCCCCCGGTAAGCTCAAAACGGCGAAAAGCGAATTCAACCACATGCTCGAACGGGGCATTATCAGACCGTCAAACAATCCTTGGGCATCACCATTGCACATGGTTCCTAAAAAGGATAGCGACGACTGGCGTCCAACCGGTGATTACCGAAGGCCTAACGCCAAAACCACTCCGGACTGCTACCCGATACATCAATACAAACCCTCGTACACTTTGCCTTTTTTTATATATATCAATTTTTATTTACCATGTAATGAAACTTTCAAAAAACGGTGAAGATAAGCGTAAATTTTTATTTTTCGATATGTTTATATATAAATAATTCCCACTTTCATGAAACATTTTCGTGGTATTAAAGGCTTTTATTTATGTTCCAGGTACAACGAGCACTGGATGGAACGTCAGAAGGAACTGAGGACCGTGATCGACGTTCAATTCGGTTAACTGTATTTTATTATTTAATTGCCGCAACACCATAGAATAAGTTCACACAACCAGGGGCCACCTCACGCAGTGAGCCCATCGGAAGAGTTGTACCAGTGGAGAAACCACTGGGTTTTTACTTCCGGCTGGTATCGTCTTAGGGTCCTCACGAACCCACTAGAGGGGGAGTGATCTGTAGCGTCATACACTTCCCCAAAATCAATAGCCTAGGGTTTGACGACTTTCGACATTGATGCTGACCTTGATAGTTTAACTGGACTCGCTAAGCTGAAGGCATCCGGTCAAGCCTCCTCGCCATTTGGTACGCCGTCGTGTTACGTTGCATTGCTCGTATTCGACTCTCTAACCATTTAGTTGGAACGCATCGGTATTTTGGCACAACCATCCATATAAACTATTCCATCCGACTACGCTATCGTGTTCTTCCTTGGTCTCGTACTCGTGGGTGTGTAACAAGTTCGAATAATTAGTGATTGGTCTTTGCATCTGTCAAGTTCGCACCAGAACAAATCCTAAATACACTTCTCACTATAGAGCCAATTTTTCTTGTTCTTACCACATGAAGGAAATATATCGAATCATAGGTTAACTTTCACATGCGGCTCTCCAACGCCTGCTCAACATATCTGAGGCTGTAGCAACAGGGTTGATCAAACCTAAACTGTGCATTCAGAAAGACCATGTTTAAACACAATTTTTCCTTCGGCCCTCAGTAAACTTAAGGCCACTCTTGTCTTCATCAATCGTCTTTTTTTGGTCACCACTACATCATTCATCTTAACGTACTATCCTATTATCAACAAATTAAAAAGTGAAAAATCAATTTCCTTCCAGTCCTTAAATCCCATTCCATTTGAAAAAGAATTTGCCCTCAACTTAGCTTGATCTCACACTGTACAAATACATTTCATGGTAATAAACCCTTATGGGAATTTCGAAAAAGTTTTACTTTTTCCAAGTCATGGTGATTACTCATAGAGTACAAGTTTGATTTGCTGAGAGCGGGATATCTACCTAAACGCAGCGGCTTCATCTCAAATAAACTCAATCAGCATCCCAAAACAGGAAGTATTTTGAGAAACCGAGACTGGTCAGAGCCTCAGTGAAATGCTTTACCTTAAACACTTAATTTCACAAGTAGTCAACGATGTATAAAGCAGCCTGCTTAAGTGAGCGAATTTAATAAAAGTTTACGAAAGAACTATAATATAATGACGGAAACCTAAGGCTTTTGAGATGGGAAAAAAGAACAGCGAGTGGATTCTTCCCGTGAGAGTATTTTTAAAACAAATACAATCAATTCGCTTTGTGCATGTGAATGTGCTACACAATCACAAAGCAGCGAATCGGTTTCTCTAAGTTTTATGCTGAACTATCTCATGCACATGCACATACCTTTATACGTTCTTGCCAGTTTTACGTAGCTCCACTACGTATTTTGATGTACATATTCTGCTTAATTTTTCATGAACAGAAGGTTTCGAGATGTCGAGAAAGTTATGTCATGTATGAAAGATGACTACATAGTAAAATTATCAGCTCAAGTCCTAGTACTCTTTCTCAGAAAAAAGGTCAAAGGAAATTATGAATCCGTTCAGGAAGTCACAGGGCAAAAATGTAGTCCTGTTAGCTATTGTAACCATGGTTAAGGCCTCAAAACTTCTTAACTGACTGGCTGCATTCAAGATACGTTATTATTCCGCACTCTTTACGCGACAGTATTAATCAAGCATAAGGTCCAAAGTGCCCAACTCACCAGTAACTATTTCAAGGTCTATGGGTCGAAAACGTGTTTACTTTTTCGATAGTTCTTCTATAACAATATATTATTTCATTTAATTAGTACTCTGATGATGAGTGTGCAGGAAATGTGCTTGTCAACAACAAAATAAGCAGCGTTTTATTATTATTTCTGTAGTAAGTTACATACTTGAGTAGATGGCAGTGTGAGAATTTTATTCTCGGAATTCCTTCTATCTCCTTCATGCCATGAGTGTCGACATCAAAAACTGAAATCCATTCTTTCTCCGGAATAAGTATCTTGAGCTTTCACCTTTCTAAAATAAACCTTCCTCCGTCTAACTATGAAACATGCAGACAGAGTTTATCTATTAAGGTATACCACAAAATAAGCTTGCTAAATATGAGTGGAATTCGATCTCCGGATAGAACCAAGAGAATTTCTACCGTCTGGGAAAACAATTTGCACAAAGCAATCCTGAAGTTCACATCTATATATTCTCAAAGCACAACGGCATCAGACTGATGGCTGTTTTTGTGTGTAACCAATACCTTTATGAAAGGAAAAAGCAGATGTTTAAACTGGACAGAATCTTTTGCCTCCGTTTTATATTATGTTGTCGGTTCCACCATTATTTTCATGTGCATCCAGAATGTGTTCCTAGTTAAACTAATGGTACGGAAAGGCTTATTTGTTTGCTATATAGATGTTATGTTAATCAATGGTTCTGCAAAACTGATTTTTTTGATATTTATACGGTTTGAGTTCAGTTTGCAAAACTTTAATGGGATCAGTTGCAATTCCCTTGTTTGACTATTGTGATATATTTATGATGGTTCCAGCAAACGCGAATGTATTTAGAAAGATATGCGTGACCACTATATTTTTATTGCTCTTTATCACAGTGTCAGTATTGATTCAGGGGCTAATCAGTGCTGTGAGAGAAGTGTATGCTCTGTTTTCAGAATTCGCAGAATGGTTGGGTATTCTTACCAACATTTACTTTAACGACTTCCAGATCTACAAACCACAAACTCAACAGTTAACAGAAATGTTTTGTTTGTTGCCACCCACAATTAAAGTAGCCATTTTTACGTGATTTCAAGCATACTATCCACATTATTGACGACAATAATATTTCACCTAGTAGAGGGACTGTAAGGATCAGTCAATGTTAATGTATAGCCAGTGCAAAAGGCTGCAAAAATTACTGTGCGATGGAATAAAATTAGACCTAAACCAACAAAAGCACAGTGTAAAATTTGCAAGTGACACAAAATCTGCAAGGTCGAAAATCGTAGCAGGCTCAAAACTAACATCCTGGAACTCAGGATTGATTCTTCAAAGAAACCATGAAGATGGCAGTAAATTAGCTTTCAATTTCTCCTAACTTTCTACATGACTCCGACTGAACTTTAAACTTTGTGTTGTAGAATTAGTGAATGACAGTTCTCTGAGCGCCACGTCCGGAAGTACGATTTTCGAACTACCGTTCTCCTTACCTTCTTAGATTTTTTCTACTTCAAACAATTAGAATATATATAACAATGGGTTTCATGCATTCAGAATTATCTCCATGTAACAGCTCCAGGTTAATCCCAGATAACTAAATAGTTTGTCTATCAATTCAGTTTCAAGTTATGCGAATTATCAAACTAAAGGAGAGAAAACAATGATGCTTCTAGGGAAAGGGAACAAAACAGCAATCTATCCATCTATTCTCAGCATTATCATGGAATATATTTAAAAGACTCTAACAAAACATAAGATTTCGTTTTGACTCTTATCTTATGCTTTTGATTGGTAGAATGGGACGAATAATAATAAACTGAGGAGTGTTGAGTATATTCTAAGACAAAACTCACCATTTCAAATCTCTGCACGTCTGAAGACAGTAAAGCGATGATGTCACCACTCGTGGTTTCAGCGAGTGATTTCTGAGTAAAAGAAAGCATCTAGAAGATTTATGTTAGGTTGAATGATCTAGTACTTTTTAAATACGAGCCCGGAGACTGCGATTCTTAATCGCATCCCTATTCTGTATGTTATCCAAAAGAAGTATTGTATGCAATGACTCCAACAGCAATGCACAGAGTTAAACTAATACCGGAAATGGTTGCTTTATAAATCACATTGCTGACCTTAAGGTCATTAATATCCATAAGCAGCTGGCGAAGAAGTATAGGCCGTAAAGTACAGGCAGTAATCTAATAAAAAATATTATTTTAAAACACAATGGTCGTTGCTAACATCGATGAACACCACAACGCTAGCCAGGAAGATATGAAACCAAAAGCACCTTAAAACTGCTTTCCAGAGTTTCGGGTTCCTTTTATTCGATTCCTTCATCCACTCTCTAAGTTAGAAAATAAAAATTGGTAGACAGACCTTTCTAAAGACTTCGTAACACGTGCAGCTGCTTCTGAAGATGGACTGGGAAATACATCTTTTGAACTCAAAGGACCACGTCTAGCAGCAGTGAAGAGTGGATCCAACCAAGTCATAAACACTTTTGACAAAGGATTCGCTGATTCATATGGTGAACCCATCAAAATAAGCCAAAAATTACTTTCACCCAATATAAATTCCTCGGAAACGCAATACAATATTAAATATGCATCTACATCAGTACAGCTGCTGCACTGTCCAATGTATCTTCCAATATCCAATGGTCGTTTTACGAGCTATTGAAAACCAATTGATATCTTCGCGCCCTCTTCTTGGTCTTTTGGAACGGTCCTAGTGGTTGAGTGCTGATTACATTTGTAGGGGTTGCAAAGTTTTTCCAAGCAGTGTGGTTCAGATGGGTTCGTCTGTTGTTGTGACACCAGACAGCTGTCCTGACCTGCGGCAAAAGGAAGATAGGAAAAAGTCGGGTGAAAACAAGGGAGGGGAACTATGGAGAAGAAACGACGTGGAAGGAAGAGGAACGGAAGGGAAGGAGAAGCTTGGGCAGATTCCTGGAACATAATATTGACAGGGCGGACAGTAACAAATAGGGAAATCATAGAGTCAGAGGGAAAAGAAGGGGAAATTATGGTTATAAGAAGAATTATGGGGATAGAAGTAGTAATGTTGTTTGTGAGGGATATGGCACTCGGAGGAGATGCCCGGCATGGAAGCATAAAGTGAAGCGAAGTTCAAGATGACAAAAGACTCGTTACAGGATTAAACATACTGGACTCTGCGTAATCATCCGGTTGTATCAACCCACTCCATATCCCACCACCGCAAGCGCAAATAGTGCGTCACCGCGTGGTTGAAGAAACTGCCAATAAGGCTGCTGATGGGTGGAGCAGCAGCAATCGCGGTAGGCAATGGGTTGCACCTGAACAACACTTGCAGAAAGGAAAATTGGGAGGGCACGCGGGCCCTCCTTTTTGGTGGGCTACTCCCCTTGGGTTATCACGTAGATTTCCGCACTGGCCGTTCATTAGGGCTCCGATGTCCAAATGGGCTGAATCACTTAGCATTCTGTGAGCCGTCATCAAGTCGCCACGTAACACATGGTACCTTGGAGAATAAAGCCCTAGGTCTTTCAGTCTGTCATGGCAAGGTTGATGCCACATTCTCGTAACACTGTTCGTTCCCGTTAAACTTCAGCTGCCGGTAATACGAATAGCGGGTAAATTTGACCTGTGATAATTCCCCAGAAATTTTACCCGCGAAACTCCAGCTTCTCCTGGAGCGCATTTGTCGGCCAAGCTGATACCGTTAGCCTCAGCACCAGTCCCGTATCTGCTTTGTGAGCCTGTATATGCCGGGTGATTTCTTTGCGCTAGCTTCAAGGTCTTGCAGAGTGGCGTTCGGTTCTCGGTGGATTCTGATGCAGCAGATCTGGCCAGCCACTTGCTGTAGCTTGGGTAAATGATGGTGAGTGGTTATATATTATCTGCAGACACACGAATGACCTCAAATATGTGGTGCAGCGGGGTTGCTCAATTGTTGTGTCTCTAGTGAGTCGCTCAGGCTGGTCATAAGAGAAACGTGAAGTGAGTGGGGAAGCAGACGACAAATAAGCGGAGAAGAAACGAGAAAACACGGGGACTAAAAGTAAAAATGAGTGAGTTCGCAGGAAACAGAAAGAGAATGCAGCGATGTGGCGAATTTAAATGAGTGGGGTTAGACCGCGGCGATTAGAAGGGAGAGAAGGAAACAAGGAAAATCGCGGTGGGAATGATGAAAATAGTAATGACGTGGTAGCTGGCGAGGTAGAAAGTGTAACGGGGAAGCAGAAGATTGAGCCGGGCACACAATCAAAATGGCAACGGAAGATAATCAGTTTGAATATGAAAGGATGTTGGGTTCATGCAACCACAGCTGACTACTGCAGCCTAGTCCACATATCCACTGGATGAATACAAGCCATGTGTCACTTCACAGCCCTCTAAACCTTCTTGAAGCTGCCAACAGACAACACCGGCAATGTATACTGGTGAACATGGAGTCAAAGAGAAAAGAACACACAGGTTTTTGTGCTCTGATGAGTTGCGTTGCAAGAAGCCACATTCATTAGACACTATGCGTCAGAAGCGTACCCTTGCAAGCAGTTGACTTGGTCGTCAACCTCGCATTTTTGTAGTCGCCTCACATATACGCTATTCTTTACGAGAAAGGAGAATAAGACACATCAATCACAAATCCATTATCAGGGACGAGGAATAATAGCGCTAGGACATATCATCCTACGGTTGGGTAGTGAGGACAGCCTAAGTCGGTTCAAATGGTCTTCATAATACAGGCTATTCATTCTATCCAACAACTCAGTTCTGGGTCTTTCAATGTGCTCCTGTATCTTAAAGATTTTTGGGACAAAGGCTGTAGACTTGAGTCCATCATTTGGTGCGAGATCGCAAGTGCGTGGGATACATTATCTGTGAAATGTTTAGATCAGACAATTTGAAGTTTCCGCGGAAGAAGAAAGCCCTTGAAACCCTTCCGTACGCCGCACATTACAGCATGCTGTCACATTCAGGTAGTCGCCAACACTCAGTCTCGAGTCCTCAATTTCTTAGACGGTAGATGTTTCCAGTTCATCTATTGTATACTAGTGGGAGTTGCTTCGAACAACACGAATTACTGAACGCTGAATCGAATAAAATCCCATTCACTGAAGTTTGGGTCACTCACCTGGTTCATCCCGGTCCGTTTGTAGGGTTACCTGCGTGCGTCGTTATGGACAGTTTCCAATCATTTCATATCGTCGGGAAATGAAAGCACGCAAACGCCTGAAAAAAGGGGTTCCAATGAACTCGATCCTCGCCATGCTTCTCAGGTCAAAACCTCCCTCAAACTGCAGCTCCAATCATTTCTGTTTCACCTTGTAGTACCAATGTTGGGTTGGGATGGCGTTTTTCGAAAGGCTTGGGTGGGATCACGCACACTTCCTCTCCAGTGTCATCCAGAAACTGAGCTCCAGCCTTCCTATCCGTCACTCGAAACAAACGATTGTGCTGTACGCCAGCGACAGCAGTCGTTACTGATCGCCGGCATTTCCGTTTTCCGATGAAAAGGTTTTTGAAATCGCACGGCAACAAACAACGACGTGCTTTACTGCCAAACTTCTTGTGATACCAGCACGTGCTGCTTTTGGACGCAATCCTACTCGTGGTTCCATCACGACTACGGGATCAGCTTCTACAGAAATTCGGTGACCGTCGGTTTAACTGCAAAGCCATCAGTTGTCCTGTAAGTATGTCGATCTTCCTCTCTAAAGCGGCTACTCTGTCGTTTTGCGTTCTCTCATTAATACTTTCAACCTGTTTAGGCATCCTTTCCTACATACGGTCAGCGATGTCAGCCAACCTGTCAATGTCATTGTCCGCATCTCCAACAGCCAATATCCGCTGAATGCATGAAGGAAGTCTCCGCAGCCAGAGCTGGTGGAGTAAACGGTTGTCTACTTTCCTATCCTTCAGCAGACTTTGCATATGTCGCTTAAGTTGTGAAGGTGTTCTGTCACCGAGGCATATGCTACTTAGTAGTTGATCGACAGCCCTCTGGTCAGACAACGAAGTAGCTTTCAGCACCTCCTGCTTCAAAACATAATAAGGTGTCTGGGTGGAGCTTTAATAGTGTCTCCCCTACTTGTTCAGCCACTTCTTCCGGCAAAACAGAGCTTGTGTATCCGAACTTTGTGTTTTGTGAAGTTATATGATTGGCCATGAAGAAATGTTCTGGACGGACAAACCACAATTGCGGGTCATTAAAGTTAAAACAAGGCATAGGAAGATGAATGGCCCCCCCACGTAACCTAAATTCGAAAAGTCCTGATTATGACAGTATGAGGACACCAGTACTGGTACAGCAAAAATAATATTTACGAACAAGAGCAGGAAAAATACGATAAACAAGTATGTCAATGTCTACCAAAAAGAAGCCACAGAAATTCTCAGTATACATGTATATCCATATTGTATACAGTCATTAATGACCGGTTGCAGTATCCAAGAGGGTTAAATCACATCGGGCTCACCAGTTTGTAGAGCTCTGAAATCTGACTCCAAATTTTATATACGTGTCCAGATACACTATCGCCTAATTATAATACCCGACACTGCTGATCCACCTGCGTCAGACAGCGTAAATATCATGAGTTAACGCGAAGTATATATCAGGATGTTGTATTGGTCAACGAGCGAGCAAAATGTCTTTTTTAGTACAACTAAACAAAAAATGTTCAATGAGCTGTTACATATATCAACACAATACAGTGAAATAAAATGCTACAAACTAATACCGGAAATGGTTGCTTTATAAATCACATTGCTGACCTTAAGGTCATTAATATCCATAAGCAGCTGGCGAAGAAGTATAGGCCGTAAAGTACAGGCAGTAATCTAATAAAAATATTATTTTAAAACACAATGGTCGTTGCTAACATCGATGAACACCACAACGCTAGCCAGGAAGATATGAAACCAAAAGCACCTTAAAACTGCTTTCCAGAGTTTCGGGTTCCTTTTATTCGATTCCTTCATCCACTCTCTAAGTTAGAAAATAAAAATTGGTAGACAGACCTTTCTAAAGACTTCGTAACACGTGCAGCTGCTTCTGAAGATGGACTGGGAAATACATCTTTTGAACTCAAAGGACCACGTCGCGCCCTCTTCTTGGTCTTTTGGAACGGTCCTAGTGGTTGAGTGCTGATTACATTTGTAGGGGTTGCAAAATTTTTCCAAGCAGTGTGGTTCAGATGGGTTCGTCTGTTGTTGTGACACCAGACAGCTGTCCTGACCTGCGGCAAAAGGAAGATAGGAAAAAGTCGGGTGAAAACAAGGGAGGGGAACTATGGAGAAGAAACAACGTGAAGGGGATACGGCACATACTTTGTTTGGTTGGTGCCTACTCCTAGGGCCGCACGTAAATAGCAGCAGTTCTGCTTTGAGCTGCCCATTCCTCCACAAGATATAGTGCGTCGAATTACTGGCAGCTGGATTGTTTTAGTCGCTCAGTCGCGTCCTTCAGTTGTATTACATACTTTCAGGCGACCTTGCGTTAATTTTAACCATCCGCTCAGAAATTTCGGAGAAAGGTGTTTAGATTGCTACATGGTGAACAACGACGAGCCCCCGAGTGGGCAACCACAAGGCAAATGACTATTCCAGAAATACCTGGCACAAACTACAGCTCTTAACCGAAACAGTTGACTGGCTTCAGCCACTCTTGTCCACGGATATCTACCACAGTACGTATTCACTAACACTACAAGGAATATTGTTTCGTAATCTTCTTGTTTTCAAGTTATTTCGACAAGATCGAGGTGTTTTCAAAGAGAACGATGGTGGGGGTGTGGCCACATCCAGCGGCGCAAGTTGCATAGCCCCCGATTATTTATGCTTAATCCTCTCCAACCGTGCAGTCGAGTGAATTACGATTGAACGCCTTGCTGGAAGTCTGAGCGGATACAAGCATATTTACATGATAAGGAATTGTCACAGTTGACTGCAGTTTCTTGAGTCATCAACTTTCTTTGTAAAATTCATCGAATTTGGTACCCATACTGCAGCTAACTCCTTGCCTACAGCCTGTAGAGGTCTTATTTCATGCGACTAAAAACTACTTCCTTCATTAGTTGATCACAGCCAGGGTAACCCTACCCCTAGTTTTCGTCAAGCAAATGAAGTAAATGAAAACCATTCAAATAGCGGTCCACTTGTCAGTCTCCAGTCGAAAGGCCACTTCGATGGAGAGGTCCTTACTTATCTCTCTGCAAATGGATGAACCGCGGACGCTGAGGATGTGTCTGTCAATCTGCCCAAATGGAATTCAAGCTGGCGGTTATCCAGTGGCAGATGTCCGAGCGTTCTGACAAGCCTTAAGCGACGTAAGACAACAATTAACACCGGCAGACTACTATTCGAGAAAGTGTAAACGGGGAAGAAAGGTGGGGTGCCTAGTTGCGTCTGCTCAAACACTCCCATCTTTACTTACTGACGCAGCCAAATACTTGTCATCTGTGGTTTCGAATTCCGTCGGTCCAGTCCCTCACTTTCCTTTCGATTCTCACCCTGTGTGGTTTGATCAAGTGGCGAAAATCGAGAAGTGAAACACAGTTAGGTTGGGTTATATCAAAAAACAGTCACAGTCTCCCGCTGTGGAAGGATTTACGAGGTAGGGGAGAGCAGAAGATTTGCTATGGATTTTAGAGTGTTTCAATGATATGGCACGAGGTGCTTCCACCACAGAGATGGTTGTTGAGAAACCGCTCAAGTTTTGAGACTTCAGCAGTACCGCTTGCGCACGGAAGTGCCGTCATCGTGTCATGTGCTTGAGGCATAACGTTATGCCGCAACATTAAGTCGCAGATTTGTGGTCCCCACATCAGACGCCACTTTATTCGAGGCATGAAGGACAGTAGTCCCGAAGGCAGTAGCGTTTTGCCATTATCCTTCAAGTTTGGTAGCTATTTGCCCGTAGCAAACACGAACGATCCTTAGGCAGGTACGTGGCTAGACTGAAATCGGTTCCATGTGTGCCCGCTGTTTACTCAGAGGTATGGGCGAGTCAACCTACAACTCATCTTCTACCCTACCTTGTACCGGCCCTTCAAACTTTACGTCATTTGTGACAAGTTGTCTACTTGAATGTCGCTGCATACTCCGGTGTCCAACGAAGCGTATACCTGTCCTTCTTCCACCGAGATCAGGGCACTGGCTCCCTAAACGGTTGTTTCTATGCACTACAATAACTTCTTTTAACGGAGCGGATCCGAACTATTGCCAAACACGAGATATGAGGAACCGGAACCGTCCGGACCTAGATACCCATCTGCGCCCGTAACTATGCTGACACATGTTGACATTCCAAGTAGAAAAGTGGTTTACATGCTGTCAGTGGAGCTGCAAACACGAGGATTGGTCTGAAGAAGACGGTCGTCTGAGGAAACAACGTGGTGTACACATGGGGCGGCTATGCTGACCATCGTAACGCAAATATCTAATATTATGTGGCCTTAGTACCATTATAGCTGCTAAAGGCAATGGTGGCGATCGAAGTTCATGAACGTTATACGTGCACCACTAGACGATCTGCCCTTGTCCGTTTCATGACTTGCGGTAATGTTGATGTCAATGTTATCCCCACTGACTTGCTTCAAGTACTACACTTGTCACTGTGGTGGTTGTGTTCTTCAGATTTTGTCAACATGGCGATGCCAGTAAGCCAGTATCACTAGCGCCAGTCTCGTTTTTTATCTAGCAAAGCTAAAACTGATGAAGGTTTTGATGAACGGACGGTTATATTACCAAAAAACACACTACGCAGATGGACTAAAAACGTCGGCCGGTTTATAACGCAAACTTTGAACACTGCACGCTTCTGTTCCCAATGGTGGTACCTATCTGCGTAATGCAGATGTAAGTTCATGTCTGTCCCATGAGTGGAAGCAATTTTTAATGGGGTCATGCACACGAATAACTCAGTATGTGGATTATATATTACTAAATACTATCCTGTAAGCTCTCAAGAATTATCAATTTGATGGTGTTTGTGAACCGATAACAATCCTGTTAAATCCATTATATAAAAATAAGAACCCTAATATCTTTATTTTGATGCTCTGCACAAGCTGAAAAGCGGCATTTGCTTCTTTGTCTTCTGATGTTTTTCATAGTTTAACTACCTCTTCACTATGCTATTCAAGACCAATAAAATCTTGTGGATTTTTCAACACGTATCAATGTGATGATGCCTGTAAACTGACTTCTCTCGTGTTGGGTTAGTAACGTGAGAACGTAATGTTTAGTTGTAATAAAAGACTGGTGTTATTATGTCTGCGAAATCGGTTTCCGCGTGTACATGAAACGTCGGAAATGCATCTTTCTGCCTCATTGGGATTTTGCAGGTTTCGTTTTCTTCACGGTCCACTTACTCATTACTTAGTATATACTCACTTCTATCGGGTCAAACTTTGGTCCTGAAGTCTGCGAAACTATTGTGGTTATTGCCACAGCTCTTATAACCCTGGCCGATTTCAACGAATAGATTATCATGACTAAAACCACTAATGACACAATTGGTGACAGTCGGCATGAGTTAGGCATGGAACACAGTCAGCGGGCTTGGAAAATATGGATGATGCATATTCTTTGGAATCAACACACACTTGACAGAGTATCCCACACGCCAATCCACAAGGTCCTACAAGGTGCCTACCAAACGGAATAGCAGACTGTTTGAAAACATCACGGCTAATTGATATCTGCAAAATGGCTGGCACAGGAATCTGAAAAGCGTGTTTCACCCTTTTGGGACGCATCGGCTGTTTGCATATGCGCCACCCTTCTTAAATAAGCCGGCCATGGGCTACAAAGCGGCTGCATTCTTAGCACACCACCAGGCTGGCGTACATGCAGTCCAGCACGAGGCCGGAGCACGCGCGGGCAGCAAACCCGCGAATAGCAGGCCAAACTGGATCTCTCAAGCTGTGTAAAATGGTAAAGATACAAACAGAATGTAGTGCATGCATATGGCAAACAACTTTCTTCAAATCTCGCATAGGACCATCAGATCATGTACCGTCCCATCACCTCGGTGACTGGCGGCATGTAGTCACGTGAACACTATCAGAGTATCCGACGGGCTAGGTGCTCCGATCAAGCAATTGTCAAATGTAAGAACTCATGCTCATACGGCCAAGTATAAGGATTTGGCTCAACCTAGCCAGCACGAATATTATGTGACGAAAAGGTCTGAGGACAGAACTCATACATCAGCTTTGTTACAGTTGCCAATCTGGTTTCAATAATTTTGTTAACATGTAAAACGCTCTTGTTTTTGACATCCTTCAAGTTAATAAAAATTTTATGGCACCGCAATTCGAAATGTTGTATGGAAATGTAATCAAACATATCTTTGTTGGGGTTGCAATACAACGCTCTGAGGATTCCAAATTGCACCGAAAATGTTCGGAATAAACCAGTATTATTATGTTTCCATACAAATATGCTTGTACCTGCTCGGATTTTCAGGATGGCGTATGGTGGCAATCTTTCAATGAACAATTGTTTTACTCTCATATTGGTAATTTAACATGACATAAGCCGGTTTGCAGGTATCGCCACATTTATATATGCCTAAAAATCTACAAGATTCTACGAGTCCTGAATGGTACACGGGGTGTGTCATCAAATTCTAGTCATGAAACAAAAAAGAAAATATGGCTTTTCAGTGTATGCGCAGATAATAATCATTCTCGTCCCTGGATATAGGATTCAACATGAGAGATACCAGCTTAAGAGCATCGCCAAATCGATGGTTCTTGAAAGCTGATAAAATAGTATTTAGCATTAAGTAATTTATGCGTCAAGCTACTGATGTGCTTGATCCTGTCAAAACTTGCTTCGACCACACAGATAGGTTCCACTATTAGGAACAAACGCGCTAAACATTCTAAGTTTGCGTCCTAACCACTCGACCACACAGTTAAAGGAAATAAAGCATAGGTAATTGGGGGCCGGCTACTTCGTGCTGTTAGATGTAGCCACCCGGCACCACGCTTCCTCTTAAAACACCTCGATTTGTCAAAATATGCTGAAAACAAGCAGCTCACGGAACAGCGTCTCATCGAGTTTGAAAGGGCCGTCGGTAGCGTCGACCGAGAAGTAATTTGGAAACCTGTCCAACGCTACGGTACAGTAAACCTTTATAAACCCCGTTCAACAGCTATAGGATGACGCCACACGCCAAGTGGTTCACAATGGAAAGCTCAGCGATGCCTTTGAAGTGAAGGCGGGAGCAAGACAAGGTTGCTGCCCACCATCGCCAGTGATTTCTCTGATTGCAGTTGACTGGACTGAGCTTGATCATGCGGAAAACTGTGCGGAGCGACATGATGAACAAATGCTGTTTGACTGATGAACATACCCTGGAAGATTCGGATTTCGCAGATGATTTATGTCTAGTGTCGCATAAACTCAAAAGTCTACGGGAGAAAACCAGCAAGTTGACAGAAAAGGCGGAGAAGACGGGACTTGAAGCGGGTGTAGAGAAGACAGAGGTGATGAAGATGCCCAAGCAACAACAAAAAGAGCAGCGACAACATCAGTGGGGGAGGTGTGAAGAGGTTGTTTCGCTCACCCACCTGAGCCACTCCGCTTCAACTACAGGTGGCACAGACGAGGATGTCAAAGCCAGGATAGAAAAAACAGCAAGATAGGCCTTCGTTAACCTAAATCGGTGTGAGGACCCACCACGCTGCTCTGCGCCCAGCACAAAGCGTGGACAAGATCCGGATTTTTAACACTAATGTGAAGTCATTGCTCCTGTACGGTGCACAGCCTTGGCGCGCTACGAAAAGCATATCCAACAGGCTACAGATATTCATCAACAGCTGCTTACACTCGATGCTGGAGGTCAGATGACAAGAATAATATGGACGAACAGCAGGGAACTCTGGCTGGCCTAGCAGTGAACCACCCAAGAACCCATTGACCAGCATATATGCCGAAGAAAGTGGAGACGGATTGGGCATGCACTATGAAGACGATTTAAGGACACTAAACGCCAAGTCCTCCAGTACAAACCAAATAGGAGACATCAAGTTGGACGTTCGAAGGTGACACGAAGATTGCGTGAGGAAGAAATTAAAGCTTGTGTGCAGTCATGAATCCAGGTTCGGAGGATTAAAGAAGCAGAGTGACACGGCGACTTGCTACTGAATCTCTGTGTTTCGTAAGCAGCCCGAAGGAAAAATATAATAGCAATAAAGAAGTCAGCAACTAGTTGAGTTTCCTGTAGAGCCCTCGAGAAATTGAAAACCAATAGCGAAAAAACAATTGATGAATTTGTTTAATAATTTCTCATATCACGTATGGAGCGACACGTTCAGTGAGCTGGAATTTTCAGTTCAAATTATGTTGAAGAACCGTCAGTCGGGTTGAGAATAATATCAACACTAACCGCAAGTCATGAAACGGACAAGGGCAGATCGTCTAGTGGTGCACGTATAACGTTCATGAACTTCGATCGCCACCATTGCCTTTAGCAGCTATAATTGGTACTAAGGCCACATAATATTAGATATTTGCGTTACGATGGTCAGCATAGCCGCCCCATGTGTACACCACGTCGTTTCCTCAGACGACCGTCTTCTTCAGACCAATCCTCGTGTTTGCAGCTCCACTGACAGCATGTAAACCACTTTTCTACTTGGAGTGTCAACATGTGTCAGCATAGTTACGGGCGCAGATGGGTATCTAGGTCCGGACGGTTCCGGTTCCTCATATCTCGTGTTTGGCAATAGTTCGGATCCGCTCCGTTAAAAGAAGTTATTGTAGTGCATAGAAACAACCGTTTAGGGAGCCAGTGCCCTGATCTCGGTGGAAGAAGGACAGGTATACGCTTCGTTGGACACCGGAGTATGCAGCGACATTCAAGTAGACAACTTGTCACAAATGACGTAAAGTTTGAAGGGCCGGTACAAGGTAGGGTAGAAGATGAGTTGTAGGTTGACTCGCCCATACCTCTGAGTAAACAGCGGGCACACATGGAACCGATTTCAGTCTAGCCACGTACCTGCTAAGGATCGTTCGTGTTTACTACGGGCAAATAGCTACCAAACTTGAAGGATAGTGGCAAAACGCTACTGCCTTCGGGACTACTGTCCTTCATGCCTCGAATAAAGTGGCGTCTGATGTGGGGACCACAAATCTGCGACTTAATGTTGCGGCATAACGTTATGCCTCAAGCACATGACACGATGACGGCACTTCCGTGCGCAAGCGGTACTGCTGAAGTCTCAAAACTTGAGCGGTTTCTCAACAACCATCTCTGTGGTGGAAGCACCTCGTGCCATATCATTGAAACACTCTAAAATCCATGGCAAATCTTCTGCTCTCCCCTACCTCGTAAATCCTTCCACAGCGGGAGACTGTGACTGTTTTTTGATATAACCCAACCTAACTGTGTTTCACTTCTCGATTTTCGCCACTTGATCAAACCACACAGGGTGAGAATCGAAAGGAAAGTGAGGGACTGGACCGACGGAATTCGAAACCACAGATGACAAGTATTTGGCTGCGTCAGTAAGTAAAGATGGGAGTGTTTGAGCAGACGCAACTAGGCACCCCACCTTTCTTGCCCCGTTTACACTTTCTCGAATAGTAGTCTGCCGGTGTTAATTGTTGTCTTACGTCGCTTAAGGCTTGTCAGAACGCTCGGACATCTGCCACTGGATAACCGCCAGCTTGAATTCCATTTGGGCAGATTGACAGACACATCCTCAGCGTCCGCGGTTCATCCATTTGCAGAGAGATAAGTAAGGACCTCTCCATCGAAGTGGCCTTTCGACTGGAGACTGACAAGTGGACCGCTATTTGAATGGTTTTCATTTACTTCATTTGCTTGACGAAAACTAGGGGTAGGGTTACCCTGGCTGTGATCAACTAATGAAGGAAGTAGTTTTTAGTCGCATGAAATAAGACCTCTACAGGCTGTAGGCAAGGAGTTAGCTGCAGTATGGGTATCAAATTCGATGAATTTTACAAAGAAAGTTGATGACTCAAGAAACTGCAGTCAACTGTGACAGTTCCTTATCATGTAAATATGCTTGTATCCGCTCAGACTTCCAGCAAGGCGTTCAATCGTAATTCACTCGACTGCACGGTTGGAGAGGATTAAGCATAAATAATCGGGGGCTATGCAACTTGCGCCGCTGGATGTGGCCACACCCCCACCATCGTTCTCTTTGAAAACACCTCGATCTTGTCGAAATAACTTGAAAACAAGAAGATTACGAAACAATATTCCTTGTAGTGTTAGTGAATACGTACTGTGGTAGATATCCGTGGACAAGAGTGGCTGAAGCCAGTCAACTGTTTCGGTTAAGAGCTGTAGTTTGTGCCAGGTATTTCTGGAATAGTCATTTGCCTTGTGGTTGCCCACTCGGGGCTCGTCGTTGTTCACCATGTAGCAATCTAAACACCTTTCTCCGAAATTTCTGAGCGGATGGTTAAAATTAACGCAAGGTCGCCTGAAAGTATGTAATACAACTGAAGGACGCGACTGAGCGACTAAAACAATCCAGCTGCCAGTAATTCGACGCACTATATCTTGTGGAGGAATGGGCAGCTCAAAGCAGAACTGCTGCTCTTTACGTGCGGCCCTAGGAGTAGGCACCAACCAAACAAAGTATGTGCCGTATCCCCTTCACGTTGTTTCTTCTCCATAGTTCCCCTCCCTTGTTTTCACCCGACTTTTTCCTATCTTCCTTTTGCCGCAGGTCAGGACAGCTGTCTGGTGTCACAACAACAGACGAACCCATCTGAACCACACTGCTTGGAAAAATTTTGCAACCCCTACAAATGTAATCAGCACTCAACCACTAGGACCGTTCCAAAAGACCAAGAAGAGGGCGCGACGTGGTCCTTTGAGTTCAAAAGATGTATTTCCCAGTCCATCTTCAGAAGCAGCTGCACGTGTTACGAAGTCTTTAGAAAGGTCTGTCTACCAATTTTTATTTTCTAACTTAGAGAGTGGATGAAGGAATCGAATAAAAGGAACCCGAAACTCTGGAAAGCAGTTTTAAGGTGCTTTTGGTTTCATATCTTCCTGGCTAGCGTTGTGGTGTTCATCGATGTTAGCAACGACCATTGTGTTTTAAAATAATATTTTTTATTAGATTACTGCCTGTACTTTACGGCCTATACTTCTTCGCCAGCTGCTTATGGATATTAATGACCTTAAGGTCAGCAATGTGATTTATAAAGCAACCATTTCCGGTATTAGTTTGTAGCATTTTATTTCACTGTATTGTGTTGATATATGTAACAGCTCATTGAACATTTTTTGTTTAGTTGTACTAAAAAAAGACATTTTGCTCGCTCGTTGACCAATACAACATCCTGATATATACTTCGCGTTAACTCATGATATTTACGCTGTCTGACGCAGGTGGATCAGCAGTGTCGGGTATTATAATTAGGCGATAGTGTATCTGGACACGTATATAAAATTTGGAGTCAGATTTCAGAGCTCTACAAACTGGTGAGCCCGATGTGATTTAACCCTCTTGGATACTGCAACCGGTCATTAATGACTGTATACAATATGGATATACATGTATACTGAGAATTTCTGTGGCTTCTTTTTGGTAGACATTGACATACTTGTTTATCGTATTTTTCCTGCTCTTGTTCGTAAATATTATTTTTGCTGTACCAGTACTGGTGTCCTCATACTGTCATAATCAGGACTTTTCGAATTTAGGTTACGTGGGGGGGCCATTCATCTTCCTATGCCTTGTTTTAACTTTAATGACCCGCAATTGTGGTTTGTCCGTCCAGAACATTTCTTCATGGCCAATCATATAACTTCACAAAACACAAAGTTCGGATACACAAGCTCTATTTTGCCGGAAGAAGTGGCTGAACAAGTAGGGGAGACACTATTAAAGCTCCACCCAGACACACCTTATTATGTTTTGAAGCAGGAGGTGCTGAAAGCTACTTCGTTGTCTGACCAGAGGGCTGTCGATCAACTACTAAGTAGCATATGCCTCGGTGACAGAACACCTTCACAACTTAAGCGACATATGCAAAGTCTGCTGAAGGATAGGAAAGTAGACAACCGTTTACTCCACCAGCTCTGGCTGCGGAGACTTCCTTCATGCATTCAGCGGATATTGGCTGTTGGAGATGCGGACAATGACATTGACAGGTTGGCTGACATCGCTGACCGTATGTAGGAAAGGATGCCTAAACAGGTTGAAAGTATTAATGAGAGAACGCAAAACGACAGAGTAGCCGCTTTAGAGAGGAAGATCGACATACTTACAGGACAACTGATGGCTTTGCAGTTAAACCGACGGTCACCGAATTTCTGTAGAAGCTGATCCCGTAGTCGTGATGGAACCACGAGTGGGATTGCGTCCAAAAGCAGCACGTGCTGGTATCACAAGAAGTTTGGCAGTAAAGCACGTCGTTGTTTGTTGCCGTGCGATTTCAAAAACCTTTTCATCGGAAAACGGAAATGCCGGCGATCAGTAACGACTGCTGTCGCTGGCGTACAGCACAATCGTTTGTTTCGAGTGACGGATAGGAAGGCTGGAGCTCAGTTTCTGGATGACACTGGAGAGGAAGTGTGCGTGATCCCACCCAAGCCTTTCGAAAAACGCCATCCCAACCCAACATTGGTACTACAAGGTGAAACAGAAATGATTGGAGCTGCAGTTTGAGGGAGGTTTTGACCTGAGAAGCATGGCGAGGATCGAGTTCATTGGAACCCCTTTTTTCAGGCGTTTGCGTGCTTTCATTTCCCGACGATATGAAATGATTGGAAACTGTCCATAACGACGCACGCAGGTAACCCTACAAACGGACCGGGATGAACCAGGTGAGTGACCCAAACTTCAGTGAATGGGATTTTATTCGATTCAGCGTTCAGTAATTCGTGTTGTTCGAAGCAACTCCCACTAGTATACAATAGATGAACTGGAAACATCTACCGTCTAAGAAATTGAGGACTCGAGACTGAGTGTTGGCGACTACCTGAATGTGACAGCATGCTGTAATGTGCGGCGTACGGAAGGGTTTCAAGGGCTTTCTTCTTCCGCGGAAACTTCAAATTGTCTGATCTAAACATTTCACAGATAATGTATCCCACGCACTTGCGATCTCGCACCAAATGATGGACTCAAGTCTACAGCCTTTGTCCCAAAAATCTTTAAGATACAGGAGCACATTGAAAGACCCAGAACTGAGTTGTTGGATAGAATGAATAGCCTGTATTATGAAGACCATTTGAACCGACTTAGGCTGTCCTCACTACCCAACCGTAGGATGATATGACCTAGCGCTAGTGCAGGGAAGAAGAACTACTACGTTTCCGTGATATTCTAAGGGAAAGCAGACATCCAGTGTTCATCATGCTTAATACCAATGAACAGTGGTTCTGAACGAAAACTTATGACAGTGGAGAAGCCCTTATTTCTGCCGTTATGATCCAAGGGAGGCGCTCCAGGTGACATCCCATCACAACGCCCAATTATAGGGGTCAGTAGGCCGTTCTATGCAGGCCTTCTTTGAGTATCTTTCAGTAGGAGGCCATTGCTCATTAGGAGAATTAAGGATCTACTATCTAATCTGGGCTCTTCATCTTGCATATATCAATTAAAATATTCCTGTGGAGCAAATTACATATGGCTTACAATTAGGCAGGCGCCTCTCTAGATACGAGAGCACTTACCGGCTTGGTTTGGAAAGGGCGAAGTAAGTCCCGTCTTAGCGCCAATACCAATACAACATCCTGATATATACTTCGCGTTAACTCATGATATTTACGCTGTCTGACGCAGGTGGATCAGCAGTGTCGGGTATTATAATTAGGCGATAGTGTATCTGGACACGTATATAAAATTTGGAGTCAGATTTCAGAGCTCGACAATAGCATTTATACCGTATTTAGTATTAACCAAGTGAACTTACATAGTCAGTTAGTCTTTGCATGGTAGGGTCAATATACTAATGCTGGTTCTATGTCGGTTGTCAATGGAAAACATTCTTATTTGATTTGGAATTCTTTAAACGCAGTTCTTCTTGGTTCTTGTGCATACTTCTACGAGATAAAATAAAAAAGAGGAAAGTAGTGGCTTAAAAGAAACCCAAAAATATACTTTGAAGTTCACATAGCGTAACATTCTGACCACATCTAAACAAGGCTCCTCTTTAGAATTCTTACCTAAGAGTTCTAGCTTATTTTGCAAATGAAACCAGTCGAATGAACAAAGATAGAATTGCTAATGTCTTTAGTTTGATTCAGAAATGTCAGAGTTTTACTAAGTAGGCTTGTCGAGTTTCTTAAGTTTCTTCTTGAATAATTTAGGTACATCTCATTCACTCTATTGTTCAAACCATATCATATATTCATTTTCTGAATAAAGAGCAAAAATTACTGGGCCAACAAGTATCAATTTTGTGAAGTCACTAATTCTGAACTCAAGTTAAAAGTGCTGTATTTTGATACCCAAATAGGCCTTTTTTGAATAATATATTGTTAGAAAATAAATTAGATATGCTCGCACTGCCTATCGTTTTGAAATGAATCAGACAGTTTTTAACTGAAATGATCAACAGTCTATTTTAATCTATTGCATCTGAAGACTGCAGTTGATCGGAGTGGTGTTCGATGACCAAGGAAACCACTTCCTACTAGTTCGACGGTTGTGACAGTGATTCTTTCAACCTAAATTAGAAATCTTTTAAATGACGCATAAACTATTCCATTGTTTCACTGGTGTTCAATGTTTCCACTCAAGTCACTATTTTCCCCCTAACTGGCTGGGATAAACAAAGAATGGTTATCACAGCCTATAGACTAGTGACAGCTCAAAACAAATGCAAGGTGGTTTGTGACATAAGAGTAGGAGGAAGAAGATAAAGATCGAGAACAGACAAAAGTTTTGGTATCAAGAAATAGCTGAATTAATCCTTGGTCATATCTATGTCTTCTTTACAAGCTATGATAAGCATATTTTTGTAAGCTTATTTAACTGACTTTTCAAGGCAGCTGGATGTGAATAGGCAATGATATGTCCATTTCTTAATAGATTTACTTCAGGGATGCTGAGGTTATGCTAATTACAATCAGATTATCAGATGCACCTTAGTTTCAGCATTTTTATTTATAGATAACGTTTATTTCACTTTTGGCTTTCTGTTCAAAATATCAGACATTTGGATTGTTACACTATATTTGGTTTGCACCGACTCAAATAATCGTGGTGTTTTGGCTCATGGGTCGGATTGCATTGATACCCAGCCTCTGTGCACTTATTGCCACAATCCTCAATATTCCATTTGGATTTGCTTGTAACGCGTTTTACTCCAAGTTTAGGTATGTTTACTATTTACGTTTGCATGCTGTTGGATGTATATATATATATATATATATATATATATATATATATATATATTATATCATATAAGCTCAGAAACTATGTCTACTTCATTGTATAACATGGAAGCGTAGGTTCAGATAATGAATTAGGTAAATAAATACTTCTTATTGTCAAGACGCATATATCTTCAGTTTCTGATTAAACCGATATGTTCTCTGAGAGTGAGTGCACTGAAGACCATTTTTTCAGCATGGTACTACAACTTGATCAACACTTAATCCCTATATACGCAATAAATCTTGTCAAGAAGAAGAAGTATGCTCCATAGTTCAATTGATTTATAAGAATATGTCTTTTGAACCCTCCTACGTATTGTGATTTGAAGGGGTTAAAAGAATCTTTGTTGTGACAAGCCTTAGATTCAGCTACTTTATTGATTCTAAGGGTATTGGGCAATAACCAGCAACAGAATTATTGGAATGTGACACTTAGATTGATAGAGCAGTTTATTGTGAAAATAGGTGGAAGTGTATAATGATAACAATGCAATAACAGTTAGTTTTATATCTCATACCAGATAAATTTCTCCCGTAAGATGTCTGATTTATAACTCGAACAGTGTTTTGGAAAATGCTAGTTGTAGATAGCAATTTCAGCGTTTCGTTAAGAAATATAAAGGTTAAAAATGGATCATCGTATATAGATACTTCCAATATCATAAGAGACATCAGTATGAATCACAGATAGAAAAGATAATCCTGATCATATTTGATAACTTGAAAGCCTAAGAATATAATCTCACTTTGTTCGTCAAAATTAATTTTTTTGAGGAAGTGTCTTCATTTGTATTCCTCATGCGTATCTACCTTGAGTCTCCTCAAAGTTCTAGGCATGCCTTTCTACCAAATATCCGAAAGCACCAGACTTGGGTGCAAGACTTATTGTATTTTGCTTGTAATTGTCCAAAATTCCTTGAAGTGGTTTGCAATGTCATTTCTCTTCGCATAACAACCACATGACAAAATAGTTCGAAAGGATTCAGTCGGTATCGATGGCTGTTCAACATGAAATATGTTTCCACACGGTGAGAGGTCATTCAGTTTATGACGCCTGTAAACCAGCTTCTCTAATGTTAAATTCATAAGCTGAGAATTAAATATTTATTTATTTATTAGTTATTCTACTTGCAGTTGTTACAAAGCAGAAGTCAAATGTTCTCTTAAACATAAAACAAGTAAATAGGAGGGTTTGTGTCACGAAAGCACCTAAAGGTCCTAGAACAAGGGTTCTGTAGGCATAGTGTTCCTTGAGAACTGATAGCTTTTCTAGTATCTGTACATATTTTTGAATTGATAAACTCTCTATTCAACAAGCAATTTTTATCATGAGGAAAAGACTTGCGGTATTTCTTTGTACATCAGTATAAACATGGAATGCATACCCACCATCGCTGACTCAATATTTGCATATTTCACAGGTACTTTAGGATCGTTGCAACTTGCAGTGAGGTTAAGGTAATCAAGTTCACTGAATGATAGGAAATGAATCATGTATCTATATGAATATTGACAGTAAGCAGGAGGTAGTTGGAAATATACCACTCAGTTTTCTTTCTTAACTATTGATATTTCTCATACTATTTTCGTTAAAAATTAATGGACGAGACAATTTTCTGAATTAGTGGTTTCCGATCACTAGAGTTAAACTGTCTGTTGGTCATACACATGATTGCTGAAATCTATTAAAATTTCCATTCCAAGTACAATAATATGTCTATTAATTTGCTTGGTTAAATGTTGATAGATACATTTAATCAAGTGAAAGTGCATGAATTTTCCTGTCTATCAGCACACAGTTGAAAAGTAAGACAACTACGGTTTCTGATTCATAGTGAGAGTAAATGGGACTTTGTAATTTAGTTTTAGACAGTTGAAGTAACTAGGGGCTACACTGACAGTTTTTAATTTCTTATCGATGTTTGCTTTTCACTGTCACATTAAAATGCTTCTCAGCACTGTATTAACGAGCATAATTCCTTTTTCTTTAAGATTTTCTGCTGCCAAACATACGGCTAATCGTATCCGATTGCTATCTGATATGATCAAAGGAATGAAAACAATAAAGGTACAAGTATGGGAGGATATATTTTCCAAACTCATTGGCAGTGTTCGAAGGTATTTAACTTGTGAATGACTTTCCAAAATATTTTACGATTACTACCAGAATTTTAGATACTGTTATTAGAGGACGAAGATTATCTGAAAAATGTGATGTATTTGCGCAATGCATTTCGAACAATTTGATCACACACTTATTTGTCAAGCCAATTTACTGATAACAGATTTTAATCTCTGTTAAACATACTATGCAGCTCAGCTTATCATTGTTGAGACAACAAAAGACCTGATTCACCACAAACCTCAACCTCGCATAAATGATTATATCACATCCCACTGTGTTCACCGATTTACATGTATGTGTGGGCAGAAATACATAAGGAGGAGTAATCGAGCAATGCAAACCAGGGTGGGTGAACATTTAACTGAATGGCTTGAAAAACAACTTAAAACACAAACTCTGATAAGTGCACTCTTAAATGAGTTCGTCGTAAATTTTGGCAATTAATGTTAACGAAACTGATTTTATAACTATGGAACTTGATGAGAAATTATTGAAAAGAATATTTTTTGTTCATATTTGACTTTTAATGTGGATGTGACAGAAATCTGTCTTCGATCATCACCTAGTATAAATTCCTCTTCATCTATACCAAAACATCATCGAAATGAATCACATGGTTGATGCGAGAACAGCGTTTAAGATATTGTATAGGAACAGTGAGGTGCGTATGCTGAAATTTCCCAGGGTTAGCCATTCGTTAGGCACCCCGTTGTGTTCACAAGAGCAATTTGTTGTTCCACTTAATTAAGTTTAGTAATCCCTATCTGATTATGTTATCAAGACTTATGTCACAACCTTTTCATACTCATTACACTTTACCTTTGATTTTTTTTTCATTTTCATATTTAAACTGAATTGAGAAATTAAATGTGTTGGGGATCAGATCATATATTTGACCTTTAATATGGATGTGACAGAAATCTATTTTCGATCATCACCCGGTATAAATTCCTCTTAATCTACACCAAAACATCATCGAAATGTACCACATAGTTAATGCGAGGTTAGAAAGGTTGTATAGTGCACCTTTCTGGCACCAAGATACGACTACGGCTAAAATAAATGGATTAAATTAACTAACTAAACCTCTAGCTTGTCTGTGGATGCTTAGGGTGTTTTAAGTTTTGTTTTAACGAGCATTCATTCGATCAGGCTTGGATGCCGTTTATGCGTTCCATAGTGCTGGTTACCGCGCACGTACTCCAAGTCCCTAGTTCAGCCTTACAAGCCAAATCAGCTGATTAAACTTTCTCCCCATCCATTACTATTACATTTACTTTAATTAAATATATTGCTCCTTCAAATACATTCCGTATCAGTTCTTTTGGTTTGTGTTTTGTTACCAGTACTTACATGTCAAGTAAAGTACTGGTTAAGCAGGTACTAGAGCACATCAAGTTAAGTAGGGTTGATCAAACGTTACGGAATTGTAACACGCATCCCTACGAGATGAAGTACTAGAGAAGTCTGTTGCATAACACTGTTGTGAATATGCTCACTTCAAAGTTAGTAGGTGTGTTTATCTCCTGGATTGTCCAGATTTTCGTTGCCATTATGACCGTTCATAAATTTGAGTGATTCGAGATATGGTAAATGTTCGTATAGTGAGAGATTCAAAGGAGTGAATAGGGTTTGTAATTCTTACTTATTGGAAAGTAGTCTTCGTGGGAGCACAATTTCATCTCGTCCGGAAACAATGGAATGTTGAGAATTAGTAACATAAATTCCTCATTTTTGTCTTGCTGTCATCGTTGAAGGTTGTCTTGATGATGTTGGTCTTTGAAGTTTCAAGTTTAATCCTTTGCCGGTTTAGCTTTCAGACTTCCAGACAATTCATCATTGTCCAGTTTCTTGATAGTCTAATGGCATCTTCATGTTGCAACCCTCTGAAATTTTTGGCAGAAATAGCAACAATAGCACGTGTAGCCCCTGAGGTGTAAACTGTTTGTTTATTAAGTGGTCTTATTATGTCAGTAGTTTTAGTAGTGCTTTTTATGGCACTGTCCCGTAATGTAGAGTTAAGCTGTCTTATAAACCCAGCCAAGGTGTTTGATTTACGTGCTTGCACTCTGAACGGATGACAGTGGAAATAGTTAAGCTCACTTTTATTGAATGCGATTTTAGAAAAAAACAAAATCCGTCTGTCATGGAATGATGAAATTTAGGAGAAAACTTGGAATTTCATAATCTTATCTCCACGATGGAAGGATCGATGTAGATCAAAATGATGTGGAACTAGGTAACGAGACCCTGGTGTATCGCACGTCGTTCCTCGACTACATTCTAAGAGTATGTACTTGGAAGGAATGAGGTGCCAAGTTCGTGGGTGATTACAAATGATATGTATTTTGCGTTATTGAAGTTTGATCTGAATTTAGCGTGGCAGTGTGTCATTTGTGGAGTAGAGAACTGATATCTGAAGCTGTATTTCTTGAGAGCATTAGGCCGAGTACCATCATTCAAAAATACTAACTGTCTAAAAAGCCCAGAAATGATATTTGAGTTTTACTTTACTTTTCTAAATCACAAAGCCCGAATTAAATATCTTGCGCATTAAACTAAGAAGTACGGATACTAACACTTACTAGCCCCTCGGCGAGTCTTCGTTGCGCTTCTTTCAGTCCACGTTTGCCCTCCATTGAAATACTGTCGGTAATGTGGGGAGCCATCTAGAAAGAGGGACAGGCGTATGCTTTGTGCGAAGTGGCGGCAGATTTTTGAGTCCGAGGGCTTCGACAACGGAACTTAATGGGCCCTACGACCTTGGAAATGTGCTACTTAGCCGCCTCCTTAAAGTCGAAACGCTGTCAGTATTTTCAGACTAAGTTCACCATAAGTGGAAAGGCGGGAAAAGCTTGGGGTCTGAGGCGACAGAAAGCTGGAATGGTATGTGGTTAGAGTATAGCGTCACACACTTCCCCAAAATCAATAGCCTACGGTTTGACGACTTTCGACATTGATGCTGACCTTGATAGCTTAACTGGACTCGCTAAGCTGAAGGCATCCGGTCAAGCCTCCTCGCCATTTGGTACGCCGTCGTGTTACGTTGCATTGCTTGTAATCGACTCTCTAGCCATTTAGTTGGAACGCATCGGTATTTTGGCACAACCATCCATATAAACTGTTCCATCCGACTACGCTATCGTGTTCTTCCTTGGTCTCGTACTCGTGGGTGTGTAACAAGTTCGAATAATTAGTGATTGGTCTTTGCATCTGTCAAATTCATACCAGGACAAATCCTAAATTGGTGAGCCCGACGTGATCACATATCCCGACCAATAACAAATATTGAATTGGTGAGCCTGTTCCATTTTATATTTGTTTATTGTTTTCATTTCGATAACATTTATATATCCATTTACTACACTTTCTCATGTCTGACCACACTCCCAAGCTTATTCGTATTAAGCCGACTACGAACACGATCCAACTCGTGTCATATTGGCCGGACAATGCAGGAACATGGTTTCTGTATGCCAAGGCCGATTTTCGAGAACAGGGAGTCTCAGATCCTCATTCTGATTTCTTGCTGTCATACGGTCACTACCGCAAGAATTAAACAGACATGGTACAGCACACATGTTTATTCCTGAAGTAAATGATTCTTGTGCACTTCCCAAGGCCGCACTCTTGAAGACGAATTAATTCGTAACATCGAGCTAGGCAGCCACTCAGCTACTGAAGTCCTCGCACGAACGTGAGAAGTAGTTGGCGCACGAACATTCGACGATGGCCTTTCCGAGAACTATTTCCCTCAAAGCTACCACAACCGGTGCAAACCGTGTTGGTGACGCTGTAGCCAGTCCCGCTCAATGACCTGACAGCCTCAGCAGATAAAATACTGGAGATCCCTAGCAGACTAGCCTCCAGCGTATATTCCGTCTGCGACAAACCAGAGAACCAGGATTCAGAGGTGACCAAGCTGTGCAACTCTGTGAAGCAGTTGCTACGATCTCGAAGTCCTAGTTCACGTAGAACTCCACAGAAGGGCGTCTTAGAGCATCGCAGAAACTCGCTTGCTTGCCCCAAAACTAAACCTAACAAGGTGGAAAACCCTGAGTGGTGCTAGTTTCATAATACTTACGAAGACGAAGCCAGAAAATGTCGGAAACCATGCAGTTTTAACAAGGACACAAACTCGGGATCTGGATCTTCTTCCTGGCTGACGTCTCTATGCCCATCATTGGCATAGACCTGCTTAACCATTACGATCTATTCGTAGATGCTCGCCGTCGACGACTGATAGATAACAACACAAAGTTATCTATTGACAGCACCACCTATGTAGGTCCGAGTTTAGCCATCGTTAGAACCAAACAATCAGGCGGCGCGTCCTACCAAGCAGTTTTGGAGAAATATCCAGAGTTACAACAACCGAAGCACACTTCCGTGCATAACCAGCAATGTTATGCATCACGTCACAACCACAGGTCCACCTGTGGCATCCAAAGCGCGCCGTTTAGCCCCCGATAAGCTCAAAACGGCGAAAAGCGAATTCGACCACATGCTCGAACCGGGCATTATCAGACCGTCAAACAATCCTTGGGCATCGCCATTGCACATGGTTCCCAAAAAGGATAGCGACGACTGGCGTCCAACCGGTGATTACGAAAGGCTTAACGCCAAAACAACTCCGGACTGCTACCCGATACCTCAAGTTTACGATTTGACTGCAACCTTATGCGGCATGAACATTTTCTCCAAAATCGACTTGGTCAAAGCGTACAACCAGATACCTATGGCAGCAGAAGATATCGCGAAAACAGCCATTATTACTCCCTTTGACCTGTTTGAACTCCTACGCATGCAACTTGGCCTTCGGAATGCAGCACAAACATTCCAACGCTTTATGGATGATGTCTTCCGTAGCTTGAATTTTGTTCATGTCTATATCGATGACTGTCTAATTACGAGTCCAGATGAGGAAACTCACCTCAAACATTTGGACCTCGCATTCGAAAGACTTAAAAAACATGGCATCACAGTCAACTTA